AGAATATCCCAAAAGGGCCAAGAGAGAGAAAGTGACAATTCATATCATTTTCTTTTCCTCCTCTCTCATATAACAAATTCTGTTTTTATAATCACTTAGTGCCCCACATGAAATCCTTCAATGCAAAATTGACTATCCTTTTTCTGTCACTTTTGCAGTTGCCTTTGTTTTCCTCTGACTTTACCATGTGTCCACTGGGTCCCACATCCCTTACTTGCTCACCACACGCACCATCTATAACATTTCTTTCCCCATGGAAATCAACCTTGTCCTCAAGGTTGAAGTTAGGATACTCACTTTGCAAGGTACGCACATCTTCCCAAGTAGCTTCAGAATTATCCAACGCCTCCCATTGGACCAGTACTTGAGGTATATGTTGACCCGCGCGTAAGATGACTCTTGATTTTAACGCCTTAAGCGGTTGAATAATAGGGCCAAGTTCATGTGTGAGAAAAGGCAGAGGCAGATATGGGTGTTGATGTTCTCCTTTGCACTGTTTCAATAAAGAAACATGGAAAACAGGGTGAATCTTCGCTGTAGGAGGCAGGGATAATTTATAAGCAACAGGGCCAATCTATTGTATCACTGAGAAGGGACCAAAACAACGAAGGCCAAGCTTCTGATTTTTGCGAAGAGCCACCGAATGTCGACAATATGGTTAGGGATGGCAAAACGGGCTAGGCTCGGCGGGCTGGCCCGCCAGCCCGCCATAATATGGCGGGGCGGGTTGGTGTTTTCAGCCCACCAGTCCACTTTGGCCCGCCCCGCCAAGCCCGTCAACCCGTCGGGCCAACCCGCGGGACGGGCGAGCCGACCCACGGCCCACCTAATTAATAAAAAAATAATTTTTTATTGTAATAAAACTAATTATAAAGATAATATATAAAGTTAAAAATTTTAAAAAGAGAATTAAAAAAGTTTCATTCTCGTAAAATATTCTCCTTCCCGAAATATAACATTCTCTCTCGTTCTCCTTATTTATCCTAAGCACTGATTATATTTATCCTTATTACTTGAATTAAAGGTATAAGAATTACTCAACCAAGAATAATATGAAATTTTATCAAATAAAAAAGATATAGGTATTTGAATTTTTCAATATAAAAAATATAAATTTTATAAGTTTAACGTTATTTATATATATAAATATATATATATATATCTTTTTTTTTTGTTATTATTTATTATTGTTCTAAATTATAATTTCTTAAAATAATGTATTGATTTATATTATTAAATTGAAATAATATATATATATATTGAATTATTGACAAACAAATAATAATCTTATTATTAAATTTATTAAAAAAATTATTTTAAAAAAAATTATTTTTTCTAAATTATGGTCGGCCAGACGCCAACCCGCCCCTTGGCGGGCGGGCCAAGATCTACAGTCCGTCATGACTATATCAGGTCAGCCCGCCCCGCTTTTGGTGGGCCAAAGGCGGGGCAGGCTGGCCCGTTTTGCCATCCCTAAATACGGTTGAAGTTTCACAAGCACCAGATCTCCCACTTGGAACTCCACATGAACTCGTTTCTGATCTGCATATTTCGTCATCAGATGCTGTGCTTTCATCAAATTCTACTTGAGATATAATAGTGTTTGATCACGGTGCAACAACATATCCTGTAAGAAAACGGGTCTGTGGCATTCGTAACATATTTAGGGAGGGTAGAAGGGTCTCTCCCATAAACAGCCCTAAATGGTGTCATACCATTACTGGTTTAGAAGGAAGTATTATACCAGTATTCTGCCCATGGCAATATCTTACTCCAGCCTTTCGAATCATTAACTGTAAAGCATCGTAAATACATCTCTAAGCATCGATTGAGAGCTTCGGACTGACCATCAGATTGAGGATGGTAGGCAGCACTCATAAATAAGGTCGTGCCACTTAGCTTATAGAGTTGTTGCCAAAAATTACTTGTAAAGACTCGGTCACGATCCGAAACGATTGACTTTGGGATCCCATGCAACTTCACAATGGATTGCATGAACACCTCAGCTACTTGCTTGCTAGAATAATCGACCTTAAGGATGTAAAAGTGCACATACTTGGAGAGACGATCGATGACAACCATAATCACGATGAAGCCATACGATGGGGGAAGGCCCATAATAAAATCCATAGCCACGTCTTCCCAAATCTGTTGAGGGATAGGGAGGGGTTGTAATAGTCCAACGGGTAAAGTAGTAGATGATTTGGCTTGTTGACATATCAAGCATTGTTGGACATAAGATTTAACATCCTGATGCATACCCTGCCAATAAAACTGGGAAGAAACTCTGGCCAAGGTGTGGGCAATACCCGAGTGACCACCTATTGGAGAACTATGCAACTCCTGCAATATAGTTTGAATCAAAGGATGTTGGTTCGGGAGCACGAGTCGTTGCTTCCAGAACAACAACTGGTTTTGAATGGTATAATGAGGATTTGGGGGAGTTTCTTCGTTGCAGAGTCTCATAATATCTCAGAGTTTTGAATCAGAAGCAACTACATCACGCAAGTTCTTGATGAGATCCCAGGTAGGCTGAGAGAAAGCCATGAAATGAGATCTGGACAAGGCATCAACAACCAAGTTCTCCTTGCCAGGCTTATACTCGATGAAAAAATCATACCCTAAAAACTTGTGCAGCCAAGCTTGTTGCTCTGGAGTATGAATGACTTGTTCCATGAGACATTTTAAGTTTTTTTGATCTATTCGTATTATGAATTTATGTCCAAGTAGTGCCAAAATTTTGCAATAGCCTCAATGATTGCATGGAATTCCCTTGTGTAGGCCGATTGCTTCTAAATTTGTGGTGACAACTTCTTTGAAAAGAACGCAATTGGATGTTGTGATTGGCTAAGAACCACTCCTATGCATCTCCCTGATGCGTCCGTTTCTAAAATGAACGGTTGGGGAAGTTCGGCAGTGCTGGAGTGGGAAGCATAGAGTTATCACCATGGAGAGTAATAAATTCACCATTCACATAAAATTTCATAATCAAGGTACTACAATCTGAGATATGAGGACCTAAGGTTGCCAACCACGATGCACCCAACACCAAATCGGCGCCAGAAACCGATAATAAATACACTGGAAGAGTAAGTATATGACCCTGGATTGCAACTTTGAGTTCCTTTATCAGGCCTTCACCCGTCAAGGAGTTGCCATTGCCTACCATAACTTGAAAAGTGGAAATGGGTTCAACCGGTAACTGTAAGTAATTTGCAAGTCGAGGTTGCAGAAAATTATTAGAACTACCACTGTCTAATAGAATCTGAACGGGGACACCATTAATAGAGCCTTGGAATCGCGTTGTACCCACTCCGTGACAGCCTATAAGGGCATTAAGGGAGAGATGGTGGTCCAATATAGAGTCAGTGGTGGGCTAAGTAAGGGTTGGAGATGGGTTTGTTTGATCCGGAGGGTCCTCTACTTCTTCATATTGGATTAATAGGTATTGCTTATTAGGACATCTATGGTTTGGTGTGAATTTGGCATCACAAGTATAACACAACCCTTTCTCTCTACGAATTTGCATTTCTACAGGGGTGATGTTTTTGACAGTGGATGGTTTGAAAGGTTGGCTAAATGGTTTCATGGTTGGTGAGGGTAACAAGGTTGGTAAGGTATTGGGGTTCAGCTGTTGGTTTGCGGTTTGTTTAGAGTGGTAGGATTTAGTGTAGCTAGAGGAAAAGTGTGGTTTCGAGGTAGGGTTGATTTATCTTCAAAAAGTTTGGCTAAGGATACAGCCTTGAGAATAGAGTTTGGTGATTGAGCCAACACATCTCTTCGAATATCAAGTTTGAGGCCACTCAAAAAACAATCTAGTATGGCGTCTGCAGTAACTCCCGTAACCTGATTAGCCAAAGCAGTGAACTCTATGTAATAATCATTGACAGATGCCAACTGTGAGAGTTTGAACAGAGCAGATCGTGGGTATTCATAGGGAGAGGGGCCGAATTCTAGTGTTAATGCCTTAGTAAAACCTTCCCATGACTGGAAGGGATTGGTCTTTTGCATCATCTGAAACCACCATACAATGTCTTTCTCCAAATGGATAGCAACAATAGTGAAGCGTTGGAGCTCAGGAGTGGAGTAATACTAAAAGAACTGCATAGCTTTAAAGATCCATTGTAACACATTAGTACCATCAAACCTCGAAAAATCAATCTTAATATTTCGAACCTGAAACGACGAACTGGAGTTCGAACCACCACGGACATTCTGTTTGGAAACGTCATGGATCGCCAACTCGAGCTTCTCAAAGCGGTCTGAATAGCTACGATCATGTTTCTCCATGAGGTCCATGATTTTCTTCACATTGGTGTCAAGCTCCTTAAGGCGGGTGTTTTCGGCCATGATGGTGATGAAAGCACCAAATGTAATGAGCTTAGATGTTAACTAAGATAGTATGGGCAATAATGATAGCAGAGCAACGTGAGTTCTAATATGGAATATGGAAAGTTCAAATAATGAGGAAAAAGATGGAGTAACAACCGTGAATTTCTTACAATTCGTTACAAAAATGCAGAAAGTAACAGAAATGACAGAGATGGCAGAAGAATATCCCAAAAGGGCCAAGAGAGAGAAAGAGACAATTCATATCATTTTCTTTTCCTCCTCTCTCTCATGTAACAAATACTGTTTTTATAATCACTTAGTGCCCCACACGAAATCCTTCAATGCAGAATTGACTATTCTTTTTCTGTCACTTTTGCGGTTGTCTTTGTTTTCCTTTGACTTTGCCATGTGTCCACTAGGTCCCACGTTCCTTACTTGCTCACCACACGCACCATCTATAACAGAGTGACCCAATAAACCAACTCTTTAAGATAAAATCTTACCATTTGAATTTAGGTCTAACTTAACTATACAAACCATCTTGTAAAATAAGGTTTGCACTATTTTTATATACTCTATTTTAGTCATATCATTGATCGATAGAAGATCTTGACAAACCTAATGAATTATTTTCCGTAACTTTTGATTAAAACTCAGGTATTAACAACCTCGTAAAACACAATGACTCCCATAAACGGAACACGGTAACAAAGGATTTTGCCCGTAACCTTGCAGCAAAACTCTACAATGAAAAGAACAAAAACTGCTTCAAAGACATTTTGAACATAAAACATAAATAAATGGGTTAAAAGATAATTTGATATTATTTTCTGTGCAAAAATTTCCTAAAATTTTGAATTGAATTGTAATCCAAGGTCTCTCAAGAAGGAAGAAAACTTATACTGGAATGACATTGATTAGGTGCAACTCAAGCATGGACATCTACACCATATAGTGGGAGCATATGATTGTAAACCTCTCAAAATAAAGATACCTTGTCAACTTTGTTTCCAACAAGCATTTTGATGCAATCTTGATTTGTTGAATAAAGGTCTATTTCCTTTGCCCATATATCAGAAAGATTTGTAAATGTATTTCGCCGGGTTACATCATAAACTGTATCAGTTAGAGGAACAAAATTAGCAGCTAATTGAAAATTGGATTCCAGGATTAGAGCTAAAGGTCTATTCTGTAACAACTGATTCCAGGATTTACACACTAATATTCATACCTGGGCAATCTTCCTAAGCAACATGAAAGATATTCAACTCTCACAATAAAGCAATAAAAATTGGATTTGATTATAATAGATATAGATACAGTATGCTGAGGAATAAGGATCATTGGGTCACCACATGTTTCACAGGAAGGTTGGAAAATTAGTCTACAAGAGGTGAGATGCAAAGTAACCACATCTTTGATTAGGCGAAGCAACAAAAAAGCTTTAATGATGGATGAAGTAAGTAGCAATTCCATAACCTAGCATGATATAGTTTTGTCTTTAACTCCTCCCTGCAAGGAACTAACTACCTCAACACATAAACCAGAACATACTAGATTACCCGAGTGTAAGGTAATATTTAGTTTAAAAAATAAAATAAAAAGCCATACAGCTTACATTGGTGTTTATCAAAAAGCCCAAATCCAATTTTAAATAAATGAGTATCGGTTTAATATTTTATTTCAATGCACGTAAAAATGACAAAGAAGGCCATTAAGGTGAAGAATAACTATATGCTATTCAAAGTGTAGTGTAGACACTGAAAATCATACTTCTTACTGTCATTTCACTGAAACAAATGGGAGAGATTTAAATTATAGAATTCACCGTAAGACAGTGCCAGCTTAATAAGAATATATGAACACTGAACAAAATTCTATCCTAAATACATTCTGGTCCAGGTTATCACTCAAGGCAATTCACATTTTCACCAAGTCCAGTTAATGCACAACTGGAGAAGAGGGAAAGTCAAAAGATGGAAACGAGAAACTTGCCCATGATGATTCCTTGGGCCCCTCGGTAGTAAGAACTTGTCAGTGTTCTGAATCTCTCCTGACCAGCTGTATTATATTAACAAAAAAAAAGAAAAAAGAAAAAGAGTCAATCAAATATGATATTGGCAACAATAACTCTAACAAAACAAAAAACCTCCATGGCTGCCACATCTACAATTCAGCAGCGCCAATAGGCAATAACTTGAACAAAATGAAGCAACAATTAATAAATAACACTACAAGCGAATACCAGTGTCCCAAATTGCAAGCTTAAGCTTTTTACCCCCCATAGTCACATATTTGACCTTAAAGTCAACACCTGCAGGAGGCAGCATCAATTGAAATAAGACACAAAAATGCATAATAATGACAATTGTAATACACAAATCAAAGGCGAAATGAAAGGACCAATAGTGGGGGAAAGATCATCAAAAGCATCAGCGATGAAACTGAGAAGAAGACTACTCTTGCCAACCCCGGAGTCCCCAATCATCAACAACTTGAACAAATAGTCAAATTCTTGAGGCCCCGAACTCGAATCCATCGCACTCAACTAAATCACACGCTTCAAAAACCCTCTCACCGACAGAATATTAATAAAAGTTAGAATAAAAATATAAGTTGATTTCAGCCCATGAAGAATAAGAAATGTAACGAGGAATTTCTCATTTGCGAATTACCAAACGACTGAAATCCAAAGGAAAAAAGAAATTGAAGACGAAAGGTTAGCACAAGTGTTACGAGCAAGAAAGGAAGAGGTGCGTGCTATGCAGTTTCTTTTTCCCAGTATCTCTTATTCAGAAAACCACTACCATTGTGTATTTACTTCACCAACAAGCATCCCTGAAATTGAAACGACACTATTTCTTTTTTACTAAAAAATGACTCTTTTTTAAAAACTAAAAAAAATATTTTGTATTATTTTCACCATAACGTCTATTATTATTCCTCACTCTTTCGTAAAATGTGTAAAATATTCATGAATTTGGTATTTATAAAAGTGCAAAAAGTGTAGTAACTAGTGTAATTTTGGAATTTTATAAATATGCTGTTACAAGTTTACACTTTCTTATATAGTAAATTTTACATTATCATTTAATTACAAACTATTATTAATATAATTTTTAAATAATTATTATAAAAATTAATAAATTTCTTATACATTACGATTTATTAATACAATAAAGTGTAAAACTTTTTATAACAAATATATCTCAACAAGAGTAGCAAAGTGGGTCCAGCATGTCTATCCGGAATGAGTGATTGTATAGATACTGTAACACATTAGTCCGTTTTGTCCAGTGCATTAACTCGATGGGCCACTTTTGGATTGGTCCTGGTCAGCCCGTCCTTATATATGTATATAATTTAAGCTTCAAGGTTAGTGCAATTTTTTTTCCCAAATGCAGCCAACGCACCCATGTTACATAGTCCTGAATCATGATTCCTAATTAATCATCATATAATATGAAATTAAATATTAATTTTTTCTCATAAATTAAAACATTTAAATACATATCAATAAAAATTGATTGATGTCTATGTAACTAAATATTATTATGTTGTTTTGAATCACATTGTTCCACCTAATAATTTTTCAGATTTTCATATGAAAGTGAAACAAATACTTCCTATCCAGTGATGCTAATCAGCTAATTGCTCATGCTCCCGTGCAGGTATCTAATTCCAAATAGAATGTCTAATTCAAAATGAAAAAAGTAGGTATGAAAATTATTTTTTTTATTTTTTATTTTTTTTTCCTGCCATGAACTAGCATTATACAACATAAAGTTACTACAAACACAGTATGCACATTGCATTTACAATAATCAAGAAATCGTTACAAGCAGCAAGGTCTCCCCACCCCAATCCAATGCACCGACAGCTTAGGGCCAGAATCATTTTTTCTGTCATCTGGTTTTCATGTATAAAGAATGGACCAGAATCTTTTGGATAGTTTGTGCTTCAGAGTCCACATTGAAGTTCATCCACAGACCGCTGGGGAGACAGAAATATTTTAGTTCTATAGCTATTTACAATCTCAACTCAAATGATTCTCATTCTTGGAGATCCACCAGGTGGCGTATTGGCTTTGTATCGAGATCTATCATGCCAAGGATCAAGAGTCAATGTGGCATTTGACCTCATGGGATACGAGCATATGTCATTCAAAGTGTAACCATTTTGTCCCATTATTGTGTAAGCTGGATGCGGAGGAGAAAAGAAACAGCTCTGATCCGTTGGCCCATAGCGTCGCAATGGACTTGAACAGGGAGATACTGGTAGAGATGTGATCATTCTTGAGTTATCCCTGAACAACGGAATCACAAAAGAATATCAGTTCATATAACATAAAAATGCTGGTTGTATAGAGATGTAAATTCGTTCTTTAATTATGATTAACAGGTGGATATTTTACCTTGGACTTCTTATTGCACGTGGAGCTGCAAGAGCTGGCTTTGATGCATAATCTCCATCAAGCGATGTTATACTTGTTCTGTTGGAATGGGACTCTAACACAGGCTGAAAACAGATGAAAATGATGAAATAGTTAACTCCAGCTCAACATCTATTCCAGAATGTTGGACTTTGAAACCACATCATTCATGGCAAAAAATATGTGCATTAAATTTAGACATCTTTATTTTTAGTTAGAAACAGGGCTGAGACATGTTACAGAGATGCAGGTAGGATAAAATACAAGCAAGTGTCCTGGTTCGGATTTGTTTCCAAAATCAAGCAGTTTCAAAGGGACTTTTCTACATGCCTAGTATCATGCATTCATGCTTGAAATTTTACAACAATTTGGACAAACTGACATGAGAAGGTCGTAAATCTACAAAATGAACCTTATCATAACTACTTTAAAAAGAAAAATCTTGACTCAAGAGCCAGTGGGATCCTCCACACATAATTCTGACAACATTAAGTCCCATGTAATATATACTCCACTTCGATGTTATATTCATATATTTCCCTTTTTACTCAAACAAGGCAATGTATTCTTCTGTTTATTCTCCAACTTTAATTTTTTCTGGCATTTCTGCCATATGAACTTAACCAATACATGTGATGTTCATTGAATCAAGCCAACATCAATCAAAAGAAAATGTATGCAGCCTCAGAAGTTATTATAAACAAACATAACAATGATGTGGACAACCAATTACGGGAAGGTTAATTATACGACTTCAATTACTTTAGAGTTTAATAATACTATACATATGAGGGTGGTACAGAATACATATACACACATGACTAAAAGACCTAAACAAGCCACGAGGTTTTGTCCTGACATTGAATCATACTGATTTGGCATACAGATAATAACCAGTCTATTGATATCAAGTAATTGTGCATCATCTTTATATATTATCAAATACTTTATATTGAGTCATCCAAACTTCAGGACAATTGCAGCATGTTAGGAACTAGCATGTAAGAAGTAACTTGACTTATGAAAGAAAATAAATATATAGCCAAGACTATATACCGGCGTCCGGCTTCCATCAAACATGTAAGGGAAAGCATCTCTGGTTATTCTGACATTTGTAGCTTTTGTTGCTGATTGATCTTGAATGAAGGGGTGGTCTAGTAACTTTTGGGCTGTTGGACGAGCTAATGGGTCTCTTTGTAAGCATAGTTTGATGAAATTCTTTGCATCATTGGAAAGATGCTCCGGGATTTCAGGCATATCTTTGCTGTTCCCAATTTTAAATATCGCAGCTACCTGTTCAATCCAACATGAAAACAGTTTTGGCCATTCATTTCATCAAACAGAATCATATAAGTAAAGGCTAGTTCTGAAATATTCAATATCTTACCCCTTCATACTGATTCCATGGAGGTTTAGATGTTGCCATTTCAATAATTGTGCATCCCAAGCTCCATATATCAACTGGAAGACTATAGCCATTTGTATTCATCACAACCTACAAGAGAAATATCATTACACGTTAGTTATGGTGAGAAACAAGTCGAAAAGAAGGGAAGAATATGCTGACTTCAGAAGAAATTTCAATATCGAAGAGAATGGGAAAAACAACTTACCTCAGGTGCCATCCAGTATGGACTTCCTTTGAATGAAAGCATTGAGGCAGAAGAATTAATCTGGTCAGAAACATAAAATGTAAGAGACAATCCATTAGAAATCAATCAAAAATACAAAATCATTTTTTAAGCTCTCTAGATCACATTTCTTTGTAGCAGTAAAATCTAATAAAAAATTATAAAATACCGGAGAGAAATAGAGTTTGTGTTTGAGGGAGTGGAATGCATCGTGTAATGCATTAGAAATCAATAAAAAATACAAAATCATTTTTTAAGTTTTCTAGATCACAATACTCTAGGGAAGTAAAATCAAAATAAAAAATTATAAAACACTGGAGAGAAGCAGACTTTGTGATTGCGGGAGTGGAATGCATCGTGTAAGGGTGTCATTCGTATGTGTGCTGAGCCAAATCTCCAGCTCTATGTGAGAAACTGGGAGTGCACAAATTTCAGACCGCATGTGCATACAAGAGAGAGGATAGATGTCTCTGCTACTAGAAATCAGTAGACTTGCTACTCTTAAACTTTGAGCAAGAGAGATACTTTTAAGTATCAACTCTCACCCAATTTTACATCACATGCATTGTTAATTAATTCTCTAACAAAACAGTAGGTGTAGTTTACTTCTGAAGTGAGCTAGGAACAATTTGTTGTTTGTAGGATAAGATGCACATACGTGTTTAGCCATTCCAAAGTCGGCCAGTTTGATTTCACCATTAGGATCAACTAGTATGTTTGCCCCTTTAATATCCCTGTCAAAAGGAAACCACAAGGACAATATGAAAGAGAATATAGAAGCGTAAATGCCATTTTGTAAATTGAGTAGAAATAATCAAATTACCTGTGTACTGTATTTCTTGCATGCAGATAAGCAAGTCCAGAGACAATCTGCCTGGTATAATTTTGAATAACGGGCTCCTTAAATGGACCATACTCCTGAAGTAATTTATGGATAGAACCACCTGAGACATATTCCAAATATACGGAAAGAGATTCTTCCACCTGAAAACATGGCATATATATTAGTTATAAAGATGGTGGCTTCAATTTCTCTTTTTGAGTGCACACAGCTGTATTAGGTATAAACATGTTTAAAAATATCTTAAACTTTGAATTTTGTAGCATACCAGTTCACTCCCATAGTATTGAACAATATTGGAATGTGAAAGCTGTTTTAGCAAATTTATCTCCTGTAATAAAAAAGAGAATGTGTTATAACCTTGTGCACTATACAATCATAATTGGACATATTAAAGCAAACTCCGATGCAACAGTTCAAAGAGCTGCAAAGTTACTATATAATGTGTTAGAGCATCATGTTTAAATCTAGAGAAAACATCAGAATACCTGGTTAAGTTGTTTCAGGCACTCTCTTGATGTTTGATCATCAGAGACAACCTTGACTTCTTTTATTGCACACATCTGTCCATTTTCACTGTCAAACATAGGAAACAGAATATAAATGGTTTCAGTTATGTGTACAGAATATGGACATTGGGGCAGAGAGAACACATTCCAAAGGAACGATGATGAAATAACTACATAAATATAGTAGCACTTTAATGTCAGATTTTCATTATTTCCAAGAACCGTTGACATGGTAATATTTCCTTCTTGGAATTTGGCTCCTTGAAATTGAGAACTATAGTTGGAGGATAAAGTGTCAACTGTGGAACTATAAAATAACAACTTCGTAGTTTATTTATTATACTTGTCCATATAGTTTAATCTCAGACATTAATTTTTGAATCAGTGGTGATGATAACTCTGCTTTGATCATGGATCATGCATTACAACCATGGGGTAGCAAAGCCATAAATTCTAAAACTACAAGTTATGCATGCCACAAAGCTGTTCCAGGTTAACCCAAAAGAGTATTGACAGTAAATTTCCTCTATTGAAAGGCTGAAAGGTAATAAAGTTAGTTACCTATTGAATCCCAGATACACATGCCCAAATGTTCCCCGTCCTAGAAGCTTTCCTTTTCTCCATTTGGACACACTGCTTGTAGCGTTTTCCAACAATCCATTTGATCGTGTGATGGAATTGGAAAGCACAGAAGAAGGACTAGTTGGAGAACCAGGTGGAAGAGGCAACGGATGACACTCACTCCTTGCCTCGTCTTGCTTCCCCGTAGGAGAGTCAAGACTCAAAGCAAGTAACCTTGGATGCAGCGGTGAGGTAGGACTAGTAGGTCTTCTTGACCCAGGACCAGGACTTTTTGACGTCACATTGAACCTCACCTCATCTTGTCCTCTGCACAATAAACAAAACATGAATTAGTTCAGCACCAGATTGGAAACCTGAACATTTCATATTCACTCTGTTCCTTACACCATCTGCGCTAAGAATCATAGACTATAATCTCAACTAGTTATCACAGTCACATACCCTACAATTCCTAATAACCAAGGTTTCCTAAATCGGCTTGCCGCCATGATTTCATCCACTAAGTCAAGGCTTATGGGCTCTTTACAACTGTATCAGCTGTATCTTTCAACGATTTCCTACTATGTCAAGGATTATAACAGAGGTTTTAAGTTATGATCACAATCATGATCTTAATATTGCAATCATAAATTAAATTATGATACGACTACAATTTAGACAAATAAAAACCCTAAAGTTGAACTGAAAACGCAGCACCTAGCTCCTGTGTTTAATCCTTGATTGCAACTAAACCACGATCTCGACCACAATTAAACCACCTTAATAACTAGGAAATTTAAAGGGGAAACTAGACAGAGGAGGAGCTACTAGATAACTTTGTATCTATGAACAAAATTTTCCACCATATTCTCAAACTAAGAATATATTATCACCCTTTTTTTATAGTCTACATATAAAAAACAATTTGTCACTTTTCATTCAAAATAAGAAAGAACAGGAACAATTCTTTACAAATAACTGGCAATTTTATTTTTTCTAATTTAAACAAGGAAAGAAAAAAAGAAAAGGCAGTGGAGAGAGAAAAGGAAGGAAACGGATCAGTAATCAGTGCACTTTATGCGATCGATGATTGGAAATGGTCACAGTACTACTACTCCTACGAGACACGGAGTCCAAAACCGAGGAAGGAAGGAATCAGAAGCGGAGGAACCTGTTGGTATTAAAGTGAGGCGAAATCGGGTGATCGTCGAAGGAGGTGGAGGAGCTGACGCTGGAACCCGACACGGAGAGAGATCCAAACGTTTGAATTTGATCGCTGTGACTGTGCGTGGGACGAGGCAACGGAACTCCTTTCATCTTCTCGTCGAAGCTCTTGGGCTGCTTCTTGTTCTTCTTACACTTACTCTTGTCACCCCTCCGAACGGCCACCGGAGATTTCATGAAACTCAACTGAAAGACGCCACGTGGCTCTTCCTCTTCCTCCTCCTCATCGGCCTCCTCGTGCTCCTCCTTGCTCTTGCTCCACTTTCTACTCCACCACGCCGGCATTCTATCACGTTCCCGAAAATCCGAGAAACAGAAAAATGAAAGAAGGGTTTTGGTGTGATGATTTGTGAATTATGGTTTTGTGCGACGAAGGAAGGACCAAAAGGCTAGTCCAGGAAGGGAACACACCCAGTGGTGGTGGTTGGATTATAGGAAGAGAGAGAAGAGAAAATTAGAGTAATTATTAAGTGAGTGGATACCGTAAACGACCGTGTTTTGGTTTTAGTATAACCCGTGTGGTTTGGTTTGGTTTGGTGGAGGTAGTGTTGTTGGTTTCTTTCTTTGGTTGTTTGTTATTATCTGTATGTACATACAGGACCAGTTCAGTTGAGTAACATCAAATAAATTATATTTATTTCCTTATTAATAATTAAAGAATATTGAACATAAAGCAGGCCAATTATTTTTTTATATATAAATAATCGTTATTATTATTTCATATTCTTATTTTTTTATTATATTTTTTTTCATCTGTCACTATTAAACACACGTGAATAACATTCTTTCTGAAGACTACATACGTGCTTAAACAGAGAAGTATATATCCAGAAAGTGATGAGAATCCACATTGGTCATTGTGCTCTGCTTCAGTTTCCACGCGCTGTAACTAGATAGAAATCCACCCTAAAACAAATTTTTTTTTTTAATTATATGGAATCTCGTACTTTAAAAAATAATAATAATAGTATTTTGTGTACTAAATTAATCTGTACGATTCATTATTTATTTTTCAAGTAGAAAAACAAGTAGTGATGGTATGACAAGTTAAACCTTTTTCTTATTTTATTTATTTACTAGAGTCCGACTAGGTAGAACAAGTTGGAGACAGTTTGTTGGGACTGAGACAAAATAGGGGAGGTTGGATTTGGTATTGACGTGGATTTTGTTTATTTGCTTTAGTTTGTTTAATTGGGAAGGATTAAGTTTTCTTTTCTTTTTTTTTTTCTTTTTTCATTTTTATTGTGAAAGTTTAATCGTGGGTTGGTGCTGGCAAGAAAGGTGTACATATAATTCATATTATTCTCACACATCTCAACATGACTCATGAGATCTCTGCAGTGAATAATCTAAACTTTACTCTGTCACTTCTAATTTTCTTTTTTTACATTATTATAAATGACAGGAAAATGAAGCTTAACCATTGTTATTATTTAATAAAAAATTCTTAATTAAAATTAATATTATGTTTTTTTTTGTTTTTTTTTTGTTTTAAATAATCAGAGAGAATAGTTTATAAAAGAAAATACGCGAGGAGTGAATATAAGCTTGAGTAAAATAATTGAATAGTCTCTTTTGATAAGATTTGTATTTTGGAGAGAAAAGTGGGATTCTTCTTTAATGGTTCGTTTGGATGATGCATTGAATGGAAAGGGTGGAAGGATGAGAATAAGGAGGAATGGATGATGAGATATGTGAAAATAAATGGAGAGAAAAAAAGGAAATGGGTTTCATTTGTATCTTTCTTTACAATTTCATAATAATAATAATAATAATAATAATAATAACTAAAATTGCAAATTATTTTAGAAGGTGCAGGTTTTTAATATTCCAAAAACTACAATAATATGATAATGTGTCAATAACCACAGGCTTCATTATAAAAAATTATAACAAATGAATGAATGCATATTTTCATTTAAAAAACATTAATTGCTTAAACTTAGAGCGTAAAGTTCGTGCGTAAAAAAAATTGTCTTTTTTTACTTTCCCGCAAATCAACCTAAGTTTTTAATTAATCACGTGCAATTGCTTTCAAACACGTGAAGAATCTATTTGCAAAGATAACTAAAATAACAAGCAATTCCCAATTTAGGAATTTGAACTCATCCTGAATCTACAATAAAATATTATCAAAGATTAATATCCAAAAGGTAGTAAAATATATACTTAATAAAACCAATAATTAATTATGGGTGAATTGTCGTTTATAAACAAGTGGCGTGTGTGAAGGAATAGACTATCATACGTGGATTTTAACCTAATCGTACAATTAATGTCATTGACATGAATGCTTATATTTAAAAAATTGTCAACTTTGGTGTTTAGTTTCCCACACATTCACTTGATTTTGAACATGAAGACAGTCTCTCCTGCAAAAGTAAACGGTACTAAAGTCAACCTATATCCACTTGAGATATTAATTTTTAACTTACCTAAATTAATGCTCTTTTGCATAACATTTCAACTTGTGCCAAACATTCAGCTAATTATGAGTAACTTTTATTATTTATTTAAGTGGATTTTTTTTTCAAACTATTCAACACTCATCTTGGAGGTGTATTATTATTATTATTATTAAAGGTAACGATAATGTCTTACTAAAAATAATAATAATGCCTTAGATGTTTTACATATTAAAGAGGCAAAGTATTATCACTAATATCTTCATATTTAGGAACAACGATGATTACATAGATGTAATACTTAATTTATAAATAGACCTTTAAATTCTTCTAAAGGATATAATAATACTCACTGGTCTACCTGAGAGTTTGAAAATCTATTAAACAAAAATTTATGCTACGACAACACAGCATGTTCACCCACGTAACATAAAGAACATTAAAAATTTAAAATGAATTTAAGAATATAAACTTGTTTTAAAATTTATATTTTTAATAATATAGTAATAATATACTAATTATCAAAATTAAGACTAATTGAGTATTTATTTATTTTAACGAGTTGGTGACTAAACTATTATTATACGGTCATCACCTACAAGTGCCAATCTGATTTTCTTTGTTGAATATATAACGACTCTAGGAGCTATGAACCAGTGTTTCCAAGCTGATTATTAAAATACATCATAGAGAGACTGAAATTTCAGTCATGTTTTTTTTTTCTTTTGAATAAACTATTTTATGACAAATTCTATAAAAATAAATCAGTTAATAAAAAAACATAATACACAATAAATAAAATCAAACTCTTTTCTTCACTGGACATACATTAAATATTACACAACTTAATATCCATGTTTTATTTCACATAAAATCAATAAATCTTTATTTCACATAAAATTAAGTATTAATAAATAAAAAAATTGACTACACACCGTGTAAAGAGTAGCCAAACCCTGCACAACACGTGTCCAAATCATATAAGTGTGGAAATGGAAAGAATTTGGAAGTAGCACAAATAGTTGGGTTTGTGAATTGGTTAGTTAGAAATATCACGAAGAGGAAAACGGACTTCCATTGATATTCCATGCACATTCGTTCGCTTCTCTCACTCTCTCTCTCTTCACTTTCTCTTCCTTCTCTCACCCTTCGCATCCGGAAACTGTGTTCTTCCAGTCATTCTCACTCTCGCATTACCTCACCATATACTTTCAATTCCCTCTCTCTCATTTTTTTTCTTTCAACCTTCACGTCAATTTCTGCTTCTCTCACTTCTTCATTTCTTCTATTCACAATGCTCATTGATGCAGCACCCTACACCGCCATCATCTGAGATTCACGATTTCGATTCTTTAATTTCCCGCGTTATCGATCAGGTGCAAATCTTGAACAATCTCACCACTACATTATTGTTTATACATCGAACAAAATTGTAATTTATGAATGTGTAGAGTACTGGACATGGATTTGTATCGAATATATTAATTAGTGGATTACCTAACGATTAAGAGGTGAATGTGTATGTATATATAGGCGGTGGAGAGGAACAATGTCGAATTCGGAACAGATGCTGAATCGGCGTCCGTCAAGAAGCGCCGCGACGACGACGTTTTCGTTGGAGGTATTCGACAACGAAGTCGTGCCCGCCTCTCTCGCCTCCATCTCGCCAATTCTCAGAGTCGCCAACGAGATCGAGAGCGAGCGTCCTAGGGTTGCCTATCTCTGTATGAATGAATAATCAAAACCATCACTTGTGATTATTATTATTATCATCATAATAATTAATTGTTAATTAATTTGTCGTGAAATTAAATCATATATATAAATATGTGCAGGTAGGTTCTACGCTTTCGAGAAAGCGCATAGGCTGGACCAGAGTTCTAGCGGGCGTGGTGTTAGGCAGTTTAAGACCGTGTTGCTTCAACGATTGGAGAGGGTAAGAGAACACTATTTTTTTTTTTTTAAGTTTATAAAATCTGCAAAAGTGATTGGTGTTCTGCATGCAGCAATGCAATGTGTAGATATTAGAGAGATGTTCAATTATAGTTAATAAATCATTAGCACAGTGTTTGTTTAGAGAATTTTTTTATTAAAGTATGGTCTGCATGCAATGCAATGTGATGAGAGAGAGTTTGACTCTTAATTGTAGTATATGAATAATTATCACCTCAATGTTCCAAGAAATTTTGACTATATTTTCAAAACATAATCACTATAGTTATATTATGTTATGCGATTGTATTATATTACATTGCATATTATATATATAATGTTTAATTATGTAATAAATAAAAATAATACACGTACCAACAATATAATCTTTTATAAAGATATTCAATCATAAACTAACACAACTCATAAATTTATTGTTTTTATAATTAAGTTTACTAATAGTTATTGTTTAGAAATTGATAGGGTAAAATCATCCATTCCATTCCATGTCGGGAATGATAATGAACTGCCTTTATTAAACATACAATAAATGTTTCTAAAATAAATAGTTTTTTAAACACAATTATTTATTTAAGAAACATATAATATCTGTTTTTTTTTAATAAAATTATACTTATATCTCAAAAGTTTATGATAAATACCTCCCTAAAGTTTTAGATTGACTTATTTTATATTTTTAATAAATGTCACTCACCAATCTTATATTTTAATAATATATCTTCTATTTTATTTATAAATTTATATTGGATCAAATTTAAATAAAAATTATATTGTAACTAGTTATAAATTACAAATATAAAAATGTTTTCTAATATATAGTTATATGATTAAATTTACTAAATTATCATTGTATTTATATGTAATGTAATTGTAATATATGTATAAATATAAATTAAAATAAGAATATAATTATTATTTTACTAATAATATAAGAAAGTGGATGTCTATTTTAAACTTAGAATGTGATTTAAAATTAAATGATTTATTTATTTATTTATTTTTTTAATTTGAAAATATTAACTTTATATTTTCATAATTTTTTATTTAAGCATTGATGAATATATTATTTTCAAATAAAATGAGGAAAATAAGTGTCACTCTGTTAACATGCAAGAGAACATAAAATGTTATTTATTAAAAAAATAAACACAACTAGTTATTTTAATATAATAATAATATTTATTATTATCTTAATAATTTTAATTGTTTATGAGTTGCATGGAATGCCAATTAATTATTATTCTTATTAACAAAATAGAAAAAAGATAAATGTATATTTAAAAACTAGATAAAATGTAATATCATATAAAAAACAGAAAAAAAAGTTATGTCTATTTGAAACTAGAGTAAATGTAAGTATGTATAACATGGTTTTATAAGTGCAATTTCTCCTAAAAAGAAAAAAATTATTTGATTTTTAAAATAAATAGATTAAAAAAATGCTTAAACAAAATCCAAATCTACATTTTTAATTAAAATAAACGCTTTTTAAACAATAATTACAAATAAACTCAACCCATATTCATAAGGGAAAATATAATAAAAATGAGGTCAAAAGTTTTTGTAAATATATGTTTGTGCAAATATGATTTTATTCTTATACTCATTGATACATTGGTTCCAAAATTCTATTTCTTCTGGAATAGGACAATCCAACTAGTCTTGCTTCCCGAGCTAAGAAGACAGATGCAAGAGAAATTCAGTCCTATTATCAGCAATATTATGAACATTATGTCAGAACTCTCGATCAAGCGGAGCAGGCAGACAGGTAAATAAATACACACTAGTTAGCTATGTATGACTTTTGACACTTGTTACGAAGGGTTCCGTCTCTAACCTTGAAATCCGAATTCACGTGCAGAGCCCAGCTCAGCAAAGCATACCAGACTGCTGGGGTTCTATTCGAAGTGCTTTGTGCAGTTAATAAGACTGAGAAGGTCGAAGAAGTTGCTCCTGAGGTTCGTCTCGGTTCACATTACCCTTTATACTCTGTTCTGTTCTGTTGCGACGATAGGTGTTTTATTTTGTTGTGTTCTTTTTCCAATATTCAATTTGTATACGCAGATTATTGCGGCGGCTAGAGATGTCCAGGCAAAGACGAAGATTTATACGCCTTACAATATTCTTCCTCTGGATGCGGCTGGTGCTACACTGCCAATTATGCAATTTGAAGAGGTTTTGCGCCTCAAGCTGTTGATGTGGAGTATTTGTCTTTTATTTGGCATTGCACTGAGTGTTTTTCTTTTTTTTTGGCTTTCTTTCTGACTAGATTAAGGCTTCTGTTTCTGCACTTTGGAATACTCGTGGCTTGAACTGGCCTAATTCGTTTGAGATTCAGAGGCAGAAAACTGGAGATTTAGACTTGCTTGATTGGCTTAAAGCGATATTTGGTTTTCAGGTACGTAATTTGAACGTCAACAGAATAAAAACATTTGTGATTGACTAGGTTTTTGTTTGGCCTCCTTAAATTTTTAACGTGTTTGGTTTGTTTTTGGACACAGAGGGACAATGTCAGGAATCAGAGGGAGCATCTGATTTTGCTTCTTGCTAACACTCATATAAGGCTACAGCCTAAACCTGAGCCTTTCAACCTGGCACGAATCTGTCTCTCACTTTTTTCTATTTTAGGCAAAGCGTAATGGACTAAATAAAGATAAAACGGCAATCAAGGGAACTATTGTCAATACAAATCATCATTTTTTATTTATTTATTACTGTCTGTCAGAGTAGCCTACTTTGCTTTCGGTCAAAAGTTAGATTCGGTGTTTTTTGTTTTCAATTGCTTTCCTTTTGATTTTATCAAAATCAGCTCGATGATCGTGCTGTAGATTCGGTGATGAAAGATCTCTTTAAGAATTACAAAACGTGGTGCAAATTCCTGGGACGAAAACACAGTTTACGGTGAGATATAACAACATCAGCATCAGTGATAAAATTCAAAAATTTTGTTTTAAAAGTGCTTATGGTGATCTTTCACACAGACTTCCTCAAGGTCAGCAAGAGACACAGCAGAGGAGGTTGCTTTATATGGGCTTGTATCTTCTTATCTGGGGTGAAGCATCCAATGTTCGCTTCATGCCTGAGTGTCTATGCTACATATTTCACAACGTGAGTACACTTTCCATGTGTTCCACAATATCTCGCGCTATAATGCTTTTGGAAATGCAATGTAGTTGTTTTATCTTTTAATCTTTTTTAATTTATTACTAATTTCTGCCTATCTAATAATGGTCAACTATAATCTCAGATGGCACATGAACTACACGGTTTATTGGCTGGAAATGTCAGCATTGTTACTGGTGAAAATATCAAGCCTTCTTATGGTAGTGATGACGAGGCATTCCTGTGCAAGGTTATAACTCCCTTGTACCGAGTAATTGAAAGGGTAAGATTTTGTCTCTCATGACATCATCGTAATACTTCAGGCACCTATGATATCTGTACATCGATTTGTGTAAAGTTATTAACCATGTTGATTAATCTAGGAAACCAAGAAGAGCCGACACGGAAAGGCTCCACACTCAACATGGTGCAACTATGATGATCTAAATGAGTATTTCTGGTTGTTTCCGTTAGGATTTTATACTGAAATTAACTTTGTTGGTTTGCTTAATCATTTATTAGTTTATAATATCTATTTTCCGTTGCAGGTCAACTGATTGCTTTTCTCTTGGATGGCCCATGCGTGATGATGGTGAATTCTTTAAATCAACTGGTGATTTGGCACAGGTATTTGCATCCAAATTAGCACTGGCGTGATTGTAATTTATTTATTTTCAGTATTTATATAAATTTCGTATCAGGGAAAAAAGGGTGCTCCAAGAAAATTTGGAAAAACTGGCAAATCAAATTTTGTTGAGACACGAACATTCTGGCACCTATTCCGCAGCTTTGATCGTCTGTGGACATTTTTTATATTGGGTTTTCAGGTATTTATTTCATCCAAAGAAAATACAAATAACTATAATTTCCCCCTTATTGTGGTTACGGGCTTGAACATTTCCATTACAGGTGATGCTCATTATTGCTTGGGGAGGGATTTCATGGACGAATTTATTTCAGAAAGATGTTTTATATAATCTCTCTACCATATTCATCACAGCATCCATTCTGCGGTTGCTTCAAAGTATGATATAAACTTAAGTTGCTCTCTAATGTAACTTATCACGCTTTACCATCAGAATTACTAGTAGCAAGATTTTATATTGATGGTTTGACCTTTTTTCCTTTCGATTCAAAAGATTGGCATTTCATTAATAGCATGAATGGGTCCTGTGCAGTATAAACTTCATAAGTCATATGAGAAGCAAGGTAGTGCTAGTGATTTTTTGGTATGACTGGTTCCTTGTCCTTAAATAAATGATGCTTGGCCTCCATTTCCCTGTTAGGCAATTCAGGTCCAAGAGTTGTTCTAACACATTCTTACTATCAATTTTCAACTTTTTTATGCAGAAAATAATTCTGTAATGACAATTTATATATGAGATCAATCTGCTACTACTTTCCTTGAGGATTTACATGTCCTAAATTATTTGGTGTTCATATTCACGTCTAAAAGTTTTGTAATGACTCTATTCAATACCTTGCACATTCAATCTACAAATTTTACCTTCAATATTTTAGATTTAGTTTAGAAATTGTTGATTTCAATGTTGATGCTTATTTTTACCGTTCTTTTCTAGATAGTTCATATACTGAATTTGTATCATACTACAGTTAATACTGACTCTTTCTAAAAACAAATGGTAAGTGTTATTTTCTACACCATTTATACTTTTTTAAGGATTGAAGTAGATCCAAGTTTTGTAGTATTTTCACCCCTTTTGAGACAGTCCTCTTATCTTCTTCCTTGTTAATAGAAATTTATCATTTATGTTTCTCTTTACATTATTTAGGTATATTGGACCTGATCCTGAACTTTCCTGGCTATCATCGATGGAAATTCACTGATGTGCTAAGAAATATTCTTAAAGTCTTTGTCAGTCTTGTTTGGGTTATCATTCTTCCACTCTTCTATGTTCATTCCTTCAAGGGTGCACCTGCGGGTCTGAAGCATTTGCTTTCCTTTTTCAATCAAATAAAAGGCATTCCGCCATTATACATAATGGCTGTTGCATTATATTTGCTTCCGAATTTACTGGCAGCTGTTCTTTTTCTTTTCCCAATGTTGAGGCGTTGGATTGAAAACTCAGACTGGCACATAGTTAGATTCTTCTTATGGTGGTCTCAGGTACTCACTTGTCTTATGCACTTACATATTTAGCTATTTCTCGTCATGGTTGTAAACTGAATGACTCTGTTGGTAAAGGGCTTTTTTCGATTTAATTATTGTTTATTCAGAAAGTAATGCAAATTTTTTGGGAACATTTCTTTTGGTTATTTCGTTTTAGATTGATATGACTGATATATGTGAGTTGAAGAGCATACAGCTGAATAGCATATAGATAATTTTCAAATAAGGACTCTTCTAGCAGGAATGATCCTTCAAGACAAAAAACATGTAGTTTTCAGGCAAACTGCATACATACATTTAACACAATATTTTAGGAGTCTTACATTGAGTAAAATAACTATTTGATATAGTGCTTAAGTCTTGAGGTTATCTAACTAATAGACTAGTCTTTTGGGGTTGGCCTCTTTTCTTACTTTTAAGTTCCAAGTCAATTCTTATCTTCAGAATTGATAGTGAAGCACTAACTTGAAGCGTCGTTATATTTAACTTTTCTTTATTATTTTATTTCATAAGATATTTTGCTATAACATGCACTAGCTTTCTATAAGATGTAATCTTATCTACCCAAACAATCCATCACATCAATTATTTGTGTCAGATTTTGAACAAGGAAGAAGCATATATTACATTGATATTTTTGGAGTTACATAAATTTATTGGTATTGTTAATTACATGTTAGAAATTCTTTTGAATTAGGCCTTATGCCTAATCTCACTCCACAAAATCAACCTTTTAAGGTAATAGTTCTCAAAACAATAAATTCTACATAAACCATATTTTAGTTTATGTCAGAGTAAATATTACCCTTGAGGCTACAAATGAGGCAACTTCCAAAGAGGCTACACCTTACACGGGCTAAGAGTGAAAACAACCAAGACAACTTTCCAGCACAACTAGAACTTTCAGGTGGCCCAACAATATATCTATGATAGACTTTGATAGTATTTTAGAACTTGGACATAGGGTTTAGCTCAAACTTATGAAACCATCTTGTAAGATGAGAATTGTTCAAGTTTTGTATGTGCTATTTTAGTCATATCTCTCTAGTCACAAGTTAATGTGAACTGAACAATATCCTGGGATTACAATTAAGACAACTCCCAAATAGGTCACAACTAAGGCAGATTAGGGGTATCCACAATTTACACGACTACAAGAAATTTCAATCTAATTGATTCTGTCAATAACTCGTTGAATAAAAAGCTCTCACTGTTGTAACATTGACTTTGGCTTACACCGGAGGCAATTCATTCTTTTTATACATTCTACACACAGAGACTAGTAAAGCATTAAATTTTCTAGATTGATAGTTTACTTTGTCTGATCAATGATTTTCTACTACTTTCTTGGGAATCCATTTCAACTATCTTTTGGTGGCAGCAAATTTACTTATTGAGTTGCCATAAATTTTGAAAAAGAGTAGCCATGATTATCTTTCTGTTACAGTAACTTGTGGTGTCTGGGCGTTGAAGTTTTTGAAATTTTATACTCTTAAGGAACAATTTGCCATGGAGTTTGACTATTTTGTAAATGGCCATAATTTTTAAGGCGAACATTATGGTCTTCAACTCTTTCAAAAAATCTTAGTTGTAGCACTAACTAGTAGTTTTCGAAAAGAACCTGTTTCTCTGAACTTAAATCAATAATTTGGATTCTTTGTATAATATTTGTCCATTTTTTGAATGATCATTTCTCTCCATGCAGCCAAGCATCTATGTTGGAAGAGGAATGCATGAAAGTCAATTTGCTCTTCTGAAGTATGATTCACACAGCACTATGTTACCAAAACAGTATATATTTTTGTTCCATTGCTATCGTTTGAAAATTGTTCCTCATCTAAATTCTTTCATGTCTTTCAGGTACACTATATTCTGGTTGTTGCTTTTGACTTGCAAATTTTTATTCAGTTTTTATTTCCAGGTAATAAATCTTGTGTTAGTAGCTCCTACCTAATATGCTAGCCTTGTAAATTTATTGTGCATCTTTTTAACTGTTTGTATCTATCTTCAGATAAAACCTCTAGTTAGACCAACAAAGGAGATAATGGACATTCAGCGTGTCAATTTTCAATGGCATGAATTTTTTCCCAATGGTAGTGTCTTCTCCTTTTGATGGTTACATTGCATTTCTGTTTGCTTTATTGATCTAATATTTTCAAGTCTATGCAGCTCGAAATCACTATGGTGCAATAATTGCAATCTGGGCTCCTGTAGTGTTGGTGTGTATGTTACTGGTTATGTTTATATATACGATTGTTTGTTTCTCTTGTACACTTATTTCAGTGTATTCAAATCTCATTATTTACTTCTTCAATACAGGTTTATTTTATGGACACTCAAATTTGGTATGCAATCTTCTCAACTTTGTACGGAGGTGCTGTTGGAGCCTTTGATCGTCTAGGAGAGGTCATCATAATTTTTATTTGATTTTTAGCTTGGCATGTCCAAATAGAACTTGCATCTAACTTTCTAATTTTTGTAGAACACAGGCACATAGCTTAGGGAAACTCATACCTATTTAACCAAGTTAAGAAGTATATAGGATCCTTCTGGATGCAAAGTGCTCTGATTGCCATTTGATTATATTTCTATATAATAGAAATGGTAGCTATACACTTTTCAATAACTTCTTTTAAGTTTTAGATTAATCTTTACAGTTTTCTGAAATTTATTTAGTCTCAAAAAGTCATTAGGAAGACTCTTTAAATAAGGAACTCACATAATTTTGTACGTCTCAATAAATTTAAATCAATATTAAAGTGTATGAAATAATGTGTTACTAACATTTCCCTTCTATGAAATTATGAACTTGGGATCGGATTACTTCTGTGGATTTAGAGAGTAAAGAAGTTTACCATCTTTTCACAATCAACTAATATTAAATTCGATTCCACAGATACACACTCTGCACATGCTAAGATCCCGGTTTCAGTCAATGCCTGGTGCATTCAACACATGCTTAGTTCCTTCTGATATGAAGCGAAAAGGGAGATTTTCTTTCTCAAAGAAATTCGCTGAGGTTGCTTGAACATTTTCATTTCTAACTACATTAAATATATTTCATTAATTCATTTTCATTTTAGTTTCCATGCTTGTATAGATTTCTGCAAGCAAAAGAAATGAAGCTGCCAAATTTGCCCAATTATGGAATGAGATTATTTGCAGTTTCCGCGAGGAAGATCTCATAAGTGATAGGAAAGGACCTCAGTGCCAATCTCTAGTTGTTTTCCCTTGCTCTCTATCCTAGATTCTATGCTTCCTCTTCCCCCTTTTGATTTTTCTGCCCATCACCTATTTAGGACTAAACTATCTTTGCATGATTCCAGGGAGATGGATCTTTTGCTAGTTCCTTACTCATTGGGTCATTGTCTGAAAATAATTCAGTGGCCACCATTTTTGCTTGCAAGCAAGGTAGGGTAATATGATTCAATATTCGTTTGTTTATTACCAGTTTCTATGATTGACACTGTAAAACTTGACAGATTACTGTAGCACTGGATATGGCAACTCAGTTTCGAGGGAGGGACTCTGACCTTTGGAAGCGCATATGTGCCGATGAATTTATGAAATGTTCTGTGATTGAATGCTACGAATCCTTTAAACATTTTATAGATGATTTAGTGATAGGAGAAACTGAAAAAAGGTATCCTTTAGATTTCATGCCAGAAATGCTATTCAAGATTAATGGATTATATTCTTTTTCAGTGGTACAAACTCGACTCAGTTTCATTAATCTTCAATCCTGCTCCGATATGCTTTTGTACGAGGACTTCAAAATTGTTCTTGCAGTCTATTAGTCCTTTTTGGATTTACTGAATAGCAATTACACTCAGTTGTTATTTATTTTTTAATCCATTTTTAGATCTATTAATGAGCTACTTGACAACATAAGGTATATAAATGAATAAAGGAACGTTTAGCCACTAAATTGTGTAATCAATATCTATTTTAGCCACATTAATTCATAATTTCATATTGAAGTGCAGTGGAATCTTCTTGTCAGCTGTTTGTTGTTTTCTTAAGCAGCACATATAATTGAACTATTGAAGCTATGAATATTTAATTAAATTGAATTTTTATCATTATTTCTGAATCAATTGTGATGAACCAGAATAATTTCCATTATCATTAAAGAAGTCGAAAGCAACATCGCAAAGAATACACTTCTTTCAAATTTCCGTATGGGCTTTCTACCCTCCCTTTGTAATAAGTACGTGCAACTTGTGGAAATCTTGGTTAGTCATTCAAAAACTATATCTTTAGTTCATATTCTTGAATGCTGTCTTGCCTTTAAAAACATTATATTAGGATATTTGCACACTGATTTCTTGTAACAGAAAGTCGGAGATCCTTCCAAGCGGGGTACAGTCGTGGTCTTGCTGCAAGACATGCTAGAAGTGGTTACCGATATGATGGTGAATGAAATCAGGTTTTACTTGAAGGCATTAATTTTGGAATATATAAATATATATAATATACATGAGCTATCATATATATATGATAGCTCATGGATTTTCATTGAAAATAATGATGGCTGATTTTTTACTTTTGATGTTGATCAGCGAATTGGCAGAACTTAATCAAAGTAGTAAGGACACTGGACAACAAATTTTTGCTGGTACAGAGGGAAAACCTGCTATACTATTCCCTCCTGTGGTTACACCACAATGGGAGGAACAGGTACTAAGTAATATAAATTCAATTGTAATTATTTTTAAAAAATTTATATTCGTATTCATTGATAGGCTTCTGCAACCAATGAATCATTGTGCTTGTTTCAGATAAGACGTCTTTATCTACTTTTGACTGTGAAGGAATCTGCCGTTGAAGTTCCAACAAACAGCGAAGTACGCAGAAGGGTTGAATTCTTTAGCAATTCATTGTTCATGAATATGCCACGTGCTCCTCGAGTGCGTAAAATGCTCTCATTCAGGTCTGGTGCAGATTCCTTAATTACGTGGTCACGAAGATATATATGCCCATGTTATGTCTTACAGATATTATAAACTGCAGGAATATCTTATTTTTATCTTGCATGATAAACTTTGCAAATTAAATGTCAATAGCCAATAGAGCAGAAGCCGTATCATCAGTGTCAGTGTTATACGATGTTTTCTTTACAATGTGATAACTTCATCTTGTAGGATTACTATCTTATACAGTAGACACAAAAAAACTCCTTTTTTAGTTATTTAAAATCTTTTGTCAAGAAACTTTTTTTGCATAAAATTCAAAATCTGATGCATTTTGAAGCTGGCCGTGCTTATGTATTGCTTTATTTTGTCTCTTTTTCAGTGTCCTAACTCCATACTATAGTGAAGAGACTGTGTATTCTAAGAATGATCTTGAGTTTGAGAATGAAGATGGCGTGTCAATCATATATTACCTTCAAAAGATCTTCCCTGGTTTGTAATAGCTCACAATATAACTTAATTGTATATTGAAAATAGAGAACAAACTGGCTAAAATTTTGTAATGTTGCCAGATGAATGGAATAACTTCTTGGAGCGACTTGAATGTAAGAAAGATAGTGAAATATGGGAGAAAGATGAGAATATATTACAGCTACGTCACTGGGCCTCATTAAGAGGACAAACTCTTTGTAGGACAGGTATATGCTGACTCCATTTCCCCTCGCCTTAGGCTGGATCAGGTCAACTGATTTGTTTCTCTTCTAATGTAGTTAGGGGAATGATGTACTACAGGCGGGCAATAAAGCTCCAGGCATTTCTTGATATGGCCTCTGAAAAAGGTAATATTAAGTTCCCTTTACTCTGAGAAGTTTAGTTAAATCTAATAGGTAAAATGGGATGTTTTTTGTGATTCATAGTTTTTTCTCTAACATTGGGCCTTAGTCTTTTTTATTTATACATATCTTCAACTCTTAACAAGCATTTTCTTGCCACTATACTAACCAGTAAAAATACTTGTCATATTAACTATGGATGGCAGAAAAAAAAGAGTATTTATATACTAAGATGATTGCACGTCATTTTGTCTTGTTAGCAGAGATACTCGACGGCTATAAAGCTATTTCTGTTCCGTCTGAGGAAGAGAAAAAGAGTCATAGATCCTTATATGCCAGTTTAGAGGCTATGGCTGACATGAAATTCACATACATTGCTACCTGTCAGAACTATGGGAATCAGAAGCGTAGTGGAGATCGCCGTGCAACAGATATCCTGAATTTGATGGTTAAGTATGTTCTTTTGCAAAATAAAATTGAAAATTTTTAGCATATATTTGGCTTTTAGTTTCCCTTAGTTCACGTAATTTAAGAATCTAATTTTTGGTTCTTCATTTATAGCAATCCCTCCCTTCGTGTTGCATATATTGATGAAGTTGAAGAAAGAGAAGGTGGACAAGTACATAAAGTTTATTATTCTGTATTGATCAAAGCTGTGGACAATCTTGACCAAGTAAATGCATATTGATGTCTGAGAAGAGCGGTTAATTACTAGTATTTACCTTAGAAATGATTGTTTTTGTGTCACCTCTGAAGGAGATATATCGAATAAAGCTACCGGGTGCAGCAAAATTAGGAGAAGGAAAGCCAGAAAATCAAAATCATGCCATCATTTTTACTAGAGGTGAAGCTCTTCAGACTATCGACATGAACCAGGTAAAACATTATAAAATGTGAAAGCTCAAACAAGTCGTCAATGGGTGTCAGTCCTATTAAAATTGGTTCATTTGAAATTTCTTCAAGGATAATTACTTGGAAGAAGCTTTGAAAATGCGTAACCTTCTGGAAGAATTTAATGAGGATCATGGAGTGCGCCCACCCACCATATTAGGTGTTCGTGAGCATATTTTCACTGGAAGGTTATGAATTGTTTTCTACTTAGATCTAGCTCTTTCCCGTAATTAGACCCTATACTACTTAATTTAATCACTTGTTACAGTGTCTCTTCCTTGGCCTGGTTTATGTCAAATCAAGAAACTAGCTTTGTCACAATTGGTCAAAGAGTTCTTGCAAGAACGCTAAAGTAAGTTTTATTTGTTTTGAGTTTCTTATGATGCGTTGACTTTCCATAAATTAGGAACCTCCCAAGAAACACATGACTAATCTTGGAAGCATGTTAATTTAAAGATTGCAGTGCATACAAGATATTTAAAACTAGTCTCAAAGGTTAACATATTGAAACCGTAGTTGTTTTGAGTTTTGCTCCGTGATGAATTTTCTGCTTTTCCCCTCTATTTAATTTTTTTCGGTGGCAACTATCAGTCAACTATTGGACTTCTATTTTTGTTTTGAGTAATTATTGCAAGAGATCTAAAGCATGTATAATACAGAATACACATTTCTGACTTATGATGGATTATTTTATTTTTTTTCATTTGTAGGGTTCGATTCCATTATGGTCATCCGGATGTTTTTGATAGAATTTTCCATTTCACCCGTGGAGGATTCAGCAAGGCTTCTTGTGGCATCAACCTAAGCGAGGATATATTTGCTGGTAACATTGTTGATACCTCTTTTTTAGCAGTGATTTGATATTTCTACCTTTGCATCATATGCCCTTTGCCTATACAGGATTCAATTCAACACTAAGACGTGGAAATGTTACTCATCATGAATACATCCAAGTTGGAAAGGGTAGAGATGTAGGGCTCAATCAAATCTCCCTTTTTGAAGCAAAAGTGGCCTGTGGTAATGGAGAGCAAACACTAAGCAGGGATATCTACAGATTGGGGCATCGATTTGACTTTTTCCGAATGCTATCATTTTATTTTACGACTGTTGGATTTTATTTCAGCTCAATGGTAAAGCTTAATGTTTTAGGATTAAGCAAAATAAATACTAAGTATCTTTATATTATATAAAAGCAATGTTTATCTAGGGAAGTCTGTTATTAAAAATTTACCTAATGTTATAAATATCCAAATGAATATGGAAATTTTCTGATAATTTGATCACTTAAGCGCTGAGAGCTGGCATTTTCAACATGGGAGCTATATAATTTTCTTGATTAAATGTCTTCTGAATTTTATCCTATGTGCTTAATCAGCTAATCCCACATATAGGACTAAAGCTTTCTTCTGCTGTTCACAGATAGTGGCCATCACAGTTTACGCTTTCCTATATGGCAGATTTTACCTGTCATTGAGTGGACTTGAGGCTGCTATAATTAAGTTAGCCAGGAAAAATGGAGACGATGCATTAAAGGCTGCAATGACTTCGCAATCCCTTGTTCAAATAGGTATTCTGATGACTCTGCCCATGGTCATGGAAATTGGACTAGAGAGAGGATTCAGAACGGCTCTAAGTGAGATCATAATAATGCAGTTGCAGCTAGCACCCGTTTTCTTCACTTTCTCCCTAGGGACTAAGATGCACTATTATGGGCGCACTCTCCTGCATGGAGGGGCAAAGTACAGAGCAACTGGGCGTGGTTTTGTTGTTCGTCATGAGAGGTTTGCGGAAAATTATAGGCTGTATTCTAGGAGTCACTTTGTAAAAGGGATGGAGCTAGCTATACTGCTTATATGTTATAGGCTTTATGGAGAAGCAACGCCTGATTCAGTGTCATATTTTATTCTCTCATTATCAATGTGGTTTTTAGTGTGTTCTTGGTTGTTCAGCCCTTTTCTTTTTAATCCATCGGGATTCGAGTGGCAGAAGATAGTTGAGGATTGGGATGATTGGACAAAATGGATAAATAGTCATGGTGGTATTGGTGTTTCTGCAAACAAAAGCTGGGAATCGTGGTGGGATGAGGAACAGGAGCATCTGCAACACACTGGGCTTTGGGGGAGGATTTGGGAGGTCATTCTTGCCCTGCGTTTCTTTGTTTATCAGTATGGAATTGTGTATCATCTACATGTGGCTCAATCTGATAAGAGCATAACGGTAATTTGCTCGCTAATTTAAGTATATACTTCACATTTTCACATAAAACTTAAGTATCTTCTTCTTAGGGTTTAACTGCAGACATCTATCCATTCTATATTCTAATGTACGTCGTAGACAAAGAATAGCTCCTTGGTCAGAAGAGAATTGAGTTCTTTATCACCCTGCCTGGGTAAAAACAAGAAAGAAAAAGAAATAAAAGGCACGGTTGCATATAAGAATAAGATATAACTTTCTAACATACATTTTCTCTCTCAGGTTTATGGTCTGTCGTGGCTTGTGGTAGTAGTTGTCATAATCGTCTTGAAGGTCGGTATTCAATGATCGGACGGTTCATTATGAGTTAAATCATTTTTTTATGCTTGATCTTAATAATTATTCTATTAATCAATTGGTCGCATTTTTGCATCTGATATTGCAGATAGTATCCTTGGGTAGAAAGACGTTCAGTGCAGATTTCCAGCTGATGTTTCGTCTCCTCAAATTCTTTCTGTTTATTGGAATTATTGTCATTCTCGTCTTAATGTTTACCCTACTGAGTCTAACAATTGGTGACATCTTTGTGAGCCTCCTAGCCTATTTTCCAACAGGTTGGGCATTTATACAGGTACTTCTTTGTAGTAATTTCTTCATGTTTTGATGTATATTTCTTACATTCGAGGATATTGAACATACAACTTGGCCTTAATTTTGTCTCAAAACATTTGAACGAAACAGCTGTTAGGCCCTTATTGGTACTTTAGCTTTGAACAGCCATACTTCAGGGTGGTTTAATAAACTACCTTTGTTTGTTCCATAAATATTGCTCAATTGTCCAGGAAATGACTAATTTACGGAAAAGAACATTATTTCTTTATGTTATTGTATCTGGGACTCTAGTAAATAAATTAGTTTTTCCTTCCTAGTTCATGCCATTATTCGAGAAGCTTCCCCGTGACTTCTTTTGCTGTTATATATGAGCAGATAGGTCAAGCCTGTAAGCCTATGATGAAGGGAATTGGAATGTGGGGGTCCATCAAAGCGTTATCAAAAGGATATGAATACGTGATGGGAGTGGTTATCTTTGCACCAGTGGCCATATTGGCTTGGTTCCCATTTGTTTCAGAATTTCAAACTAGACTGCTATATAATCAAGCTTTCAGCCGAGGGCTTCAAATCCAGCGCATTCTGGCTGGTGGCAAGAAGAACAAATGAGACAACTGAATCCTTTTCAGTTATCTTGTTAGAGAGTCCGGACTGACGATGAGATGAATATTGCTGCATACAAAAAAAAATCAGCAATTATAATGCGTAGCAGACTGCACATGGGGACTGTACAGTAAGAAGAATTCTTCGACATAGTGTTGGATAATTTCATGAATTCTGAAGACCGTTGAGTTGGTGAATCTTAAAACGAAATGGTTTAAACTTCCGGACATATTTTACGAAAGGTCTTGCGACAGGCAGCAGTCCATTCTATGTGAAAGGAAGAGCTAGTCAATTAATCCTTGAGAACACGAAACACGTTATTTTTATCACTGCTTTTTGGAAATTGAAAAACGCGTAGTGACATGTATGTCACAATTGGCTGAGAGCAATAGTAAAATTGTTAGAATAACTCTTACAGAAGAAATTACATAATTTTTTTTCCTAAAAGATGAAATAAACCGGAAATTTGTGCTTAACTATCGTTGAGGATGCCTTGAACGTTTATAGATAGATACAATTTTAATATTTAAAATGAAATCGATGTAAAAATAAAAGCATTATTTACCAAAACGAAGGTTAAAGTAAAATAATCATGAAATGTTTAAAAAAAGGATTATATTAGTCTTGCTTTTGAAGCTATTAATATCTTCAGAAGAAGTGCTTTGTTGGCAATATATTATAGAAATTGATAACAAGAAAGTCTTCGACAAGGATTTCTTGTTTAAAGTGTTGCACCGTTTAGTTTTCATTTGAAATTTTGTGGATAGATCAAGGTTGTTTGGGATTCTGCTAAGCTTTCTTTTTTCTTAATGGCAAAATAGTTGGTTTCATTGTAGAAGGGGTGTGAGGCACTGCGATTCTTTGTTTCCTCTTTTTTGTGTTGCAGAGAAGTTCTTAGTTGAGGCATAAGCAAATTGATGGAGGACGGTTTGGTTACCTACAGGTGAACTTTTTTCTACACATTCTTTACATGTTGACAATATTTTGATCTATTGCAGGGGTACTCAAGTTAATATATAGCGTATCATGATTTTGCCTGAAAACTAACATATCATGGCAAATTATTAATACAAACAAATAAAAAATGATGTTCATAATTGGTCTGGTGCTAAAAGTGTGGGTTACGGCGCTATATTGGGATTTAATCAAGGTCTGCTTCCTTTTAATTACCTCAGTGTTCCTCTCTTCAAAAGGCAAAGGGCAAGTCACGGAAAATTTATTTGCAAGCCCTTCCTGATCGTGTCAAAAGAGACTCCAAAGATGGTAAGGAACCATGCTTTCATAAAGGGAAGATGCACTCTAATATCTTCCGTTATTCAAAACATGTTATGGCATAGTTTTCAGGTTTACTGTTGACCTTCTAGTTCGATCAAGAACATTGATTCATGGATGATGAATTTTTTCTAGTCTTGGGATATCTACATTAAGAAGATTGTGACAGTTACCGGAAAGAAAGTTCGCCAACCACAAAGCTTTGATGCTTTAGGTCTCAAATCAGTTTTCAAAAAGGAGACAACTACGTTAAAGCTTGATTGTAACTTGTTGATATTCAGACTAAATTGATATTTGGCGGGGCAGAATTCTCAAAAAGAATGATTATTATGTATCCTTATTAGCTATTCCTTTTGGTCTAGTATTAAAAACCATTTTCCTTGTGTGTTCGCTAATGTGAGATGGCAAATTGGAGATGGTACTCTTATTCGAATGATTAGACAGGCTTCTTGTAAATATTCTGAATATTCGATATAATCTATACAGTTAGTTGATCTCTACAATTGCAGAATATATTGAGGATGGAATGTGATGTTACTCAGATATTATTAACAATGAAGATACTACCCTGACTACCTTTTCTAAAGAGATCATATTGTCCGTTCAATCTATTGAGGATGAGCCATACAAACTCTACTAATAATATTCTTACTTCTAATATTGCATATCATCATGTACATGAAAATTTGACTGGTTCTGGTAAAAGGTTGTGGAATGAATATTTTTCCCTTTTAAAATGTTTATTTTTTATGAGATTTATGCATAAGTGTCACTAGCGACAATCTTTTAAGGCAAAAAAAATGTTGACATCTTAATTTTTTCAAACAGACAACTTTAAAATAATAACTTTTTGTTGATTGATAGAAAGAAAATAAAAAGATAAATAATAATATAAAAAAGTTTAAAATATTGTTGGATATACGTTAAGGGTTGTTAATATATCATTTCCCATTTTTAAAAGGTTGCTATGTGGCTTTTTGTTGCTATCACTGTGCAAAAAATTATAAAAACAGTTGAGCATTTGCTGTCGTTACCCTTATGCATGTAAGTTCTGGTCTTAGGCTTAGTTCTTGCTTGGGTTTTCATATTGATCATCGCGAGATTAGTTCGCCTATGAAGATCATGATGACACCTGGAGTTATCTTGTTAAGATAAGCAACTATTTGTTATGTTATAGATACAATTAGGTTTAGCTGTAATTCTATTTGTTTAATAACACAATGATTCCATACATGAAGCTTCAAAATAATATATTTATTGGTGTTAACATGGTTGGTAATTTTTGTTCATACTGTATAGTTCCAATATACAAGAATTTAAAATCCTTAAGGCCTTTAACGTATCCATCATGTCCAGTCGAGCTAAAGTCTTTAATGGGAACGTAACGTTGTAAAGGTTGCTTTTTGCATTTTTTTTTTCTCTTCACATTCAGATATTTTTTTCTTCCGAAATATAGGATTGAGAAATTTCATGTGAGACTAGAGATACAATTATAAATAGGTGAGGATAATTATTAATTTACTAAGTTAGTTTTGTAGGATTTAGTCTAGAATAATATCAAAATCAATATCTTAAAATCAATTCTAAAGATATTGAGACATTAATTGTCAATAAAAATAGATTAAATTATTATTATTGGATCAATATTAAACCACGAATTAATATTGAATTATTAATTCTTGATACGAGGAGTTGTGTTGAAATATAATAACATTATAATATATAGGTGAGTGTAATATTTATATTACTGAACCCACTAAATATGAGTGTAATAATCATATGACTGAAACCACTAAATCATTTTTATAGGGTTGAATTAGATATATTATTATTTTTAAGATGTTAAGCATGATTTATTATTTATATTTTGAATCTTTTGAAATATCTAAAAATCATTTAGATCTTAAATCTTTTTAAACCACTAAATAAGGAAAGAAAAAATGATATATGAATTTTTTTTAATATTCTTTAAAAATATGTTAAGATGATAAAATACATAGTTTAACCTTATAAAATTATAGTTAGTGTGAGATTTTTTAACACATCCTTACATCAAGAGAGATTTTTTTATTATAACTCTTATAATCGTCACACTCCCTAATATCCAAAATGAATAGTATAATATTAGTCCAATAATAAATAATTTAATTTATTATTATTAATCGTTAATATGTCAACCATTATTAAAATCTATTCTAATACATACTATTTTTAAAAATGATGAGATACATACTTCAATCAGATTAATAAGATGAAAATTTCACTCACGAAATTGAATTAATAAGACGAGAATTATATCCACCAACTCGAATTAATAAAATAAGAATTACCTGGCTTATACACTATTATCGTATTGTGGAATTTTACAACACAGAGTATAAATTAGGTTACTTTGATTAGCTTTTTAATAGACTTTTTTTTATTATTATTTCTTTAAATAAAATATTCTTTTTCTTAGACTTTTATTTGTTTTGAAAAAAGGTTTTTGGTTCTAAATTTTAATTTTAAGGATATACAAGAGGCACTTGCTTGTTGTACCTTCGAGTTTTCAAGCAGTACCTCCCATTTCCCAGTGAAAGACCAAAATGTCCAATCATGTCGCCACCGTCAATTTGACTTCTTCAATTTTGTTTCGAAACTGCCACACAAGAGGTATCCCTGTCGCTGTCAGTTTTATAGTTTCATTCTGGAATATGTTCACAGCGTTCAACAATCAGAAAATATATTCTAGAGCGACCTGTCCAGAAATGAATTTGAAATTTGAAGTTGATTGATTTTTTTATTTTTTTTTATCATTTTTCTTTTAACTTTGGGCTAAATGAATTTGATAAATACTTGAATGATAGTAAATTTAGAGAATCCATGTTAAAGGAATGGAGACATGAGAAGTGATGGACAAATTTCATGAAAATCACTTGAACTGCCACTATCGTAATAATGACTTGCGGATTTTGAAATGGAAAGCTTGGATTTTAAAATATGTCATTAGATTGATAGTGGCAAATACGATTTATTGATAATTTATTTTAAGTCAACTAATATATTATTAATAAATAATAAATAAATATAAAAATATAATTTTTTTTTAATTTCTGTTTTTTTTTTCAGAAAAACCTATTCCCCTTCTTTGCATCCTTCATCATGCATTTCAAATTATCATCACTTACACCATCCACAGCACAACCTCACCGTAAGGAGAATTATAACTAAATACTCTTATATTAAAAGAAACCCTTAATTATATAGTCATTGTAGATGAAGCACAAGGACCATCACCCACTTCTATAATTGATATGGTGAAGAAATATTAATGCTTTGTTTGGTTGGAGTGATTTGAGAGAGTGGAAATGAGAGAGTGGAAAAGGAGGGAGTTGAAGAGAAATGGAGATGATATTAAAGTTGTTTGGATGAATGGAAAGTGAAAGGAAAGTTTATGGGAAATTGTGAATGATTTGATTGATATGAGATATAAAAATTATAATTTTAATTGATTATTTAAGAAAATTACCATTTTACCCTTTGTATAAAATAAGGTTCAAATGATTATAAATATAATTTTTTAATTAATTATCCATATTTTAACATTGATTATATATTTAAAAGAAAAAACAAATTTAAAAGTGTTTGTAATTGGAAACAAATTTAAAAAATTAACTTTTTTTAAATAGTTATTAAAAATTATATAAATAAACAATTACAAAATTATGTACATTGCATATCCATAAAAAAATAATTTTGACATATTAAATAAATTATTTGATTAATAATTAAATAATTATAAAATATAAAATAATAATTAATATTGATTGATAATAACAAATAATTATGAAATGAAAGTAAATTATATTTTAGAAGATATAATTTTTCAAATGATCGACTTTAGATAGGGGTTAACCTTGAACCGCTATCATATGTTCACCTCGATAGCGGTTCCAGGTTAACCGCTATCTAAAGTCTCGAGTATTTGAAGATCTGATCGATTACTTTGCCAAAATGATTGAACAGCATTTTTAAATACTCGAGACTTTAGATAGCGGTTAACCTGGAACCGCTATCATAGGTGAACATATGATAGCGGTTCCACGTTAACCGTTATCTAAAGTCTCGAGTATTTGAAAATCCGGTCGATTACTTTGCCAAAATGATCGATCAGATTTTTAAATACTCGAGACTTTAGATAGCGGTTAACGTGGAACCGCTATCTAAAGTCTACATTAGTCTGTCTGCATAAATTATATTCCAGTAATCTCTTGCACCAGTGAATCTTCCAGAGCACCAGTGAATCTTCCAGAGTGAGGGTAAGTTGGACATTTCAATTTGTCCAGGAGGCTTTCGTCGCTTTTCTTCGTGGACCAGCGAAGATCCTCTTTCTCCCATCTCCCGCTTTTCCTCGCTCTCATTTCGTCGTGTTTCTGTTCAACCAAACGTGTGTCATCCTCGTCTTTCTATCTTCGTGAACAGTCTATAAGTGGAAACAAACAGAATGTAAAAGTCAAGAAACAAAGAACCTACTACAACTAACATAGGCAAAAATCCACTCACCTACCCTAACTCAATAAACGTTACCCTTCCATCCAAAACACTCTTCTCAAGACTCCTTCTTTGTGAAAGATTCGCAACACCCATCACCTAAAAATATGAAAATCATTCTCCCCTTTCAATGAAACTTGCAATATACACTTCATCATCCTCTACAAAAATCAAAACATGAATTCAAGGGATCAGAAATTCAATTCAAAAAACTAGGATTACAGAGAAAATCACACAAGCGACCTGAAATAACAAATTTGGATAGATTTTACAGAGATAGATCGAGAATGAGGAAGGAGTAATCCAGAAGAAAAAGAGATATGGAGACAGAGATATTTTTACCATAATCATGTCCTGTTATTATTATCAAGCTATGAAAATCATTCTACCATATGTGTAAAACCGTTGCATATCTGTGAAAAGTCAAGGAGAAAAAAAAAAACAAATATATATATATATATATATATATAATATTAAAAAATTATTTAAAATTTTAAAAAACTATTGAATAATATTTTGTTAAAATTATTTTTATTATTAATTTTGAAAAGCTAAAAAAGTAAAACGATTATTTTTTTTTATTTTCTGTTTTTATTAATCAATATTGATGAATAGTCACTTATTTTTATTATTATAAAGTTTTAAAAATATTTTTTTTCACTTTTAATATCATTCGTTTCGTTAGATTTTAAAAGTAAAATCATCAAATAATTTTTTATCTTATTTAAAAAAAATTAAAATCATTTTAAACACTAAACAAATAAAATTAAATCAAATGTCTAGTTACTTGTCAATTTGTTAAATACAAAATTAGGTCATTCGTTCAACTTAGTTAGAAATTAAAAAGAAAAAAATGAAAACAAATACCCGAACATTTGATTATGAGAAATAAAATAAAGATATTTTATAACAATAAAATTTATTTTTATGTTTCTCTTTTCTTAATGAAAATGTTTATTTTATTTGTTATTAATTTAAATTTATTTATGTTATTTTCTATAATTTTATAAATATATAATTGACCATATAAAGTTTTTAATTATCCCAAATTTTATAAATTAAACAATTTTCGTCTATCATTAATATAACATTTAGTTTTAATATATTCCTCCAACACACACACACACACACACACACATATATATATATATATATATATATATATATATATATATATATATATATATATATTAGATTATTATATCATGTAATTAATGTTTTATTATTAATATTTTACGAGAATAAGTAACAAACAACATTATTAGAATTAATAATCTTTTTTTTATAACCTTTTCTAGTTATGTTTTCCGTATTATTTTTTTTTTCTTATCAATCAAATGCAATATAACATTGAAAAAGACATAATTGGGTGAAAGTAGGCTAAAATAGTTTCTTTATTTTTTATTGACCTATTCCCATGTGGCTATACTCTGTTGAACAATATCATATCTTACCAACTATGTGTTGAGCAGGTACAACTTTAAATTTCAGCTTTTATTTTATGATCTCAATCATTAGTTAATTCATTTCTGTACCCTCTTCCAATCTTTGTCGAACACAACACAAGTACGAGGTTCTCCACTAACGATGACATTGCATTACAATATTATATTATATATAGCTTTCGGTTATTGTTGAAAGCTAACTAAATCAAATTCATCAAAGAGACAAATTATATTGCTCCACTTGAACCAAACCAACCATGGTTTTGAATGTATAATTGAGTTCCAATTATTTACAGTGCCTTGTCGTGTACTAAAACATGCCTCTTGAGGCAGTTAAACAACCCAACACATTGCAAAAGCAACGAATAGAAAGGAGTAGCAAATCAAATGAAATTGTTAGGAACCCAAAATTTGAACCTCTATCATATATATGTACGAACTGCTATAAGAACTTGAAGTAGTTATATTCTACACCTATTGCACAACAAAACTCAAAAAAAGTTAATGGAGTTGTTGCATTATTGTTCTAGAAAGGTGCTGATGCTATGTCTCTGAATGCTGCTGCTGGGTCTACTTGTGTTGTTGCGTCTTTGGAGTTCATCAGTTCCAGTTCTTCGTCCAATTCCATGTCCATTGTTGTGCTGGATCCTAAGCAGCATGCGCCACTAACCACTGGCTGCATACCCTGCCAATATTTGATTAAATTGAAAACACATATCACACTTCCATTTTCATGTATTATTTATACGTAAGTTGCTCAAAACTGTAATGAGTATGATTTTAATATAAATTTAAAAAGTGAAGAAGTTAATCTTACATAAGAATTATCATCTAACTAATATATAAATCTTTTATGCTTTCAGATGAGTATGCTCTTACCTACCTTTTTATCTAGTTGAGAATAAATAGTTCTGTCCTATTTTGAATTGAGATATGTTCATGCTCATCCAATATCTGAGATAGATGTTTTATCTTTATGTATCAATAAATTTAGTTAAATAAATATCTACTATTCATTCCCAAACAAATAATTAAGTATGATGTGTAATATATAAGTGAATAAGTTTATATTTTTTTATATAATTGAGAATAAATAAAAAGTTGTATACTATTGTGAATTTTGAATAATTCTGTACGATGAGATTAAGTTGATGGTCATCTAAATGTTTTGTCTCTATTTATCCAATAAATTTTATTTTTATTTTATAAAAAAGTTATCTAAAAACTTAAAACGTGTGATTTGATGTTATTGTATGTAGATGAGAATAAAATGTTGTGTAAAGATTGATTGATATAGACATTCAAAATGTATCAATTCTAAGACAAACCTTGGATAGGATAAATTAATTACAATTGAATGATTTTTCTTAGACCATCTATGAAACCAAATAATTATCATTACTAATTACTCAGAACATTATAGTTTTCTTCTCTCTCTTTTTTTTTTTTTTTCACAATTTGTATGAGCTAACAAGTATTTTTGTAAGAGTAAATTCAAATATTAGTAATATTTCATTTAATTATTGATTTTAAAGACACTTGTTAACTTTCTTTTTACATGTAAATCCAAAATATGAATACATACAAACACATGACTAATGTGATTTTATGTTTTCCTCCAACCCCTTCAACTAGCAATTGCCTTATAAACTATTCACGCAATCTTGTTCGCATGACCAAGAGCTGGAAATCTTCATGCAAACAAAATTATATATAAAGCATATAAAAAAATTACCATAAAAGGAAATTTTCACGCACCAAAACAAGATCTCAAGGCCCTCCTCACCTTATTTAGTATGTTATGTCTTCAAATGATTACAATTTTAGAAATAAATAAAAAAAGATCAGAAGTATAAATATGTACCTCCATGAAAATTCTGGAAGCTTCTTCTATGGTCTTTGTGTTCAATATATATACTGCTAACTCCTGTTAAAATCCACCATACCAACATTAAATCCCATATTAACCAAATAATTAGGTTTACAGCACGAACCATAACCATATATCATAGAACAATAAAACACAAGAAAAATGAGATGAATAGAAAAAGCAACGATGTGGCTTACCCTAGCTGATTGAATTTGGTGGATATTAAGAGTCCTGGGCTCCCTTTCTATTGATGAAGTCCTTGCAAGAGGTAACATGGTTGCCTCCATTTTTTTCTCTTCCCTGATATATGGTAATAATATCCAAACACAAACCCGAACATAAAATAAAAACCTTCTCACTATTTCTTGATCTTGATGTAGTTGTTATTATGGAAACAAGTATATGCGTATTGAATTGGGTCTCTTATATAGTTGAGGGACAGAAGAAGAAGAGCCACTGATGGCGGTCTATTGTGACGGCACGCAACAACGTGGCGAAGGGAGAAGGTGGGGTGCACGTGGCGCGGTGGATTCGTGGGTGATGATACAGATGGCACTCGATGATGACGTTGTACGAATCGAGAAAATGGAAACACCTGGGTCATGCGAACGTGTTTTGTATGGTTTCTAAAAGAGGAAAACGAGATCAAAACAGTGAGAGAATGAACATCTTAGATTTTTTGTCTGTGCAAATGAGAACGTCGTTACGTGTTTGATGAGGGTTGGGTTGGTACGGGAAGAATCGGTGGAGGGTCACTGCCTTGGGCTTGGGCCACGTGGATTGACCTAGAGGGGGTAAACGTGTACGCATATGATGCCATTGAATCGTTGTTGATGGTGACGTAAGATCTTGATGGGCCCAAATTCAGGCCCACGATGGTTTATGCACGTGACTCCGTGGATTTTCATGAATGATAATATTCTATGCTGTTGGGGGTCAATTATTTTATGCGTCGCTTTCGAACCCCTCTCAAAGTTTCTGCTTCCTTCTTCTATTCTTCTTTTTCTTTCCACCTTTTCACGTCCAAACTTTTCGTTCTGTCTCTGGTCAAGATATATACCAACAAATAAAATGGAATATCAGAGGTTTAGGGTTTTTGTTTTCTTCAAATTATGAAAATGTACAAGTTTTAACAGGGATCCCGAGTTTCAATTTGGATCTGTTGGACGGTGTTGTCTCTATCCAGGCCCAAGTCATGAGCCCAATATGGCTTGGGCTACCAAAGTAGGCATGATTTGTGGGTCCCCTATTAAATGGACTTTTAAAATGGCCTGATTTATGGGTTTCTACTTGCACTTTTTTTTAGAAAATAGTACTATTTTGCGAGTTTTATTTGTTGAAAGCAAAATAACTTTTTCGAAAGTTAATGAAATACGAATGTAAGAGTCACTTCGAAACACTCCAAAATACGTTTTTTGATTTATCTGTGATTTTTTTAAATCTTTATTCTGGAATTGTTTTACCTCATGAAATTACGGGGATTGCGGAGCCAATTGTGAAGAGCAAATCTATTTTGTGAGCTGAATTCAATTATATACAAAAAATTATTATACTAAATATGTCTTGAACAAAACATTCAAAAAAGAAAAAAAAACATTATTTTCCTTTGTGTTTGTGGTTATTGACTAAAACATATGGGAATTTGGCAGGTTCCTTGGTTGGCGCAGGATGTGTCTATGGCTTTATGCTGTTGGATGGCATTGGCATCTCAGCACTCACAAACATCCTTTTAACATTTTCCCAAAATGATGTTCTGTTTATCATCCCTTCTTTCTCTTGTCACTTTGTCATCATTCAAACGCAAATGCAATCACTTTGGGCCCACTTGCTTTTTTTCCTCCTAATCTCCCCAACTACCATTCCCCAACCAAATATCACATCTTAATCAACTTTATAATCCTTAAACATCAGCAAACTTTACAGACCATATTTAATAAAACTAACACTAAATAAGTAATAAAATAAAGGACAATGTTCCTCCAATATTCATATTTTTTTTCATGTATTATACAAGTAATTATGAATTGAAAATTTAAATTAGTATAGAAATTTGTGTCTTTTAATCTGAAAATGAAAAAGAAGTAGACAAAGGTTTTGGTAGAGCCCACGTCATCTTTCATTGGGAAAATCCTGATATATTGGAAAAAGAAAATCTGCATCAGCGCAACGGTAGAGTGTACGTATATACCAGAACAAGGTAACAAGGAATGTGAAGTGACAAGAAAAAGAAGTAAAAAGAAAAATAATTATTTTCCCAAAAGTAGAATTAATGCAATGGTCAAGTCCCAACTTACAGATGAAGCTCAAAAAAGAAAGAAAAAAAACGAGACACAAGTTGTCCTCGATTTCTTCACCCAAACACAAACTAAACTAACGATCCAATAAATCATCCCCATTGGCAAGAAGAAACATAATACAACTTCACCCTCTCTCTCTCTCCCTCTCTCCTTTATTCTCTCTCTAACCGGTGGGTTATTCAATGAATCGGTGGTCCCGTCGGAAGCCTCGCCGGCGAGCATGGTGCTGCTCGTTCGCACTCCCTCCCTCCAGTCCTGAACTCACCTCAATCTCCAAAACGCCTCATAAAGCACAACCCTTTCCCAAGCGCAGCGTTTCGGTACCAAACTCCCCTCAGAGCGCCAAATCCGGGTTACCCATCGTGGGTCGGATCGACCCGCGCCGGATCTTGTCGCCGGGGAGAGTGTCTCCCATTGACTCCGATTCCGCCCCCGCCGCGTCGCAACTCCGATCCCACAGCTTTCGCGCTCCCTCTCCGCCCCCACCACCGGCGGCGGCGCTGGACGTGAAGCTGAAGCTGCGAGGGAAGAATGGGGGGAGCATGGTGATGGAGGTGGACTCGGAGGTTCTTGGAGCGAACTCGGAGGTGTTTGCGGGTTTAATAGCGGATTGCAAGAGAGGTGGGGGTGGAGCGACGATGGAGGTAGAGAACTTGGGTGTGTTCAGTGACACCATTGAGCTTATGTTTGAAGATGATGATTGCATCACCAAGAGGCTCATCAACTTTGGCGTTTTTCGCTCCATTGACATTTTAGCGGTTCCTATTTCTTCACCTTTTTTATTTCTGTTCCTCTCACTTACATTCGCAAGTTTACCGTTTGGCAAAACCACTCCTTTCGTTGTGGCCGTTCGTTTCACAGAATGACAAATTATGTTAAGGAAATCTTTTACGACAAAGGGAAAATATTTGGAACTATTGACCGAAATATGATAAAACCTGCAACGAGTGAATCAAGGGGTTGTTTTAGTTTTATCATTGAACTCGAGTTCTAGGTTTGAATATGCAATTTTTCGTGGAGAAAAAAATTTACCAACATGGTACTCTTATCAATTTGGAGTGGAATTTAAGAATAGTAGTACTATCTCTTGAAAAAAACTTGCAATAAAGTTTTCTATGTTAGAACAACTTCCTTTTAGAGCTGACTGAGCATGCACATGGATGATTCTTAGATAGCTTTTGCAAAATTATGTTAATTAAAATTGATATTGGTTTGGTTAAAAGAAATTTTGAAGGGAATTCTATATGCTTGTTAACCATAAAACGTAGTATAATTTTTTTGGCACAAAAACTATCTAGAATTCTTGTAATACAAAATCAATTTGAAATCTAGAATCAATTTCTCCATAGAAACAAATATATAAATAATAAATGCTTGTATTAAATTAAAATTGTTGATAGTTCAATATTATTTGGGATGATTTAACCTGAATAGAAACTTGCACTGAATCTCTGACAGAGGTTGACCTGATATATGTTACTAGGTTTCAGCAACAATTATGTTCACTAAGGGCGTTCGGTGTTGTTTAAAGTACCTTGAGGCGGTTCCTTGGACCGAGGAGGAAGAAGAGAAACTTCGGAGCCTTTTCGCAAGATTTGAGTTCGATGATGCAGCAAGAAGAGACATTCTGGGAAGACTGTACTTGCATGACTCAGTAGATTCCCGGCCAAAAGTGGCACAACAACTTGTTTGGTCTATCAGCACCTCTGAGGATGCAAATGCCAGAACCGAAATGAAGTCACTAGTCAAGGGTCTTCTTTGCAAAAGCTCTGTGTATGAGAAGAACCATCTTGACCTTAGCAAGGAAGATCTATATGCTGTTTGTGACTCGTGTTTGAGTTCACTTATCAGTCTCTTTGAAGAGGCATCAGATATCATGCCCCCTGAAAGGTTGATGACAAAAGACACGATCAAGCCTCTGATTGAGCGCATCTCAAGACAGGTTGATAACATCAACTGGTTGCTGGAAATTATGCTTGATGGGCAAGTGGCAGAGGACTTTGTGGATGTATGGGCACATCAGGAAAAGCTTCTTAAAATGCATGACATTGCATCCCCTATGATCAGATATGAACTCAGTAGAGTGTCAGCAATCCTATTTGTTGCTATGGGTACAAGAAAACTGCAATGCCCATTGGAAGCTAGATCAGGGCTTCTCCAAGCATGGTTTGGACCTATGCTGTTGGACTTTGGTTGGCTTCAAAGATGCAAAAAAGGGCTTGATATGAAGGCCTTGGAAGAGGCTATGGGGCAGACGCTCCTTACTTTACCTTTAAAGCAGCAGTATGTGCTGTTTATGGAATGGTTTCGGCATTTCTCAAGACATGGCACTGAGTGCCCAAATATGGGCAAGGCATTTCAAATTTGGTGGCGCAGATCTTTTTTAAGAGGCTCTGAAGCTGTTGAATCAAGATAAATGTAACGTGGTTTGTCTTTTCTAGCGTGTGTAGAGTTGGAATTAAGTGAGAGATTCTAAATTATTTGAACTGAATAACGTAGTTAAGTAGGATGATCATCCAAGCAGCTTCATCACTAACTGTTATCAAGTTTTCTAGATTTTTTCTCCCTTGTTATTTGTTGACCAAAGTGAATTAAAAACTGAAGGCTCCTACTGTATCTTTTAGGATTGCTGCTCATGTTTTGCAACTTGATTGAGTCCACTTGGATGTGAATGTAATAAGGATATGTTGTTGTTTACAAATAATTGGAAATTTGGCTTCCTTCGACGCTGTGATTGCTGAGAAGATAGTTCAGTTGGAAGAGGGATGTGTTAATAAAGCAAACAAATCTCAACCTGCATTGAATCAAGAGCTGTTGCAAGATTTTGTTTGTTTGATCATAACTTATTCGTTTTGGAAGATGTGTACTTAAGGCAAGTTATGAGAAACGGGTATGGAGATACCGTATTTTTTTTTCCCATAGTTTTAGAAGAGGTAAATTGTAGTTAGATTAAATTAAGCACGATTAAGTTAACGAATCGTGCATAAACAAGATTATAACGGCTATTTTGGATGATTCGATGATAGAAATTCTGAAACAGTTTTTCATTTGATCGACTTGGGCGTTAATTCGTATTTGCATATCTAATAAAGCAGGGGTAAAGTTATTCCCTCCAGAATTCAGAAATTGATATAAATAAAGTAGCTTCTAAAAATGGTGCCGGTTTAAACGGTGTGTTAAAAGAGTTTTATCACAGTATGTAAATTGAGTTTTAGCTTTTATAAAAAGATTGTAATTGTGATTTAATATTCTTATTTCGCTATTTTAATAATTCACTATTGAGTTTCTTCTATTCTTTCATTTTCTGTTTCTTTCTTTTAGGTTTTTTTTTTATCAATTGGTACAAGTCGGTCCTTCCTAAGAAACTCACATAACATATGCTACCCGTTCAATTCAGGTAATAAAATACATGGAGGAACGTATATCTCAAAAGATGAATGTTCGTTTTATGGAATTAGCTGCTTCTTTGAAATAAATAATGCAAAAATTAGTTACGCAGAAAATGGCCAAGAGTAATACCAATTCTTCCGGTGATAATATGTCGCGGGGTACACGTTCAACTCCAAATTATATGTGTAGAACTCGAATGACACTTATTGATTTTCCCATATTCAATGGCGAAAACGTGAATCAATAGATATATTAGTGTGAAAATTACTTTCTCATTGATAATACCCTAGAAAATTTCAAGACGAAGTTAACAATTGTGCATTTGGAAGACAAAACATTGTGACATACTGTTTTAGCAAAATCTTGTTTGGATTCTTTTACATTTGTTGGACTGAATTCAAGAAACACTTATATGATCGGTTTGACGAGTATGACGATCCTATGACAGAGTTGATGCGCTTACGACAAAAGAAATCGGTGGATGACTATCATGAAGAATTTGATTCAATTATTATCAAATTAAATCTATCGGAAGACTATGTACTAAGTTATTTTTTGGGTGAGCTAAAATAAGAAATTTAAACGATCATAAGGATGTTCCAACCCAAATCCGTACAATGTTCTATTACATTGGCATGAATGTATGAATCGACCAATTCAATCAACGCTTCTGTAAGGTTTCAAAGGAGAGTTTTGGGTCCTGCTCTATCACCTACACAAGTCACGACGACAACATCTACTGCAATCTCAAAACCTAAATCACAAAGGACCTTAACACCAACCAGCGTACATGTCGGTAAGAAGAGCTAAAGGGCTATGTTAATTTTGTGATGAGCCTTATTCCCCATAACATGGTTTGGCCCAAAAGAAAGAAATTACAAATTCATGTAATAGAGGTGAAGGATGAGGTGGATATTGGTGAGGTGTCTACCGATGATGGAGGAACTCAATTACTTGCTCAAGAACCACAAATTTCAATCAATTTGTTGACAGGAGTAACAGGATTTAGAACTATGAGGATTACGGGTTATTATAAAAAAAACCCTTACACATTTTAATCGACACGGGGAACACTCACAATTTTCTGGACACTCAAGTAGCATCAAAACATGGGTGTGTAGTAGAAAATATTAATCCCTTGAATGTGGTTGTAGCGGATGACTCCAAAATCAAGATTTTGACAATGGTCAGAATTTCATTTGAAATATTCAACACACTACTTTTAGAGCTGATATGCTTCTTTTACTTCTGGGATATTGTGATCTGGTGTTGGGAATTGAATAACTCATTAAATTGGGTGATATTTTGTGGAACTTTGACAAACTCACAATCGAGTTTCAAGTGCAAGGAAGACGACAGATACTAACAGGATCCACTAATACCAAGGTTAAAACTGCAACCAAACAGCAGTTGTGCAAGGCTTTTGCAAAAGGGGTGCATTTATCTATGACACATCTTGGTGCCTCCAAGGACGATTTACTGTGTTCATTGACTACACATGCAGATCAGGTAACTTTACCGGTGTGAGTTGAAAATTTGATTTGTGGATGTATTCCGAGAACCACAACAGTTGTCACCCTTTAGACCAAGACATGATCCTAGTATTCCTCTCATGCAAGGAGTTAATCCGGTTAACAAAATACCTTATAAGTATGCTAAGAATTAGAAGGATATTATTGATAAACTCATACAAGAGTACTTGCAATCTGGTGTTATTCGGGACAGCTACAGCCCTTATGCCAGTCTAATCGTTCTTGTAGGGAAGAAGGATGGGTCATGGAGACTTTGTGTGGACTACCGAAAATTAAATAAAGAAGGATGGGTCATTCTTTTAGTAGACGATTTGTTGCATAAATTGGCAGGATCTACTATTTTTTCAAAGATTGACTTGCGAGGTATAATCAAGTTAGGATGAACCCAAATGATATGTGGAAAACAGCGTTTAGAACCCATATGGGGCACTATGAATATTTGGTGATGCCTTTTGGTCTCACTAATGCGCCAGCTACATTTCAGGGCTTAATGAACACTATATTTCACAAATTTTGAGGAAATTTTTATTGGTATTTTTTGATGACATATTCATATATAGCAGGAATTTGACAAACCATTTACAATATTTAAAGAAGGTGTTGTTAACTCTCAGATTAAACACTCTATTTGCTAAAAGAACTTAATACTATTTTAGGGTGCAGCAAGTGAAGTATTTGGGCCATATTATTAATAAAGAAGGATTGTCTACAGACCCGACTAAGGTGGCGGTAGTGGTGGAATGACCTTTACCCAAACTCTAAAACACTTGCAAGGGTTTTTGCGCCTAACAGGTTATTACAGTAGATTTGTTCGTGGCTATGGGGTAATAGCTAAACCCTTTACAGAGATGTTGAAAAAATACAAATTTAGTTGGACAGACAATGCTAAAGAAGCCTTTGAAGCACTAAAAAAATCGATGAGCAACACACCAGTTTTGACACTGCCTGATTTCTCAAAGGTGTTCTTGGTTGAAGTGGATGCTTCAAGACAGGGGATAGGGGTAGCTTTAATGCAGGACAATCATCTTATTGCCTATATTAGTCGAACTTTTAATCAACAACATCAGGCCTATTCAACATATGAAAAGGAATTGTTGGGAGTAGTTTTTGCAATACAAAAGTAGCGGCACTATTTACTGAATAGGCATTTTATAATCAAAATCAATCATTACAGCCTAAAATATATTCTAGACCAATGGTGGACTACAGATTTTTAGCAAAAATGGTTGGTGAAATTGATGGAATTTGATTTCTCTTAGAATACAAGAAAGGAGTGGACAATGTAGTAGTTGATGTTCTCTCCATAATGAAAACAGTTGAATGCAAGAGAATTATTACACTTCAATTACAATCTAAGATGATGAATTAAATACAACAATCATGGCTTATAGACATAAATTTGCAAAAGGTGATAAAAGAGCTATAGGGAAATACTAATTCACACAAATATTATACATGGAGAAACAATGAGCTGCGAAGAAAGGGTAAATTGGTAGTGGGAAACGATATGATATTAAGAAAAAAAGTTTTACAATGGCTACATTCGTCAGCTGAAGGGGATCATTTAGGAATTAATGCTAGTTTGAAAAGGGTAAAAACAGTGGTTTATTAGAAAGGATTAAACCGTGATATTAAGCATTTTATCGAACGTTGCGCTATTTGTCAGCAGAATAAGTATAGCACTGCTACCAGTCTTGGGCTACTACAACCTCTGCCAATTCACCAGACTATTTGGCAGCATATCACCATGGACTTCATTGAAGGACTACCGAATTGAGAAGTCAAACATGTGATTATGGTAGTGACAGATAGGTTTAGTAAAACAACTCATTTTATGGCCCTAACATATTCAGCAAGGGATGTTGCACAATCTTTTCTAGATCATGTGTTCAAATTACATGAATTTCTTGAAACTATAACTAGTGATAGGGATTCGGTCTTTATTAGTCAATTTTGGCAGGAATTTATGGCAGTACATGATGTGCAAGTCCAGCTGTCCATAAGTTATCACCCTCAAACAGATGGGCAAATCTAGTATTTACGGTCAGGTTCTCCTATTCACGTACCTTATCTAACTGACATATCTAATGTAGAATTGGTGGACAAAAGTCTCATTAGAAGAGAATAGATGCTCAAGGTAATTAAATTTCATTTAAAGATAGCACAAAAACAGATGGAGCAAGTTGCTGACAGAAATAGATCTGATAGAGCGTATGAGATTGGAGACCTGGTTTACGTGAAGGTACAGGTCTATAGATAAATTTCAGTAATCTCCAGATCTAATGCCAAATTAAGTCTCAAATACTATGGACCCTACAAGATTTTGGACAGGATTTTGGACAGGATAGGAGATGTAGCTTATAAGCTAAAACTTCCTATAAATTTAAAGATTCACAATGTATTTCATATATCGCAATTGAAGAAGCATATGGGGTAGACAAGAGTTGTCTTATCAAAGGCTGCAACAGAAGGAACCACAAGCTATTTTAGACAGAATGACCGTGAACAGAAGAGGGATGACAGTCGTAAAATGGAAACACTAGCTGTCAGAAAATGCGACATGAGAACTTTTTTATGATTTAAAGAAAATATTTCCTAATTTTAATCCTCGAGGACAAGATTCTTTCTAGGACAGGATATTGATATAAATTAAGTAACAATTTCTAGAAACGGTTTAAGCAATGTTTTAAAAAGAGTTTTACCATAAAAAAGTTATAATTGAGATTCAATATCTTTATTTCTCTCGATAACCCAATATTGGGTTCCTTCTATTATTTTATTCTTTTGTTTTCTTTTTCTTCTTCTAACTTTTCTTTAATAAGAAATTAATAAAGAAAGAATATGATAGTAAAAAAAATATACTTGGACAACCCATTAAACATAAAAACTTTCGTAAAATATAAGTTTTCAATATATCGATCCTCTGACTATTATACACCATTCAAGCATTGTTCATAATAAATTATACCTACTATATATAAAAAAATTGGTTGACAACTAAAAATCTAAAATAAAACTGCATAACACTATCTAGTGTTTTTTTTTTTATCTAATCATTTTTTGGATTGTTAAATTGTTACCCGATTAATAATGTCCCAACATCCAAGTAGATCGGATTCTGATTATTCCGTTTTAAAAATTGAAAAAATATTTCTACAACCTATGAACACATAATTTAGAATTCTGATAATAAATTATTTTTTAATAAATTTTCTGGTAATAATCTTTATACTACCCATGAAAAGCTATATTTATATTATTGTTAGAAGAAAAACATTTACTTGTTTTAAAAATAAAAGTAAAAAAAATGTATTCTTCACTTGTATTATTCATTTTTCTGTAATTTATTAATTTAAAATAATAATTCATCTTAATAATTAAATTACAAGAAATGAATAATATAAATAAAAATTAATTATCTAATTCTTATTGTTGAGATGGATAACATATACTTATTAGAACTTAAGATGAACCAATACTATCTTTAAATAATTTGGTTAGATAAAAAAAATATTACACAAGAAATATATTATATAAAAAATTATAATTACTTTTATTAGATGGTGATGAGAGCTTTTAGTAGATCCGAAAAAAAAACTCTACTTAAATCGATAATTATTTAATAATAGAAAAATAGAATAATTAAAAACTTAATATAACAATTAGAATAACTTTGAAAATTCGTAATATCTCAAAATTCTATTTAATTTAGTTCTTTGTAAGTCAATATAATATATTAACATTATTATTTTGTCATATCTTTGTACTGAAAATAATTTTTCTTGTAAAAAGTAATTTAAATTTATAAAAAACTTTTTTCTTACAATTTTTATAAAAATTTGTAAAAATATTCCCTTGGAATTCCTAATAGTGAATGATCATTTAATAAAATATCTTATACATTCTTTAAACAATACTTGTGACTCATTAGCAAAAGCTGAATAAAATAATAGTGTTTACTTTAATAGAAAAGAACAGCATTTTATAAATATATCTTAAATACTTCTAGAGGAATATCTATAAGACAATCGTGTGTTGGTTACCACAAATTTCACTTGAATAATTAGGAAAAGATGCATCAACAAAAGAATTTAGTTTCGTACTGACAAATGACCCTTAATACGACAGTGGACATATACAAAAAATATAGTGTAAAAAAATTAATTATTTGACTTAAATCAAAACTACAATGTTTAATATATTCTGTATCTCAGATGATCCTTAACCAATACTCTTAGAAAATAGCAAGAGATAAGTGTATATCTCGATATCACGTTAGCATATTACAGAAATGAATACGTTGAAATAAACAACTTCTATCATGAGAAGGAAGTTCTAAAATGAAAAATGCACATACATACATCACCCACGGCACGTGAGTATCAAACGTTCACAGCGCAGAATAGCTTAAAACAGTGGCTTAGACACTGAGACCCTCAAATTTGGGTCAAGTTTACATTTGACCAATCAACTTGAAATTGATTTTTTTCCCTCCTAATTTAGAAATAGACTACTATTGGTCTCCAATTTATCATAGGTTAGTTGGATGATAAAGGACCAAAAATAGACTATCTCGAAATTAGAGAGTAAAAAAATTACTTTTAAATTTGAAAGATCAAAATAATAAACTAAGTCCACATATGGGAAACTAAAAGGATATATAAATCTGAAACAATTATTTAAATGGCATCTGGCTAGTTGCCAAAGGTCAGTCATAAGTAATCACCAAAACAACCCGTTTATTGCGACTCTTGTAAACTTCAAGGTTGTGTAGTCGGCCAGAACTATGGAGAATCTAGGTCAAACAACTCTAGGAAGTCCAAGCCATCGAAGTTCCCGACATCACCTGTCGTAGCCATTCCGTTTGTGCTAAATTGAGTATTCTGGAAAGAGGAGAAAACAGGAAGAGCAGCAGCAGCACAGTAGTCTTCCAAGCCCTCGAAAAATTCATCCAAAGGTGGTGCACCTTCAGCAATGTTTTCCTGACCATTACCAACCTTCTGTTATCCCACAAGAATAACAACCAACATCAAGAAATGTGTATAACAAAGCATATTACAAGACAAAATGCATACATGGCTTAAAATTCAGATAAATAAGTCACTGGAATTAGGCTAGTGGAAGAATAAAGTTTCAAATCTCATTGTCATCATAATTTCAGAAAAAAAAAATTCAGAAGAAAGCTACTAAATAATTTTTTAGGCATAAAAGAAATTTCATATCTAGTATTGCTATATTTTGATAAACTTCTCCATAACTATTTTTAAGATAAGAAATAAAGTAAATAAACTTCTTGCATAAACTAAAATGAACTTACGCACTTTATTTTTATAAAAACTGTTTTCATTTGAATTCTCTAAAATGCATTAGCTAATTTTGGTTTTTAGAAAAGTACAAAGTATTTTACCATCTTATTTTCTACTTCTTTGAGAGCTTATAAAAAAGTTATTCAACCAAGATATAGACCGTCTTGAGTTTCTTTAACTGCACAATAATGAGCCTTCCAGGTTTTACATAGTCAACATTCTATTTGCGCCTAAGGTCAAGCTACAGGAATTGGCAGGGGAAAGCACTTTAAACAAAATTAAGAGGGCGGGGGGAGCCAACCAAATTCTTTGACAACACTTGGCCCCAAAAACAGAAGGATTAAATAGACAACAATGGCATATAGCATACGGGCCTTAAATCCTTGAAATTATAATTTTAGGCTGTAAACATTTGTGATAAAAGTATAGAACAAAATATAACACTAAAAAGAATTGCGTGTGCACGGGAAGCAAACCAGAGTATAATGCCTAATACAACATAACCAGGGTAACAAGAATATAAACACTTTCCACAGACATTTAGCATAAACCTATACACCACAATCAAATGATAAATTGACAACGGAATTATGGACACAGCACAAGGGGATAGATATGGTAATAGAGACTACACAGAAAATAAGAAGTGCTGAAACATAATACAAAGAAAAACAATTTGTCACCAAACCTGAGACATTTTGTCGACATCTTCAAAAACATCAAACATCCATAAAAAATCTTCATCATCATTGTTAGAAGCTTTATCATTTTGATCAGAAGGATTCTCTGTGCTAGAAGGCATTGATCTTGATAGACAAGACGGGGATGGTGACCCAATACATCCAGTAGCTGGGGGCGGATTGTCCTTTGGGACAGAAGGATCAGTTGTCATAGGTAAGATGGGAACCGGTGCAGTTGAATCAGTACCAGGTATTTCCAGTTCTACATCGTTCCACTCTTCCTCATTAAATGGTCTTGCATATTGTGCACCGTTTCTGGGACCAAGACCTTCCTTTTGAAATACCTTGCAGACTACATAGGAATCCTATAAACAAAATACAGCAGGAGAGAAAATTAAAATAGATTCAGAAGGATAACAAGATGTAAAAAAAAAACAGCAATTGATATAAAGAATGAGTAAAGGGCAGCAAAACTTAGTTGTATAAAAACAGAGAACAATTCTCTCAACAGGTACAAACAAGGCTAAACATTGAAACAACAAAATTCCATTTTGATACCACCAGCAACACAAATAGGTGACAGCATAAATCCACTCTAAATTATAGCATTAAAAGATACCAACAGTAGCAAGAATAATACCATACATCCTTATGTTACGTGAATTCACAATCAAGGGGACAAGTTCTGGAAACTTCCATATAACAAACAGTTCACAATAAACTGTAATAAAGCTCTTCGATAAAACATTTTAATAATACAAAATAATGAAGCTGTAAAAGGATACCTGTGCAATTCCTTTGTCAGCAAGGCCCTTATCTTCGAGCCTATACTCGTGCATAACCCAATCAGTTCTTTCACCACTAGGCGATTTACCCGTGTGAAATATCAGTGTTTTAATCATTCCCACCGTTTGATTATTGTGCTGAACAACTCTATCCCTCCCAGTAGCTTTCCAGTACCCAATTTCAGTAGCGCGCTTCATCCTACTCCCACTGCCATATTTCTTCTCCAGCGGGCAGAAGAAGTACCATTCCAATTCCCCAGTTCTCAGACAAGATTTTTCTAAAAAACAATCCACCAAAAAAAAGTAAATCTCACTAATTTCAAACAAACAAAAAGACGCAGTAAAAAATCTCCTCCACAATCATTTACCAAAGAAGTAAAAAAGATCATGAAATTAGTTGAGCTTCTATAAACTGAATCAACTAATACATTAACTTGCATAAAAACTCTTAACTACCGAAATTGCCGTAGTGCAAAAGTTGATTTCAGTTTATAAGAGATTATCAAATAATTTCATTTTATTTTATTTCACCTATAACTGTTTATGAAATTTATCCAATTGAACATGACACTTCTAAGCTAAATTGGTGTATGTACCTGGGAGATCCCAAGGAGCATATTTGTATATGTCAAGATCAGCAATGACACCACTACAGAACTTTTGCCCCATCACTTTCCTCTTCAGAAAGTACAGGACTAATTCCACCCCAGAGGGGTGGAACCGAAACCCCGGTATCAATTTCGTTACAGCCATCGAATAGAAAATAATACAGAACACAACGTCTTCGTTTTATTTTTGCTTTTGATTATTTTTGTGATTCGAATGGAAACCTTGTCCGTGGAGAAAGATGATTAGTGTTCAGAAACGACGCGTGGAAGGGAAGGAAAAGAAAAGAAAAACCCTAAATGGTAGAGAGTAGTGACAAGTCAAGTGGCGAAAGGGGATTTTCGAGGAAGAGCAAAGCCTGGCACGGTTGGTGAAGCAGGAGCGGTGGCCGACCATGGATGAAGAGACTCCAATTTCGAGGTAAACAGACATCGGCACGGTGAAACCCTAAAAGGAAAATGGAAGGATTCGATGGAGGAACGAGCGACGAAGCTCGGATGAGTATATGAGGAAGAGAGAGAGGAAGAAGAAAATTGAAGTTGCGATCAGATTGGAAGGGAGTGATGGTGAAATTATGTAAGGGAAATAAACTAGGACTCTCTCTCTCTCTAGTCTTTCGTGAACGAATTAAGAATTGTGAGGAAAGTGAGGTGAGTTGCTAGAGAGGGTGAGTGGCATAGCAGCCGTGTGGAGGAACGCGGCAGAGGTCCTGGGCTCCTGGCCCAGCGAGCGCACACAATAAAAATAAAAATTAAAACAATTTTTTATAAAATTATAATTGATTTAAGTATAAATTTTAATAAAATTTTTAACAAGTACAATATAAAACAATTCTATAGTTAATTTGTTTTAAATTTGTAATAAAAAGTGTAATTTTTCAAGCAATTAATAATAGTATTATATAATTGAATTTTCAAACTGTCATTATATAATTTAAATTTAATAGAAAAAGGTACAATATAAGTTTATTTACATCTAATAATAATAATGGGATATTGTCTCTTTTGTACTAGTTAACTTAAGTCCTTTAATGTTTATATTATATTAATTCTCTCATCTAAGATTTTTAAAAGCTAATATATATATATAGTATTGATTTTAATTTATTGCATAAAATTGATCCATTTTGTATTTTATTTTTTTCTTTATAAATGAATATTAAGGAGATTTTCCATTCATAGTAATAAGAAGAAACAATTATTTTGAATTTTGCTGGATACTCCATTAAATTTGAATCAAGTTTTTACGTTTTTTTCCCCTAAAATCACAATGGCAAAACTTCAAATAAACCAATTGATGCATGAATAAATAAAAAACACAGTTTGATTATTTTTGTTTCTTTAGAAGCTTGGTTTTAACACGACAATCACAAGAATGAGACAAAAGGATGGGTAACAATTTAATACCAAATAATAATGCATTTCACCTTCCTTCCTTCTTTCGAACCAGAGTCAATATTAATCAAAGATAACTTAACCAAATTAAGTAGAATTATTATTAATATAAGCTTGACAAACAAGATTTAAGCTTGTATTACGTGATGATATGTTGATTAGCAGAATAATAATGATAATAATTATTTTCCAGTTAACAACACTTGATGAAATTATATTTGTAAAAAGATATTCAGAAGTCAAGGTTTAGTTATATAACCCCTTTTCTTGGGTGAGTGCCTGTACAGATCCAAATAAAATGCAACCAAACCTGAAACATCATACGATTGATATGAAGGTGAGACAAATTTCACCACAGGACAGAATACAATCAATCATCATTAAAGAATCTGAATCACAATTGTCATGGGTCAGGTAATCAACTCTGAGAAGACAGACGCCATTGAACATCTGAGAACGAGATCAGGAAAAATTACAGCGCAGTTCGCTTACACATACTTATTAGGCCTGTCCATCGTTTCTTCCTCCACAAGGTCTTTCAAATTATACAGAATCAGTATCCGTTCAACAATTTCAACACACTCCAACGGGAATCAATTAGTTTACCCAACAACCATTTCAACACCCATTTTAAATGAATGTTGTCTGCCTCGCTCAAATCACTGTACACTCTGCACTGTCCCTCTGCATTAAGGAGGCTAATGCAACTTCTCCGAGCAGCGGAGCTTCTTATGTAAGATACGAAGGAAATGATAAAAAAGACCCACCCAGCTCCAGTAAATATAGCTCGGCACTCTATGTTTTTGACTAGTTAGGATCTTCATGGGGGAAAAGAGACTTCACGTTTCCACCTATTAATTCTCCCCTCTGTTGAAAACTTTACAGCCATTTCACAGTGAACCAACCTCCCCCTTTAGCGACTTAAGAATGTAATAGTAATTGACGAGCATTCACTGTACAATGGTCGGTTAAGAGGAAAAGCAAGTGATCACCATGACCAACAATCTCATAATATTCCATTCAAAACCCTCTGATAATAATCATACTGCCGTGTCCTCCAAGCATCAAGGCTACTGCTAATGAGAGAAAGCACCAGGGAGACACATTGCTGCCAAAAGGATTATAACCCTCTTAATAATCACACCCAAAAAATTTACATTCAAACAGGATTCATTATTAATATTGAAACCTCTTCAGTTAAACTGAGATGGAATCGCTTTCGTAGGTTCTGTATTGTCCTAGCACCACCTTTAAAGCATGGGAAACCTGAATCCTGATAACATTACCCAAAAAGAGAGATTCAGAGGAAATCTGACATGAATAGGAGTCAAGAGAGTATTTCCTGATCTACACATGCAAAAAAAGTGAGCTAAGAGGCACACAGCACATGTATAATTGAGAATATAGCCTAATCTCATCACTTGATAAAAGTAAAGCATGAGTTCATTTTGCTAGATGAATCAGTCTAGAAGTTTACAATCAAACATAATCTACAAGTTGGAGAAAAAAAAAAGTAATCACTATTGTTCATTCCCTTTCCTCTAATGAAACACGAGGAACATCAATTTCATGGACAAATAAAAGGGGTTGTTACTGCTTTTGTTCAATTTGGAACAAGCACTTTCAAGACTTAAAACCTTGGTTCCAAAGCCATGTTTGAGAACAATCTTTTTCATTTTCCATCCACTGCCCATTGCCTAAAACAACTACTGTATTGCAGTAGGCCAACGGTATGGCAGATACAGGTCAGCCACCACTTCCGTTCAAAATGACAACAAAAACGTTGAAAAATGTATCATTTATTCACCTGGAAATTTCTAGTTATGATTATTGTCCTCAATAAATTTCAACATCAAACAAATACCTACCCTCCTATAGCTACAATTTCAATAGAAATTACTTGAAAATTTCTTTGCATTTCATGTACTCATCAAATACAAAGGGCATCACGTCACCAGCTTCCTAAGACAATATTCTTATTCCCACAGAAATGAATTTTATATTTTGTTTCAGTTCTGCAGATTAAAGTCGTCCAGTGAGTATGAATAGATTCTTGAGCATTTCATTGTCCCGGTGGTCTCTCACTATACTTCAGATTTTACCTAACTTAACTGTAATCAACAAAATTCAGTGCAGAAATCAAATTAGCTAACTGCTCTTTTGCATAGGATGTGAGCATTTAAGTGTCCGAAAACACCATAGGCCTCAACCCTACACAGCAGGGAAGGACTGCAACATTTAAGGTCTATCTGTCAGCAATTACAGAGTTAGTTTGTTAGTCAATTGCTGGTATCTATTTGTTTGATAGGCTGAGATAAAAATAATTAAGACATATTGCCTATAAATAACAAAGGTTGAAAGAGAAGAGTATCTGTCATCTGAGAGAATTGGAGCCTTTGGGCATTGGACACAGACCGTCAAAGTTCTGCATATGAGGCAATATATCTGAGAAAGAACCCTGAATCTTTCTAATAAGACCCCAGGTTTCCATCATATAATGAGATATTTCAGTCAGTACAATTTGCAACTTGCAAGGTTGTTTGAGAAAGCGTAATTAAGCTACCTATTGTTTTGTTTGGGGAAACTGGAAGTACAATCACAAACAGACAGAACATAGCCAGGCTATATTATACGACAAGGAAACCACAGGAGGAACTAACATTCATATTACCTGCAGCATCTCAACAAGAAGAATGATGCGCTCAGCATGCTTGCGGCAAGTAAGGAAGCCTTGAATGCATAAAACCTGAAATGCAGAGGACAAAGCAACATAAAAAAATCAGAGCTAACAATAGCATATCTACTATCTCTTAAGTAAAGACCAGAAAGAGTTTTCATCAGCACCTTAAAATAATCAAAGAACTCACTTGGAACACCCTCAGCATCAGAATCCATAACCTAGCACAATCACATAGTTGTGAACTTGTGATCATTGTAGAGAGAAAATATAATATAAAATAAAATGGACATTTGAATATGGGGAGTTTAATAAAAAGCAAATAAACTCAGTTTTACCTCGAGAAGTTCACGTGTTAATTTGAAAGGTGCACTTTCAAAGTTAACACCACCGGGTGAATTGGAGAGCATGAAGCCAAAATCAATATGTATGATATGACCTTCTTCATCCAATAGGAGGTTCCCATTATGCCTATCCTTCACCTGGATGACAAAAAATAAAAACAATAAACGAGAAGAACAAAAAGCATTCATTAACAACTAAAAGTAAAATGTTGTTATTCAAATTGTCACTCAAAGCATCAGTTATAAATAAGAAGTTTCACACCTGCAGAAAGTAGCACACCAGGGAATATCCTGCCATACTTTCAACAAAGTTTCTCTGAAACAAATAAGGTAAAATTATTAGAGTAAACAGTATAACATAAATGAAATTGGCTCCAATTTAAACATAAATACAAGGTGTTCTTCATCATGCAAGTCAAAATTAGAAAATTTATTAAACAAACAGCTTCAAAATGAAATAATCCCTATAAATTTAAACTGTGAAACAAATGGCAGTAAAAATTATCCCAGAATAAAAGAGAAGGACAGAGGAATAGTACGAAGCAATCAGACTGAATTGATCAAAACAAATCAACTCTAGTACATACATACCAGAAAAGGGTGCTGAGAAAGTAAAACAATGTATTTGTGGAATAGATGAACAAGTTCAGTCTACAATAACTCAGCATGTGCATCTCTAAATTACCTGGGCAAGTTTAAAACTGGGAGAATTTTCTTGATACTTAGCATTGAAGAATTCACGTAAACTTGATATGTTCGGATATCTACTTTTGATAGAATGGAGAGAAGCCTAGAAAGCAGAAATATATTTTAACAAAAAAATAGAAAAGTTGGGTATTTCAATACGTTTAAATTGTGAGCACAGAATTACCGTATCTGGAATTGTTTCAATAATAGCAGTGTAAGAAGAAGTACACAAAACTTCGTATGGTCGCAGCCAGAGGGGTAGACCAGCTTCTTGGAAAATATCTGGCATAAAAAATCCAATGATTTTAAGCAACATGTAAGACACATAAATAACAGTTCGCATCATATTTTAAACTCACATTAGAATTCAGAACATAATGAAAATATGGTCCAATATGTTTCATCATCAGCTCTTAGTGCTATAATCCAACTTGATTATTAGACAATTTCATTCATTCTTTAGTACACACTTCCACTTATAACTACTGCATCAGAAACTGCAAACAAATAGATTTATCAATTCTAGAAGCACACATCCATTATATAACTTACACAGAGATGATGAATAACATAGTATAATAAATGAAGAGAACCTTACATGCTTACAAAATGAATAATGAAAATTTTATGGAATAGTTAACAGAACATGTTCTGATATTGAACAAAAAATTTTCTGTTTAAACTCATCAAATCATATATACAATCGCAGCTGTATTTATTTTTAAGTTAAAAGAACGGGATAAGAAAAGAACCAGCTTTTAAACAATTGTATCTTAGGCTAGGTTTAGAGTTCAGTTTAAAGTTAGTTCAGTTCAAACATCTTTTTGCCCTGCCTCAGTAAAGGTACGTGGATGGTTTTACATCTAATAGACGTAAAACAATCATAAACATCCTGATTCTTAACAAAATAATTGTTTCCTGTCATTCAGATCCTACTCAGTCTAACTTCTAAGCATGCATAGGCAAATTATAAACTAATGTTTTATTAAAAAGGAAAGTCATCCTTAATTTTTTTTCTTTCTATACTTGTTCCACTTGGACATAGATTTTAATCCTTTGCAGATAATGTTGTTTAAATTTCACCATATTAACCAGAGTCGGGAAACAAGAAAGATAAAACATTTGAGAAAAACTTTTTTTGCAACATAATCAACATCAATGGAACAAGAATGATTATGTTATGTACTTGAGGGAGAAAAACAAAAGAGTCTGAAAGACCTACCATAAAAATGAGAAATAAGTTGAACAGCCAGATGCTCCTGCCTGCAATCATCACCACTCTTAACAATAACCTAAGTGAAAAAAGAAAAGTTGTGCCATCATGCACAAAGGATTTGTCATACAAAGTAAAGCGCATATTCTGAATCAGAAAAAACAAATAACTAATACAGTACAAAAGCTAACCAAGTTTACAAATAATACTAGCAATAATAGTAATAAAAGACACAATGAATTAAGGAACTATTTTATTGATAGCAGTAAAAAGACAAATTCAGATTGTTGCTTTACGGATATTTCTAAGCACTTTCTGAAGGCACCAATTATCAAGTTTAAATGTAAAAACAATTTTGTAAATAATTTGACTACAATAGCTTTATGTCCATGACCCAGAGGACTGAATCTAAAGTAAGAAAAAGTATGATTAATAACAGCTCAACATTCTTAACATCATATTTGTAAACATGATCTTGATTCCAAATCAATATTTCAAGTAGAAATTTAGAAAGGAAATTAACATAATGAAACAAATGGTGAGATTTCCTATTATAGCAAAAAAATTGATCAAGAGATCCTTCACTTCCTTCCTTTATCCTGTTATGTATAATATCCAGTCCACATCTTCATGAGTTTCCAAAATAAGTAAATAAGTAAATAACTATATATAAAGCAACTTCTTTTGGTTAAAACATGCACTTACAGATCGCAAGTCCCAACCAGGTAACTTCCCATATATGGAAGCCTTGCATATCCTATCCTTCTTTGCCTCCCAAAGTTCACCAGATAAGGCATCGCTGGCTTTGGCAGTAATTCCATTAGCCTGTTGGAGGAATCATGTTATACAAACAACTACACAATCCTGAGGTTAAGTAAAATTCAAAAATTATGGTTTACCCTTGGTTGTGCATCAGATGAATCTTGACCAGCACCTTTCAAAGGAAGTCCAAGAGGTGCTTCCCCTTTGGCTGCCGCAGCCTACCAAACATTCAAATGTTGACAATAAAAACTACATATTCTTCCAATTAAAGAACTCTTTTGATGCATAATTACAATGAGGGAAAGATGAAATCAAGTGGTTATTACATTTTCCCAAGTGGTTATTTGTTTCCTCATCGTAATCACAATGCTTGAAAATAATTTGTAAGACAGACTGGTAAATGCCAAACAAATAAAATACAAAGACAACATAAAGAAATAAGTAATAAGATATAATCCCCAATCCCAACCAACATCTTTTTATAGTACATGCCAGGGTGTTAAAGGAAGAATCTTTCATTAAAAAGGATTGTTTTAAATAACTCACATTACTAGTTTATGTTACCATCCTATGTCCTTCATGTTATATAATGAAATAATATTTCAAGTTCTTGACTATACTATATCATATTACATCATACATGACTAAATATTTTATCTTAAATCTACTTTGGTCCCTATGCTTTAGTACATATGCAATTTTGGTCCACTAAAAATTTAATTGCAGATTTGGTCTTCCATATTTTCAAAATTAAGTAATTTTTAATTCATTGTTAATATGTTATTTAATTGCTGGCAAAAATTGTTACATATATATTGTTGAATATAGAAGAAATAGAGTTTGGGATTAATCTCCCTTGTGTATAAATCACACATAGGGTAGTCTATTTATAGTAGAGAGATACAACTAAAAGAGTAACCGAAAGTAACAGAATAAACAGAAGATATTGTTAGATATTATGGTTAATATCTAACAATATCTTAACAATATTAAATAATATCTAAACAATATCTAACACTCCCCTCAAGCTTGGAGCATACAAATCGTATGTGTCAAGCTTGTTACAAATATAATCAATTCTAGGACCCCGTAAAGATTTAGTAAAAATATCTGCTAACTGATCACTTGAGTTAACAAACTCAGTCTTGATGTCTCCGGACATAATCTTTTCTCGAATGAAATGACAGTCAATCTCAATGTGTTTGGTCCTCTCATGAAAGACAGGATTAGAACTAATATGAAGAAGCAGACTCGATTGTCACACACAAGTGACATTTGAGTGACATCTCCAAATTGTAACTCTCTAAGCAATTGCTTGAGCCAAACAAGTTCACAAGCAGCTGAGGCCATAGCTCTATATTCCGCTTCGCACTAGATCTTGCCACAACACTTTGTTTCTTACTTTTCCATGAGACCAAGTTACCACCAATGGAGACACAATATCCAGATGTAGATCTTCTATCCGAAGGAGATCCCGCCTAATCAGCATCCGAGTAGCAAACAACTCTTGTATGGTTATTAGAATCATATAACAATCCTTTTCCAGGAGATCCTTTAATATACTTTAAGATACGAATGACTGCATTCCAATGATCTTCACATGGGGAATTAAGAAATTGGCTTACCACACTGACTGCAAAGGAAATGTCAGGACGAGTAACTGTAAGATAATTCAATTTTCCAACCAATCTTCTATACTGCTCAGGATCAGATATAGGCTCCCCCTGATTTGGTAGAAGTTTAGTATTGGGATCCATGGGTGTATCAACAGACTTTGAACTCATCAACCCAGTTTCCTCCAAAATATCTATGGCATACTTCCTCTGAGATATAACAATACCATCATTGGACTGTGCCACCTCAATACCCAAGAAATATCTAAGTTTGCCAAGATCTTTGGTCTGAAAATGGTGACAGAGATGTTGTTTCAACTGAGAGATGCCATGACTGTCACTACCTGTAAGAACGATGTCATCAACATATACTATCAAGTAAACACATCCAGCACTCGAGTGTCGATAAAAGACAGAATGATCTGCTTCACACCGAGTCATACCAAATTGTCGAACAACATTGCTAAACTTTCCAAACCAAGCCCTAGGAGACTGTTTTAGGCCATATAGGGATTTGCGAAGACGACATATCATCCCAGAAGACTCCCCCTGAGCAACAAACCCAGGAGGTTGCTCCATATAGATTTCTTCTTGCAAATCACCATTGAGGAAAGCATTTTTAACATCTAGTTGATAAAGAGGCCATTGTTGAAGAGCGGCCATGGCGATAAATAAACGAACAGAAGTCATCTTTGCCACGGGGGAAAAGGTATCTCCATAATCCAACCCAAAAATTTGAGTATAACCTTTGGCCACAAGACGAGCTTTGAGGCGATCAATAGTACCATCAGGTCCAACTTTGATAGCAAACACCCACCTGCAACCAACAACAGATTTCCCAGACGGTAACGAGACCAATTCCCAAGTTCCACTATTATGAAGAGCACTTAATTCATCTAACATGGCCTGACGCCAACCAGGATGGGCTAAAGCTTCATGGACAGTTTTTGGAATGGTCACAGACGAAAGAGAGGAAAGACATGTATAAAAAGGTAATGACAGTCGATGATAACTCAAACCAATATAATGGGGAGAGGGATTACGTGTAGAACGGATACCTTTTCGGAGGGCAATGGGAAGGTCAGACTCAGGTGTCACATCCGGAGGAGACAGAGTAGTTGGCACTTGAGTGGAGTCACATGGTGGTGGTTGTGATTGGTTTGGGCAACTATAAATCTGAAGAGGCAGTGAAGAAGAAGCTGACTGCGGAGCAGAAACTAATGGTGAATAAGACACAGTTAGAGGGTCACAAACAACAGGAACATTAAATGTACTAGGAGTGTTGACAAGATTGGATGGAGACAGAGGTGAAGATTGACTTTTAAAATAAAAAGAGAACTCATCAAAGGTGACATCTGCAGACACAAAATAACGGTTAAGAGAAGGAGAAAAACATTTGTATCCTTTTTGTGATCGTGTAAACCCTAAGAAAACACATTTATGTGATCTAGGAGAAAGTTTGTCAAGACCAGAACTGAAATTATGAACAAAACATGTAGACCCGAAAACTCTTAGAGGTAAGGGATGAAGTGGTTCATGAGGAAATAAAATAGAATGAGGTATTTTATTATCTAAAACCGAAGATGGCATGCGATTAACGAGATAACATGCAGTAAGAAGAGCATCACCCCAAAAATGCTGAGGAACCTCTCCATGAATTAAAAGAGTGCGAGTTGTTTCAATAAGATGTCTATTTTTACGTTCAGCTACACCATTTTGTTGAGGTGTATAAGCACAAGAAGTTTGATGCAAAATACCATGAGAAGCCAAAAATTGTTTAAAAGAATGAGAAAGATATTCACGACCATTATCACTGCGCAAAACTCTAATAGAAACACCGAACTGAGTTTGTATTTCATTAAAAAAAGATTGAAAGATATCAAATACTTCAGAACGATTTTTCATTAAAAATAACCAAGTACATTTGGAATAATCATCAATGAAAGTAACAAAGTATTGAAAACCTAAAGTAGACTTAACACGGCTAGGTCCCCAAATGTCAGAGTGAACCACGGCAAAAGGGGACGAAGCACCACGTGTGACACTACGAGGAAAGGAAGTACGACTATGCTTACCTAATTGACACGACTCACATGCCAAACTAGACAACTTAGATAAGGCAGGGACAAGCTGCTGTAACTTGGCAAGACTTGGATGACCTAACTGAGCATGGAGAAGAGAGGGAGACTCTATAACTGCACCAACATGTGTAAAGGGACGAAGATGATAAAGACCATGAGACTCACATCCTGTGCCAATCACCTGTTTCGAACTCCGATCCTGTAAACACACAGAATTGTTGGTAAAAGAAACAACACAATCAAGAGAACGAGTTAGACGACTGATGGATAACAAGTTAAAAGGAGACCCAGGGACATAAAGAACATTATCAATTGTTAAAGAAGGGAAAAGTTTAACAGTTCCAACACCATGAGATGATACTCTAGAGCCATCAGCCAGTGTAACAGAAGGTAAAGGATTAGGAGAGGATAAAGAGGAGAACAAAGATTTGTTACCAGTAATATGATCAGTGGCTCCTGAATCAAAAACCCAAGGACCAGAAGAAGATTGGGTCAGACCAGCAAAAGATGTACCTGTGTGTGCGACAGACACAGTGGAACTAGAAGACTGTTGATCCTTATACCATTTGAGAAATTTGTTGAACATAGCAGGTGTGTCTGATGAAATAGAAGAAGGAGGATCCTTAGCGGATAAAGGTGGAGAAAGATCAGTCTGAACAACTGCAGCAGATCGAGGAGGACGACCATGTAATGCATAACACTTGTCAATCTTGTGACCTAGCTTACCACAATGTTCACACTCATGTAATGCATAACACTGATCAATCTTGTGACCTAGCTTGCCACAATGTTCACACTTAGGACGCCCTTTTCCCTGTTTACGAGGGCGAGTTCGGTCATCACGGTGAGATACCAATGCAGAAGAATCATTAACAGAAGCAGGTGTGTCAGGGTTGGGTTTTGCTGGTAAACGCAAAAGAGTGGAGCAGGTCGATGTCAAGGTGGGGACAACCGGAGAACCCAAAATCTGATCACGAATATGTGAATATTGATCAGCAAGTCCGTGTAATGCCCCTAGCATGAAGAACTTTGATCGTTGTGCTATCTCGGTGGCAGGGTCGGGGGAAGGAGGCAATAACTCATTGAACTCATGAAAAAGAGCATGAATTTTGCCCATATAATCAGTCATAGAATCTTGATGTTTAGAGGCAATAACATCTACAAATTTAGAACAGACATCATAGAGACGTTGAGTATCATTGGTGTATAATAACTTGGCATGTTCCCAGATTTTGGCACATGTTTCGTAGGAACGAAAAATTTGTTTTAACGAAGGATCAAGAGTACCCTTGAGAACCACACATAATTGAGCATCAATGGTGTCCCAACGATCTTCCTCACCAGGAGTGAGAGTAGGTGCTTTCGGGGCAAGATGATCAAGATAATTCTGACTCTTAAGCCATAATCTGACGTCTGATGACCATGTGGCATAATTAGGGCCAGTTAACTTGTCAATGGATAAGTGCACATTAACATAGTTAGTGTAGATGGAAGGATCAGACGCAGTACTAACAGAATTGGAAGTACTAAAAGGAGTAGAAGAAGTCATAAAGGGTGGAGGTGATAGTGACAGCGGCGTGAACTAGTACACCAGGTAAGTTCCCAGGAAAGAGAGGTGGGTCACTAATGGACACGCTTAAATACCAAGTTTTTCCTTGTCAGAACTTTCCTAGACATGCACTTTCACACTACCAAATAAACGACAGCGATAGCGGTGGTTGCGGCGGCGGCGGCGATGGTGGCGGCTTCAATAGTAATCTAAGGCAAAAAAATTTCAAAATAACCTTAAGCTCTGATACCATGTTGAATATAGAAGAAATAGAGTTTGGGATTAATCTCCCTTGTGTATAAATCACACATAGGGTAGTCTATTTATAGTAGAGAGATACAACTAAAAGAGTAACTGAAAGTAACAGAATAAACAGAAGATATTGTTAGATATTATGGTTAATATCTAACAATATCTTAACAATATTAAATAATATCTAAACAATATCTAACATATATAAATCATAATAGTGTCAAATTACTCATTTACTTAATATATTAACATTAAGATTTAACAACAAACTTCAAAACATATTCTTCTGACAAATGAGTTAACATTTTTGGTTTACGATTGAATGTCATAACAGTTAAAAAGCACTCCAGCTCACCTTTACTTCCTCTATTGCCACGGTACTTGGTACACGACGATGTTCCTTCCTACGAGGTGGTGCTTCCTCCTCGATATCTTCCAATCTAACCCCAGGATCAGCTGTCAACACTACACGTACCCATTCCAAATCACTGCCATGTCCTGCTGCAGCCTCATCATGCACACCATCTCTATGAATTGAAGCAGCACGCTGACTGCCACCATGTAGATCAGCCACTTCAATCTTTTCTGGCTGACAATTTAACTGTGTCTCCACAGAAAGATTCAGACTAACAAATTTGATTTTTGCCTCAGTTACATGAGTCATTGCCTGGTCAATTGCATGAGCAGTCGAACTGGACATTCTATCATTGCTATTGCGGTAAACCTCTTGTGCTGTCCGCAATGGATAAGCCCAAGGGGGTGGCCTTTGCAAGAGAGCATCTCCATTTGCCAAAGGGATTCCCCCTTGAGAAAGTTTTTGAGAACTGGATGCCTCCTTGGAATTACTATAACAAACAATTGCAGGGAATGGAACATATCAAAAATATGCTTTTCACTTTACTATGTTGAGGAGTATTATCCATGTAATACCTTGGCATTTCACATCTCAAAACTTCTACACATATCAGGAAAGGTGCCTTCTCCCTAGAATTCAAGAGAACAGCTTCATCTTCAGGTATATTAAGCACGCGATACATGCCTTTTCCCAATGGAAAACAAACTCCTAGAATGTATAACAGGCAAGATTCATATAAAAGCAGGGAGATAAGTAAGATCTACTAAGCAAAATCAATGGAAAATGCAGCAACTTAATCGGCATTCAGCACACATGAAAGGGATATATCTTTACAGTAACTGTATTCACATTGTAGAAATACTTTCCAAGGATTCTTTTAGAAATGGACTGACAGCCAAAACTTAGACCTGTTTGATTCAAGTTTTCTGCAACAGCTTTAGTTTTAAGAAAAGAAAAATGTTTGAATGAGTACTTTGAAGTTTATTATTTTAAAAATTGCTTTCCATGATCTGTTTTTACAACATAAAACTGGTAATACATGTTATCTATTTGTTTTTTCTCTTTTATCTTGTACCCTCCTAAGAAACAAAGATCAGCTTATCTCATCGTTGTAGTAATACTGAGAATAAAAATTGGGCTAGCCTATCTCTCTTCACCTAGCTTCCCCCATCTTACTAAGGTTGAGACAAGGGTTGCATTGGCCACACCCACACCCATTCTATGGCTTCCCTCAACAAAGTCAAAGTGTATCAAGTGCTGAAAATAGAAGGCAGGCACCAACTGACACAGTGCTCTTTCTTGAACTAACCCTTAGAGTCTCCGTGAAATAGTGGACAGTTGGAAGCAATGTAGTCGAAATTGCACCCATCTCATAGAATCACATGAGGTTTCTGTCATGCCTTGGTAAGTTCGTCCAGGATCCAAATTGCTGCTGAACAACATCGGTACACTTGCCACATAGAATCATAAAAACAGTGGAATTGGAGAGTTTTTCATGTTTCCCTGGATTATGTTTGTGTGCCAATTTTCAGCAGCGCGTCAAGTTTCTTCTCTTTTTGTTTGGGCTTTCATAAACCTAAGCCAATGAAACCCGAGCCCCAAAACTGTTGCATGAACCACTTCAACCAGAGCTCTTCTCTGCCATGCTTCTCTTTGTTTGGTGCCTTTGCTTCTACTACTCTCTGTGGTTCATTCGTTCTCTTCCAATGGAAGAAAAGAGGATCTCTTGAGTGATTATGATTTAATTTGTGTGGTTCATTCGTTCTCTTCCAATCGAAGAAAAGAGGATCTCTTGAGTGATTATGATTTAATTTGAATGATCTATTGATGTCTAGCCTAGGTGTTCAAGTTGTGTTTTGTACTAGGAATAGTCACTGCGCACTACTACAGTATTTTAAGTTGTTTTGTTTGTTATTTATGACTTTTTTTCAATTCTACTCTCAATTAGTGCAATAACAAAATCATATTCTTAAGATAAACCTTAAAAGAATTGAATCAAGATGTTCTTTGAAAGAAACCGGATCACCAACAGATGCAAGAGAACCAACAAGAGTTTAACTTTGAATAAGATATTCAACAACAGAACGATTATCAAGAGAAGAATTATGCAACTCAGACCTTAGTTGTCTACATTTCTGTCCTAGTTTGATGGTGAAAATATGAACGAGTCTTCTCCCAAATTTCATTAGAGTGGAGACATCCAAGAACATGTGCAAGAATTATACTAGAAAGAAACGAATGTAATCAAGCTAATAACATTTGATCTTGTTTTTCTCAAACAAGATAATCTAAATTCCATCATCAAAAAAAATCTTGATCAGAAAGAAAACGGGAAGGAATTTTTGGAGCTACAAGAAACTGATGCAACCTATGTGTCTTGATAACCTATTTGACTTGTCAACACCATAGCAAGAAATTCTTATCATCAAGTTTCTTCGAAATGTGATCAGAGTTTGTGCAGAAGCATAGAGGAAAGAACGAGTGTCAGAGGCAGCAATGGCAGTAGTGTGAGTTTGCAAGTGTGTTGCCTGAGTCACTGCAGGTGGTGGAGGGGAAGGAGGAGGAATATTTTCTGAAGCCATGGATATGGCTCTTGATACCATATTGAAAGAAAGAAAACAAGAAAGATATACTGATACACTAAGAGAAAGTGCAATCAGTAATAGTCGTTGTAATTCTCTATTGCAAACCTATATATATATATATATATATATATATGTGTGTGTGTGTGTGTGTGTATAAACTAAACAGAGAATTAACAATAGTTAGTTGTATACGATTACAACGGACAGAAATTCTCTAACATGAGTGAGTTTGTATGAGGTTTAGTCATTGACTTTCATATGCCTATTAATCTATGATTATAAATTTAAGCTTAATTAATATTTGGTGTTTTACATGGGTTTTTCATCTCTTATTTATGTTATATTATATTCATATATATGAATTTTATATATTTTGTGGAATCGGAACTTTGTGTTACGATTTCAATATTTAGGATTTTGTATCACTTTCCCAAGTCTGACTAAAATCTCAAGTGTTATGTTTTCTTAAAGTAGGTTAGGTCGTTTCAACTATTAGCATATGTGGTTGTAGAAACCATCGGCAAGGTATCACGCCCGTGGAGGCATTGCAGAGCTTTGGTGTGGAGTAGGAGCGGGACCCCAAATGGCGATTGAAACAATAGTCCCTAAGGACAGAACGATCCTTGATAAAGGCTAGAGAACCGATGGAACGAGACAGCTTGTAGCCGGCATACCTTGATTGGAAGAACAGTCCCTGAACTAGACCATGCTGCTGCCATCAAAGAAGTGATGGCCAGCAACTGGCTCATATAGCAGGTTGGCCCTGTTCCTGTCGCAGACATTTTCAATGCACTTAGCAATTTTTCCTCAACCAACAGGTAGTATTGGAGTGGAGTTCCTATAGCTAGTGATCGTGTCTTTGTCCCAGAAGCTTTGACCCCAACAATGTCCCAAATGCACTCACATTGTCTGTGTCCCACATGAATAAATCTGGTCATAACTTCATCCTAAGCATTGACCTCACTTGAGAAAACTTATTTAAAGTTTGATACAGTGACCAAATGCACTGTTAAATTGTATTTATAGAGAAGGAGATACAATAGAGAGGATATGGGTCTCAGCACAAACCCTTAACTCTAGTCAAAGGAACATACAAAAAGATAGATAAACAACAGATCTCAACACTCCACCTTAAGCTGGGACATATAAATTGTATGCACCAAACTTGAAACAAATGAATTGAATCCTAGGTCCTCATAAGGATTTAGTTAAAATATCTGTCAGTTGCTCATTAGAGCTTACAAATTCAGTTACAAGTTTCTTAGACAATAACTTCTCTCTAACAAAATGACAATCAATTTCAATATGTTTTGTTCTTTCATGAAACACTGGGTTGAATGCAATATGGAAAGTTGTCTGATTATCACAAAACAACTTCATCTGTCCACTATCACAGAATGAGTTGTTTTATCCACACAAGTTTACATGTAGCAAGTGTCATAGATCTATATTCAGTTTCTGCACTTGATCGAGCAACAACACTTTGTTTTTTACACTTCCAAAAAATCAAATTTCCTCCAATAAAGATACAATACCCAGTAGTAGATCTTCTATTAATGGGACAACCAGTCTAGTCTGCATCACAATAACGTAGAATTTGAGTATTACCTTTACCTTCATATAATAATCCTTGTCCTAGTGCCCTTTTAACATATCTCAAAATGTGAATCAAGGCATCCCAATGATCAACACAAGGATTTTGCATGAATTGGCTAACTACTCCAACTGTATAAGAAAGATTTGGTCTGATAATAGTAAGATAAATGAGTTTACCAACCAAATCTCCTATATTTTTCTGGATCTGACAACTTTTCTCCTTCATCCGTCATCAATTTCTAGTTAAGATCCATTGGGGTATAAATGGATGTACAATTTGTTAGACCAGTCTCCTTCGGGATATCAAGAGCATACTTCCTTTGAGAAATTATCACACCTTCCTTTGACTAAGCCACTTCAATACCAAGAAAATACTTCAATTGACCAAGATCTTTGGTTTGAAAGTGAGCAAATAGATGATTCTTCAGTTGGCTGATCTTAATATAATCATTGTCTGTGATAACAATATCATCAAAATAAACCATAAGATATACACTTGCCTGAAGAGGAATGACAATAAAACACTGAATAGTCTATTTCACTCCTTTTCAAGCCAAACAATTGTACAACATAACTGAATTTCCCAAACCAAGCCCAAGGTGACTGCTTCAAGCCATAAAGAGACCAATGTAACATACACACTAAACTAGACTCCCCTTGAGGAACAAAGCCAGGAAGTTATTCCATATAAATCTCTTCCTCAAGATCACCATGAAGAAATGTATTTTCAATGTCCAGTTGGTGAAGGAGCCAATGACAAATAGCAGCCATAGCAAGGAAAAGACAAATAGTGGAAATCTTAGCTACAGGAGAGAACGTATCCAAGTAGTTAAGACCATAAATTTGAGTGAAGCCTTTAGCTACTAAACAAACTTTCAAACGATCCGCTTTACCATTATTATCAACTTTAACTGCATAGACCCATCTACAACCCACAACCTTTTTGCCAGGAAGAAGAGGGACAAGCTCCCAAGTGTCATTGTGCTCAAGGGCTTGCATTTCATCAATCATGACTTGTCGCCATCCAAGATGATCAAGTGTCTCATGAACATTATTAGGAGTAGAAGTATTAGCCAAAGAGACAATAAAAGAAGAATATGAAGGAGACAAACGATGGTAACTTAAAAAATTATAAATAGAAAAGAGATTTCGAGTGGAACGAGTACCTTTTCTAAGTGCAATAGGCCAGCCAAAATCAAAAGTGGGAGACAAGGTTGAAGGATCTAGGGTATATGGAGACAAATCTGAATCATGATTATCTGTAGGAATTGGTAAGGGTGTAGGAGGAGTCCTACTATGATGTGTGAGAAGAGGAGGAGTCTTATTATGACCTATAGACTGAATTGGGGAAGGATCAAGTATTATAAGTGGATCACATGAAGGTGTAGGCAGAACTTGTTGAATAAATAAACTATCTTCCATGGGGGAAGAAAAAGAAAGGTGTTTCCTCAAAGAAGGTGATAGACATATAATATCTTTTGAAGGATGGAGAATAACATTTATACCCTTTCTGCAGGCAAGAGTATCCCAAGAAAATACATTTAATGGCCTTAGCACTTAGTTTATCAAGACTTAGAGACACATTATGAACAAAACAGGTTCAACCAAATACACGAGGATATACGTGGTAAAGAGGATCATCTGGGAAGATAAGAGAATGTGAAATTTGATTTTTAAGAGAGGAAAATGACATCCAATTAATCAAAAAACAAATAGTGAGAACTGCATCTCCCCAATGATGAAACAGGAACATTAGCATTCAACATTAGAGAGCGTCTTGTCTCAATAAGGTGTCTATTTTTCCTTTTTGTAATGTCATTTTGCTGTGAGGTGTGAGGACAAGATGATAGATGTAAAATTCCTTGGGAAGATAAAAAAGAAGGGAAGGAGGCAGAGAAATATCCTTTGGCATTATCACTTCTGAGAACTTTAATTATCTTCCCAAATTGATTTTTAATTTTATTGAAAAAGGACACAAAAATGGATAAAAGTTCAGAACTGTCTTTCATTAAATAAACCCAAGTACATTTGAAAAATTCATCAATAAAGGTCACAAAATACCGAAAGTCAAAAGAGGAAACACGACTTGGTCCCCAAACATTAGAATGAATACTTGAAAAAGAAAAATTACATCGAGTTTCAGACATATTAGGAAAAGTAGACCTAACATGTTTTCTTAATTGACAAGATTCACACTCTAAAACCAAAAGATGTTGAAGATTAGGAGTCATCACTTTCAACTTAGATAGACTTGGGTGACCCAGACGATCATGCAAAAGTTTAGGGGTAGGAGAAACCAGACAAGACACCGAAGAATTTGAATTTAGATAGTACAGACCATGTGCTCCATGTTCTCTAATCAGACGACCCGTACCATGTTCCTAAATAACAAAAGAATCCTGAATAACAAAAATATTGGAAGTAAAGGTTATAGAACAATTCAAAGAACGAGTCAGTTGACTTAGAGAGATCAAGTTATAAGGACAATTAGGAATGAAAAGAACATAATTTAAATTTAAAGATGGGGTTAAAGGAACTTGGTCAACTCCTTGAGATTTCACTTTGGATCCATTAGCTACAGTGATTAAGTGAGGAATTTTAGGATAGAACATGAAGAAAAACGAGGAATTATTACCAAATATATGATCAGAGGCACCTAAATCAAGAATCTATGGGTTCTAACCTTCCACAGATTGAGAAATGCATGCAGTTGAAACACTTGGCATTGAAGGAGATTGACCCTGACTGCTAAACTTTCCAAATTTGAACTTCAAAAATTCATGATACTCCTCATCAGAAATCTTCATATCTGGTTTCTCATATTTAGATGCATGGGCAGTCTCATCAGGAAAACCGTGCAAGGAATAGCAATTTTCTTGTCTGTGCCCCATCCTCTTACAATAGGAGCATTGAAGACGAACTTTCATACTACCACGTCCTCCTCGATTGTTGCATCCTCCCCATCGACCACGAGAAGCAACCATAGCAAAAGTTTCAAGAATCTCCACCTGATTCTCATCTGCCATAAGATTAGGAACCTGAATCAACCTAATGACAAGATTATCCATTGAATCAACCTAATGACAAGATTATCCATTGATGGAACCTGATTGCCAGCTAGGATTTGATCACGCATGAGATCAAAATTAGAATGCAGACTCTTCAAAATTAGAACCATATACAACTTATTGAGTTTGGAGTTTAACTCCTCTAATGTATTTGCTACAAGAAACTTTTTTAATTCTTCCACAGCAGTCCTAGATTTTGCAATGTGAGTCATCATGTCATGACTGGTCTGCTTGAGTGGCATCACACTTTGAGTGACGTCACACTTTCAGTTGCTTCAAAGAGACGTTGAATATCATTAGCAAAAATGTCTTGAGCCTTTTTTCCAAAAAGAAGAACAGGCTTTAAATGACCTGAGAAACTTAAGAACTTCAAGTTCCACATACTGCCATAAGATTGCACAAAGTTAGAAGTCTATTTTCTTCTACCGAAACCTTTCTGTAACGGAAATAGAGTCTACATCCTTCTCCAAATGGTCATGATGCCCCTGACCAAAAAACCACAGCTTAACTAATGTAGACCAGGATAAGTATTTTTTTCTAGTTGAGTCTGACACTGTTTATGGTGGGAGTAGCAGAGAAGGTGAAGACAGTAGATGAAGCCATATGAACCAAAGACAAATAAAACCAACGATTAGGGGTACCAACAAGACCTTTCACACATAGTTCTCAAAATAGAAAATTAAGGGCACCACTGGACTAGGAGGACGGCGACGAGTCAAACAAAGGTGGATGGCCTCGATTCCAGCCACAGGAAGGTGGCACGTGAGACACACACGCCTAAAAAAGACTCTCTGAGACGGTCGCGCGTAACGACACGTGGGGCAGCTAACGGAGGAGCGACTTGCAGGGGTGGGTCGTGCTCCTTGAAGCGCACAAAACCCCTTCTTTGCCGCTCCAAACGAAGACGGTGATGACGGCTAATGGCTGCCCACGGTGGCCGGAGATAACAAAGGTGACCGAAAATTAGTGCGGGATCTTACCCGCTCTGATACCAACTTGAGAAAATCTATTTAGGGTTTGATACTGTTGGAAGTCTCACATTGCCTACCTCATGTCATTTGGTATGGTTTAAATACATGTTAGGCTATTCCACATATTGCCAATTGGTTTTATGTTGGAACCTTAACATGGTATCAAAGTCAAAGCCTAACATCTTTTTGGTTATTGTTATGGACCAAAAGTTGTCCTTTAGTTGGGTCAAAAGTATCATTTGCCTGGTCCGGCAGGCTTCGTTGGAGGGGGCGTGTTGGAAGTCTCACATCGCCTACCTCATGTCATTTGGTATGGTTTAAATACATGTTAGGCTACTCCACATATTGCCAATTGGTTTTATATTGGAATCTTACCAGATAGGGCACTGTTACATTGTATTCATAGAAAATAAGATACAATAGAGAGGATATGGACCTAAGTCCAAACCCTTAACCCTAGTCTAAGGAACATACAAAAAGATAGATGAACAACAGTTCTCAACAGGTCATCTATGCAAGTTATTTTAAGTCTCCAATAATATTAGTTTAAAGATTCCAAATGTGGTTTTGAGAAGTTGAACCTTGCTTTGCTTGCCAAAAAAATTCTCTCAAGCTTATGGTAAACTATCTTTCGAGTAATTTTCTTCAACTTCTCTAGCATCTTTGAATTGCCTTTAAAACTATAGTTTTTTATGGACCTATTTTTATGTTTTCTATTTATCTATTGGGAAATGAATTATTTTCTTGTAACAAAATTAAAGCTTGAGAGGGGATTTTAAATATATGAAAAATAACTGATGATATCATCTTACAATATTTTCCAGTATCTTAGATTATCTCTTAGAATTTATTCTTCTTTCATATTTATGATTTGTTTCCTTGAGAAAACAAAAAAAAAGAAAAGTTAGGTCAAAACTTATATTCTAAGATGGTATTGAAGTCTATTCAATATTCATTAAAAGCGTAACCTACCATATTATCTATTCACCAAGTCCAAAAACTCAAACTCCATATTGACAAGAGATAGAGCTCGAAAAAAGTATACAAGGAATAATCTTCACATTACTAATCAGTTTTACAGGATTGAATTAGATTCATAATCAATTATAAGACTATAGTATGCTAAGATAATATCAACAGATATTTCTTTTATTTCTAACATGATTCAATAAGGGCTAGTATTTCTTATAATTTTGCTTAAGACTAAACTTAATCTTTCAAAAATGACTTATAAGATAAGATTGTGCGAGACTACTTCGGTCACATCTCTAGTCTATGTGAAATCTCAACCCACTAAGACTCAATGTTTAGGTACACTATTATGCTTTGCTCAGCCTTTCAGGTCAGCACCTCCATAGGTAACCCTTTTTGAGACCCTGTGACCCAAGGGAGGGCAGTGATCACAACTGAGGCCTCTTTCCAACCATGTTTTAAGTTATATAAACATATAAAACACATCATTTAAATTCTCAATACATACATGAAATTATAATTTTTGTCACTAATAAAACAAGATTGTTTTTTATTTTATTTTTTTCTTGCATAAACCTTCAAAGGTCATGGGCCATCTCCCTCAGCATGATCCACAAAATTTGGCATATCACTTTATCATATAGATATTTTCTTCTCTTACTTTCAAAACAAGATAACCAAACAGGTTTTTTCTGTCCTTTCTCATAAAAATAGTCCAAAAGAAATACTTTACAAAATAATTTTGAAAAAGAATTAAGGCGAAGTTAATTAAATAACCCTTAGTTTCTTAACATTGTCTCTTAGAGAAGTGAAAAACTACACCAATGACAGATATATGAAACGGTCACCATCATTTCTACAAAAAAAAAATTGCGGTAGCCACCCAAGCCAGTTATTTTGTTAAATATCGAAAGGAAATAGACATGTAACATCTCTTGCACTGAACCAATAAAGCAACATTACTGCCCACTAAAAGAATTCAGACCACACTCTTTGGAAATAGCATAACACTTATCCTCCTCAGTTGAAACATACAAAAATATACAGGAGTCCATTGTCATCAATAAACATCATTCAAATAATATAATAAAGGAGAAGTACCTCCAGTGTTCTGAACCTCTGCTACATGTAGATTGATTTCTACAAGCGCCTAGAAATAAAAGAATAACAAAGAATGAGCCAAAAAAGAAAATGTAATAGAATACAAACATATTTATGTGATTCTGTCTTTATGTATGTTGACTAGACTGAGAAACCATCAAAGAAAAATATAAGGAAATAACCTCACGAAGAGCACTTTTGCGATCTTCAATTGGAAATACATCCACTAATCCATACGATGTATCACATAGCGACTGCACAAACTCCAATGAGTCATGGTATGCCCCTTTCCGGAACTGAGATGGACTAATTGGTAAGGGTGGCTTTGTGCTTGATTTTTCACTTTGTTGCTTTGGGGATCCAGGACGCTTCTGCCAAAATAATAGGATAACCCCCAAATGAAGCATAGCAATGAGATGTATGAGAAATTATCCTTTATCTTAGATTACAAAAAATAATGAAACACAATCGAAAAAAAATGAAAATAGATCTAAGAATGCATTGATACCAGAAGTACTCCTTGAACCCACAACTATAATTAGAGACATCACAAGTATGGACAATGTCTGATGCCATGCTATCATGCATGCAATACATCATGTTTATACAATAGTACCATTGTTTTTTCAAATTGGTTTTTCAACAAATGTTTGTCTTATCTCTTAACGACCAACTATGATAAAAGCTTCAACTTAAAATATTTGGAAAAAAGCTCATCAATAGCCCTACTACATCTCCATCACACCCCTCAAGCAAAAATCATTAACTACAAGGCCTATTTCCATGATGTGCTGAACAACTGCAGAAAGGATTGAACTTTCTAGCCATTTGATCATAGAGTATATTTCATGTAACGGTCCAAGTCTCCAAAAGGCTTAAGTTGTTAGGTAAAGGCTCATAAATGACTTTATTAAATCAGTAACAACAATCTTATCATTTCATAAAATTATATTAGTGGAATCTAGTATGGAAGTATGAGGCATTCCTAACGTTAGATAATATACCAGCCTTGTATGCTGGTAACTTATATTTGAAAAGAATCGCAACCTGGGATAGCCACCAAGTTATAAAATTAAGCCCGGAAAACAGTTTGTATTGATGTTAGCTAAATACAAGGAGATGTGCCCTTTATTTATGTTTCACTCATGAGTTATTTTTCACTCGTGATTCTTTCTTGTAAAACCTGGTTAATGCAAGATCATCTTCACTATATGTCTAGGTATTCAAAAGCATCCCATTGTTCAAAATATAGTTCTGTTTGAGAATATTACATTGTAATATAATTTTTTTTATGGACAACTTTCACCAGTTATTTAGAGTTAATTACAATGCAACTGTCACTAGTTAGTTAGCATGTATAAATACCTTTCTGTAACTGTTCAATGAAACTGATTCATTTATTCAATAAAAGTTTTCTTCTAGCTTTCTCTCTAAATTCTCTGCAATCCTATGATGGTATCAAGAGCTCCGGTCCCTAGATGAACAACTCTATGATCATATCAAGAGCAATACCAATGGTTGTCTCTGCCTCAGTAACCTCACATTCTATTTCTAAGAAACCAGATAACAAAATTTTCTATTATGGCGTCAACAGGTTGAACCTGTGAACAAAGCATATTGACTTCATCATTTTGTCATTGCTCCAAATATTCATCTTCAATTTTCCACCTGGCAGATCAAGATGCTAAAATTCTCAATCCCACTTGTGTTGCATGGGATCAACAGGATCAGATGCTTCTTTCAGAGCACCGATCATCTATTTTGTCATTAATCCGCTCGCGAGTTCTAGGTTGCATCCATTCATATGAACATTGGGATTGACCACACAAATACTTTCAAAAACAGAATCACACACAAGCATGACAACTCCAAACATACCTTTGTCTTGTAACTCTTGAATATCATTCCATTTCAAAGTTCTTACTCCACATCAAGTCTCTTCTTGATTCACTAGCTACGGTAGGGTCTTGTCTTTGATCAAAAACACATCGATGTTATCCTTGAATAACTTCAACAAGGTTTAGTTTTGTCGTCTCACTGATTGAAAGCAAATTTGATCCTCTTCAAATTGAATCACTCCTTTGCAAAAGTTTCGAAGAAGCTAATCTATAAATCTAATTCCATTAACCTAACTCATGCGAGTCTAACACTTTTTCACCCTCCAAAGCTTGAAATCCTTTGCAGGTGCAATTACATCTCTATCGAGCAAAAACCTCATAAATCCTCTAATTATCGCGACCCTAGTGGTTATTGTGGTGGTAGAGTTTTTTGCAGTCATAGACATGGTGGTCATTCTAATGTCAAGTGTGTTTTCAGTTAAGTCATATAGCCTCTCCAATATCATCTTTATAACCCTAACTATCAACCTCGATTTTCTCTGATTTGGGTAATTAAAGTTACAATTCAAAAATTTCAAACTATTGGCATCTTTATACAATCAACTTTATAGTACACTTGAGACCTCAAGTGCATCCAAATAACACACTTAGTACCATGGTCACCATCAAATAGTGCTTGTTTTCTAGATTTTGGTGCCTCTTTCCATGTGACTCGTTGCTCAAATATTCCACTGTTCACAATGTCTAGAGGTTCTCATCAAATTTAAATCAGCAATTGTCTAGGTTTGCATATTACTTCCACTAATTTTTCACATTCTTTGCCAAAGATCGTTTTGTCTTTTCTGAGTTTCATGTTTATTATTTGTTTTGTCAAATCTCATGTCACTCATGAGATTCTCCTCCAAGATCAAGTTGGTTCCAATGGTATTTACAAGTTTCCAAGTCTTCATATGAAGCCTCTAAGTCAAAATTCATGTTTTCCTTCTACTTCTTGTAATGATGATAATGATGCTTCTAATTCCTCTATTTCTCCTAGTTCTCAATATCTATGGCATCTAAAGTTGAATATCCACCCTAGTCTTTGTACTGCATAACTATTATGGAATCAAACTCTTCTTCAGGAACTTGGTGTCCTTCACTCTACTCCTAAAGTGTTTTGTGACAACTAAAATGTTGTTGCCTTGGTGTTGCATGCTCAAACAAAGCATATGGAAATTGACCTTTTTTTGTTTGAGAAAGTTCTTTCCAAACAGCTTCACATCATGCTCATCCTTGCTCAAGATCAGCTAGCTAATCTTCTTACCAAGCCCCTTTCTACATCTTGCTTTTTGTTTTTAAGGTCCAAACCTAATGTGTTTTAGTTGGCTTCCTCTTCTCAATTACATTGAGCTTGGGGGTGTATGAATATATTACTCTATATTGTAACATCACTATCTACTGACAATTGTCACTAATTAGATAGTGTCAGTTACAGTTCCAACTGTCACTAGTTAGTTATAGTTCCAGCTGTCACTAGTAAGAGTTAATTACAGTACAGTTGCCACTAGTTAGTTAGCAATGTATAAATACATTTTTGTAACTGCTCAATGCAGCTGATTCAATAAAATAAAGAAGTTTTCTTTTAGCTTTCTGTCAAAATTCTCTGCAACTCTATGAAGTTTGAAGGACTAGGATTCAAACATTGAAGCACCAAAATATAAAAATCTAATTTATTTTAACAGAATAGTAAAAATTTTCATAGGAGCCCACATTATATTATAGAAGAGTCAACTGAAAAAGATATCAACACTAGGAACTTTTGAATTTTTCAGAGTAGAGGGGGTGGACTGCACTTGGTAAAGACAATAAAGTTGTGGATACAAAAATTTAAGTAATGTCAGTCCAAATGGACATTGTAAAACAGACTTTCTATCAAGAAGTCACATAGAGCCATTAAGCAACTTTTACACTTAAAACAAAATAATTAGGAGTTTGTACATATGGATTTCATTCACACTTTTTGCTTTATATTCCTGATTTCACCAAAAAAATAAATCAGATTATAAACAAATATTCAACAGACCTCTTTCTGCCTTTTTGGACCCAATAGCTCTGAATCCTCAATTGAACGGTCACGATCTCTGAACAACTTACGAAAAAAATTCTCTGTACCTGGACTACTCTCAACTAAACCACCATTATTGCCGTTTGCATTGGCCAGACTACTTTTTGCATCTTCAGGATGCACACGAAATAGTCTTTTGAACAAGGAAAACTCAGAAGACTCTTCTTCCTCACCATTGGTAGTACTGTCTTCAATTTTATCATTTGTATCTTTCTTGTCCTCAAATTTATCCTTTAATAATTTCCGAAAAAACCCTTCTTTTTCATCCTCTTCAGCATGTTTGGCATATTTCTCTTCAAAATTACCAGCATCTCTATTATCAATCCCATCCTTCCTATCTTCAGATTTCTCCCGGAAAAACTTTCGGAAAAATCCCTCTTTATCTTCATCTTCTATTGTTTTAGTGTGTGCTCTGTCCTCAGAATCATTCTTGCTATCACGAAACAATCTCTTAAATAATCCCTCTGAACTTGAAGCTACATCTTCATCTTCACTTCTACTGTCCCTTAAGAGCCTTCGAAAGAAACCATCCTTTTCTGAGTCTTCATCGTCACCTCTGCTGTCCCTTAAGAACCTTTTAAAGAAATTATCTTTTTCAGAATCTTCATCATCTTTCACAGATGACTTCCTAAACAGAAATGCATCACGAATTTTTTGGCCCAGTTCATCATCACCTTTGCTATCTTTCAAAAGCCTCTTGAAAAAGCCATCCTTTTCAGGACCATCATCATCTTTGTCCACTGACTTCCGAAAAAGTAAAGCATCTCTAACCTTAGGGCCTGGCATAAACTTCTTAAATATCTTGCTCTCATCAGGAGACAGCGGTTTCCCATCCTCATGCAAATTGTTTCCTGAGGAAGGTGAAAATGATAAAGACTTCTGACCAGGCGGTGAGGATGTTAGTGATAACAAGCGATTTTTTGATGACAGTAACCTGTTCAAAACTTGGCTCTTTCCTCCAGGACTTGGAGGTTCAGTTTGAGGCCTAATTAGAGGTGGCCACTCACCCATCAAGGTGGCGGCGATCTGACACTTGTCCTGAATCCTACTGATCCCTTCGTTATCATCAGAATCCTCAAGCTCTGCTGACAAGAACCAATGTACCTTCAAAGCAATCTTAAGTGACTTAGAGCATACATCTATCACATATTTATCCAAGGACGGGCTAGGTTTGTGTATCATCATGTAACATATCTGGAACAAATAACTCTCAACACCTTGCAACGGAAGAGTATACATTCTATTACAGAGATAATCACGCACCCCGGCGTGGTCATGCTTGTACAAGTAGCTAACAGCAATCCACTCGCAGAAAAACGCCGAGTCAAAGAACCTGATGAGCCACCCATTTTCACCAGACTCGCTGGTCAGGTTCGATCTGGATGCTATTTCCCGGGGTTCTTCTGCGTAACCAAGAGTCAACCCTAAAAACCTCACCATGCTCAATCAACCGTCATCAAAGAAACACCCTAATTTCAACTGGATCAAATCCAAAACAACTAGAGCAATTATGCTACTGTCACTGGCTACCTTATAAATATAAACCCTATAAATCCCAAAACCCTTAGTGAAAACCCTAATCCACTCACAAACCGATATTACCCTCTCGCAAATTGTCCAATTCGAATGACTAGTGGAAAACCCGAACACCAAGATACTGAGCAGAAGCCTTTGCACTAGTCAAGCGAATAAAATAACAGTGCAACGCTTTCAATTTTCCAGGCACCCGAAACTGTAGCTACAGATAAAATGTTCGAGGAGTTACCACGGAATTTGCAACCCGAGTTTGAATTGGACGAAGTGAAACCAAAATTGCGATGGAAAAGTGAACCTGATTCTTGTAATTGTTCGAGTGCATGGAATTGATCGAATATCTCAGCGGATCTCCGTAGCTTCTTCAAACGACGGCGTCTTGTAGACGGTTGTTGCGGTGACAGCGCAGCTGCAGTGGAGGTCGTCGTTACTTTTTCAGAGTGAAAAGACGACAAAAGTGAGGTCCTACTTCAATAAAACATAAAAAATATGAAGAACAAATTCATAGTATGAAGCCGCATTATTTTATAGTATTAAAAAAATAATAATAATAATACTATATACGATTAACTATATTATTGTTATAAAAAATCACAAACTTATGATATTCATAATTATTTATAAAGTAATGATTGTATAGTTGTATGTGTATAATCTATGTACTTTCTTCTACCAAAAAATTATTCTATGTGCTCTTTTTCAATAACTTAATTCAACAAAAATTTAATGGTATTAAAGAATATTTAAGTGATAAATTGATTTATGTCAAATAATACTTGTTTGTGAAAGGAAATAGTGGCGTCAAATTAAAGAATACTCGCATTAAAATTGAAGTTATAATATGTGTAACGAAAAGTGATATTGAACCTATTTATAAGTTAGAAATGACCGCTAAAAATATTTAGAATATAATAATGGCTTGTATTTTACTAATACTTAAAAAAATATAAAAATAAAAATAAAACCTCTAAACGCAATTTGAGTGTATTTATGAATTGATATTAATTTGAAAAACGAATTAAAAATATGTAAAAGTTGGATAATTTGTACATGAATTTTATAGTATCAACAATGCATAAATACTAAATGTAATAACTAAATTATTTTTCATTTCAATGTTTTAAAATTTTGTTGTGTGATACAGCTATTAAGGTATGATATAAAATTAAACCCTAAAGCGGAAGATTTTTGGATCTAGTTCCACATCGAGTATTCGCTGAGAAGGGAATTTTGGGAGGCTAGTAGCAATACATTTAGCCACCTCAAAGTATGATTCGCTCCTTTTCATCACCCCAACTTGTTTAGCTGCAATATTATGACTCGGAAAGTTGCAAATTCCTTCCTTGGTTAGAGCTTCAATTTTCTCTGTCTTCAACCTCCAGCTCCCATTTCTCAAATTGAAGCTATAAAGGGGAAAGAATCGTTGGCCATACACAGCTAAAAACTCTATGGCTTTCAGAATGTACTCAAAATCCTCTTCACTCATGTAGTAAGGAAAACTAACTCTAGTCCACCCTGGCTTTACTCCAATGTAACCCTGCCAAAGTAACAAACAATATTGCTTTTAAAACTTGCTTTTGGCACTTCAATTTTTAAAACAGCTACAATGTGTTTTGTAACATCAATGTTCAGAATTGGTTTTAGTCCCCCCAGTGTTATAAAGTTGGGAACATAAATCATCATATTTTAGAAATAAAAAAAAAACTAAACCACTGTTTTCAAACTGTAAGAACTGAAAAAGTTTTGACCAACTTTTGAGAAACTTGAAACATATTATACCCTTTGGAAACATAATATTTAAAGCAGATTGTGGATCATTTTTCACCTCTTGAATTGCTGATCTAATGGCAAGTGATTGAGGCTTGTTGATGTGGAGCAATTGGTGGCCATAAGGTCCAGCACAAGCACACCCTCCACGAGCTTGGATTCCAAAGAGGTCATTGAGCAATGTTGCAACAAAAGGACCATGAAGTGGTTTCCCTCTTTGGTTCCCCGTTTCTGCCCACAAATCAAGTTCCCCTTCATTTTTCTGGTTTCCATCCCTCCACTCACCAGCTGAGGAACAATTGGTGGTGGAGTAAATCAGAAATGACAATATAGCTTGTCTCTTGGCCTTCAAGTTTCCTAGAACCTCAATGTTGGGGTTTGAGCCAAGCCTCTGAAGTGCTTTGTTGATGTACAGTTGTTCACATTTTTCAATCTCTTCACAGCTTATGTATTCTTTCACCCAAAATGCCAATGCTGCTCTCACTGTCTGGGTTATTGGAGGCGTGCCCCCAGTTTCCCTTTCCTCTATGTTCTCCAGGTATAATGTTTCCTGCATTGATGACATGTAATGGATGATGATGATTGATGAAGTTTGAATGAATACAAGGTGAAAGAAAAGAACATGTTAAAATGTTTAGCAAAATGAATATTGAGATGGACGATGTCTACATATTTTGAAGTATATTATTAGTTCTCAGAAGTTTTGATGTTATTCTTCTATAAGATCTTCAATGCAAACTTTTATTGCAGAGATTAATAGGAGAATCACACAAGCACATAAAGACTGCATGCAAGTTTTTTTCGACGAAATCTCATTCAAATCAACAGCAACAAGCAGAGGCCTGCCCTGAATAATCAAAGATCTCTCTTCCCTTTTATTGTTACCAAGTTGTATGAATAAAAAAAAATCCAAATTTTCTTTCCATTTGTTTTTTCTGATTCACATGAAGCAGCCACAAAACAACCTTTGATGGCTTTAATTGCACCTACACTTTTTCTCTGGATGTTCCTTCATGCATACAGTGGACAAATGTTTTTCCAAAACTCCCAACATAAGAATGCGATTTACCTGTTCATTAAAGCCATTGACATAACTCACGGTTCCACCTCCACAAGTGGACGGCGGTGAAGATCCTAGCAGATAAAGGGCCTTGTTCATGAGGAGAACCCCTGGAGAGTCAGGACCACCAAGAAACTTATGTGGACTCAGGAACACTGCATCATACCCATCACTCTCCCCAGACCTCATGTCAATCTCCACGTATGGACCACTAAACAAACAAGCAAAACCATTATCAAGTTTCCAAATTTCCAACACACAAACTCATGTACAACCAGAAATTATTGGATGAGATTTTCTTTGATTCTAACGGATCTTCACTTAACATGCAATTGAATTTTAAATTTATGAAAAAAATGTTAATAAAACTTTACTATGTGTATCACATGAAAATTGCACGGTACTATAAACATGTGGTGGTTTCAAACTAAATAATAAGTCCCCATTCTCACAATTTTATGCAAGTACCTTGCAGCAAAATCAAAGCATGCAAAGGCTCTGTACTGATGAAGAAGCTGAGCAACTGCACGTGTATCTGAGTAGATTCCCGAGACATTGCTACAAGCTGAAAATGATCCCAACATGGGGCGGTTGGTATCTTTGTAGGCCTCAAGTTGTATCCTTAGAGCATCCATGTCGAGCAATCCTTCGTCATCAAGATCAATCTCTACCACCTCAGCCAAACTTTGCCTCCAAGAAAGAAGGTTTGAATGGTGCTCATGTGGTCCAACAAAAACCACCCATCTTTCTTCTGTGTTCAGACTCTTCAAAACTCTTTCTCTCAAAATAGAGGGCACAGTGATCCCCATCACTTCTTGCAGCCTCTTGATAGCTGCAGTTGTGCCCGAGCCACATAATATAAGTGCATCATCTTCCCCACCACCTAAACATTTCTTAATGTAATCACTTGCTTCGTTTACCATTTTTGTTGTCCTGCTTCCCACGTAACTGTCGCATGTGTGCGTGTTACCTATACACAGAAAAATAACACTAAAAGAAATGTTTCCACATGGAAAATTCTAGTATCTTCTGTAACCTGTTTTCTAATCTGGGAAGATTAAGTTGAGCTATGTACTTCTACACACATACAAAACAAAGTACCAACCAATAATGAATGCAGTTTTTGCTATCTAAAAATTTTCAAATTGATATTTTCACTTTTATTTATTGAAAAAGTGAAAATCTTTAGTAAAATTATTTCAAATAAAGGTACATTTATTGTTGTTTTTAATCTGTGTGCAAGAACCTCAAACTATAATCATTAGTCATTAGTCATTTATGATTCGAGGACAATGTTAATGTATATACTACCTACTCTTAAACAACTCAGAGATTATGTGTATGAATAAGGGTGGCTTGATGTAATGATGTGATAACTTACCATAGAAAGGAAGAAGGTGATTGATGATGAAATTCTCGTTATAGTGAAGGCTGCGGCCTGAAGCAGTGTGGTCAGCATAGACAACTTTTCTTTTTCCAAATGGGGAATCAAACTCTGCATCGTAACCAATGATTTGGGATCGCAACCAACACAGTTTTTCCACCACTGACTCGTTCCACGGCAAACCGATCTCCACAAGCTTCCTGAAGGACTCAGAGTGGTTGCAAAAGTCGTGAGATGTTTCTGATGTGCTTGGTTTGGATAACACTCCAACCTCGCTGTTGATTTTGTCCTGGCCATGGCTTTGATCCTTGCATGGTTGGACTAACACAGGTTTCTCTGTCAATAAGGGGTGATCTATCCTCATTATTTGAAAGAAGAACAGAATAGAGTGGCTTGTGATGTTGTTTATGTAACTCAGAATACAAGAAAAGGTGGAAGTGTAGAAAGATTTAAGAGAAGGCAAAACAAGTTTTGATTTATATTTTGGTAGTAGTCTAAAGTTTCAGTGGGATTATATTATGGGCTGGACAAACCTGGTGGTGTCTTTTTAATTGCGGGTGCGTACAATTCAGGTGCAAAACATAGTATTTGAACTTTAAATATTATAATAAATAGTATAACTTTTTTTTTTTTTTTCTGTTGGCCATCAGTGCATGGTAATGGTACGTTACTTTTTCCTGAACCAGGTATAGGAAATGGTAATGGTACGTTACCTTATCTTAGTTTGGGGAGAAGTTTTCCCTTTTGCTACAAGGCAATGTAGTTTGGGGAGTTTCATCGTAGTGATAAGTATATGGTTTTACTTTCTTAAATATTTTAAAAAAATGTTAATTTTAGTTTGACTAAATTTTAACAGTTTTAGTTTTTTTTTTTAAAATATGCAAGACTCGAGATAGTATATATTGAAAATTGATTATCTTTTATTTATTTTAAAAAACTGAAAATATATTTTTTTAAATTAAAAAAATATATATAAAAATGTTTAATTATAATATTCATTGATTTTTGAAAAATTAATTACGAGATTATTAAGTATAAAAGTAAATTAATAAATTTGATTCAATTCATTTTTTTCAATGATAGGATGGATTGTTTTGTTACCCTTACCTTTTAGCTTGTATATTAAGTAAGAAAAACCTAGTCCTAAAGACTAATTAATATTACTACACTTTTATTAAATGTTAGAATTAAAATCAAGTTAAATTTTTATAGATAAAATCCCTAGTTTTAGCTTGTATATTTATTTGAAAAACACCATGAAAGACTAATTAAAATGATATCACTTTTAATAAATGTAAGAATTGAAATTTTTATAAAAATCAAAATATTCTGAGTGATAAAAATTTATATCTATTGAGAAATACCTAGTTTTAGCCCTTTCACAAAATAATAGTTAAAATCACACCACTTTTAATAATTATAAAAACAAGAATGTGTTAATTTTCACTGAAATTATGCATTTTATGATTCTGATCGTAAATAATATAAATTATATGTCAACAAAAGATCAAATACATAGTTAAATATGACTCTAACTAATAATTTTTCCATTCAAAAAGAAATAAATAATTAACGAATAACGATTGATGTTGACGAAATAATTAAACTCTAAAACAGAGAACATTGGGATTTACATCTTCATGGAGTATGCCTTGAGAAGGGAACTTGGGGAGAAGATTAGCAATATACTTTGCTATATCTAGGTATGATTTCCTTAACACACTAACTTGTTTAGTTCCAATGTTATATCCCACACCTGATTTGAGTGCTTTCAAATCACTCTTTGCTTCCCCTGTAGTTTTCTGAAAATTGCAATTATTGTTGTTGATCAGAGCCTGAAGTTGCTCTTTCTTCATTCTCCAACTTCCGTTTCTCAAATTGAAGCTATACAAGGGAAGGAAGCGTTGGCCATAGATTGCTACAAACTCTATCGCTGTTAAGATGAACTCAAATTCTTCCTCCTCCATGTAATACGGAAAACTAACTCTAATCCATCCAGGTTTTACTCCAACGTAACCCTGTTCAAGTAATAAACAATTTTGTATTGCGTGATGATTATATAAAAGGTTCATTTGAATCACAAATTTTACATTGAGAGAAGATACCTCTTGAATTGCTGATCTAATAGCAAGAGATTTTGATTTGTTGATACTGAGCAATTGGTGGCCATAAGGTCCAGCACAAGCACACCCTCCACGAGCTTGGATGCCAAATAGGTCACTCAGCAGTGTTGCAACAAAAGGGCCATGAAGTGGTTTACCTCTTTTGCTCTCTGTCTCTTTCCACAAACTAAGTTCTCTTTGTTTTTCCTGTTTCTGGTTGTTTTCTAGCCATTTAATGCCCCAACCAGGTGAGGAAGAACTATTATTGGTGGTAGAATAAATGATAAATGACAATATGGCTTGTCTTTTGGTGCCCAAGTTTCCAAGAATCTCGATGTTTGCGTTGGACATTAATCTCGTAAGTGCCTTTTTAATGTAAAATTGTTCACGTTTCTCAATCTCTTTGTAGGTGACGTACTCTTTCACCCAGAATGCCAATGCTGCTCTCACTGTCTGGATTATAGGAGGGGTGCCCGCATTTTCTCTTTCCTCTATGTTCTCCAGGTATAGTGTATCCTGCAATATCATTAACACCCACATATAAAGTTTGAAAGCACAACAAGCTATTATATTTTCTAACCAAGAAATATATGGAGTTTTTGTTTTTTATATTCAACACTACGACGTTTATTTTTTTCATTTCAAATCTTATATGAATGAAAAATTCCAACCCCGTCATAACTTTAGAAATGACAGGGATTGATTTATAAACACGCTTTCACAAGGACTAAAATATAAAATTTTGGGATAAAGTAAATGAAATGATAAACAACGTGCAAAGACTTTTTTGTTATGTTACGTGGGAAGACTAAATTTATAATATGACTTCTATTGTTTACAATTTGACATAAAATAAGCTTGTAATTTGAATCTGTGGATTACCTTTTCGTTGAAGCCATTAACGTAATCCACAGTTCCACCTCCACAAGTTGATGGCGGGGAAGATCTCAATCGGTAGAGAGCATTGTTCATGAGGAGAACCCCAGGAGAGTCAGGACCACCAAGAAACTTATGGGGACTCAAGAACACTGCATCATACCCATCACTCTCCCCAGACTTCATGTTAATCTCCACGTATGGACCACTAAACAAACACATAAAACCAATATTATAATCAAATTCTAGTGACTAGTTGGATAATCTTTTACTCTTAAAATAATACTGATGCACATATGAAACATTTTCCATTTCTATATAATTCAATACCAAGTAAAAGAAGGTACAAAACATAAACATGTCATAATACTGACTAAATACCTTGCTGCGAAATCAAAGCATGCAAAGGCTTTATACTGATGAAGAAGCTGAGCAATTGCTCGTGTATCTGAGTGGATTCCTGTGACATTGCTACAGGCTGAGAAAGATCCCAACATGGGTCGATTGGCGTCTTTGTAGGCCTCAAGTTGTAGCTTTAGAGCATCCATGTTTATCAACCCTTTGTGATCAAGACCAATTTCTACCACCTCAGCTAAACTTTGCCTCCAAGAAAGGAGGTTAGAATGGTGCTCATGAGGTCCAACAAAAACCACCCATCTTTCTTCTGTGCTAAGGCTCTTGGAAACCCTTTCCCTCAAAATAGAGGGTACAGTGATCCCCATCACTTCTTGCAGCCTCTTGATGGCTGCAGTTGTGCCAGAGCCACAGAAGATGAGTGCATCGTCTTTCCGACCACCCAAGCATTTTTTAATGTACTCTTTTGCTTCGTGTACCATTTTTGTTGTCCTGCTGCCCACGTAACTGTCGCACGTGTGAGTGTTGCCTGCAGAAAATAACAAGAGTTTGGATAGATGTTTTGGAAACTCCTCAATGATTAGTCAAAGAGAAAAACCAAATTTGTTTGGGATTTGAGGTATGTGCAAGTCAAAACAATAATGAAACTAAACCCCTTTTAAGTTCAAACATGTTTATATATCCGCATTAATTTGAGAAACATACCACCTAATTTTTCAGGGGAAAATTAATAAAAAAAAAAACATTCATAGAACGATTTTTCTCATGTTGAATTCTCACAGGACTATATCAAGTAAACGTTTCCTATCTCTCTTTTTACTTAAAAATAAGTAGGCGAGTTTGTATTAAATTTTTTGTATATCTGAAACGAGAGATATATACACAAAATTTTCGATTCACGTAGTCATGGTAGCATGAGAGGATTGTTTCTCATAAATTACCCCCAAACCGTTACGGTTGTCAAACAAATATATTTCTCTGGAATTTTGTTAAAGGCTGCCAACAAAATTGCTTTTGGAAAGTTTATTTTGTACATTAGTTAAAGGTGGAAACTCCAATCATATCATAACACACTTGTCGCATTCTCCTTAATGTACTTACACAGAATATAAAAAAATGTGGAGAGAGGTTAATACAGTCACTTTCTTCTCTTCTGGATTTTTTTCACGTCATGATCTTTTCTGTAACTCATAGTTAAACCCATTAATTATCACTGTTGTATGAAACATTTATACCCCCAAAGGAATACATGTATTAGATCCCATTAAAAAAAAAGTTGCTAATACTGTGTCTTATACGTTATAGATATACATAAATTTCAATAGGACTACTATTAATGAATATATAAAAAAGAAATCAACTATTAAATGAATATTAATGCACGGATTTTTATTTACCCAATTTTCAAAGTGATGATGTAAGAAAATTTATTTTGTACTTGTGGATTAAAGTCAACTTGATGGGGCTAACAATTTTAACTGTGGTTGGCTTAACTTATCCTCCTTGTGAATAACAAATTTATGTACGGGTTATCAAAAGTGGGACAGGAGGGACTGTCCCGTTATAATTATGATGGGTTGTAGATCTTGGTGCGGGTTGATAGACTTGCATGGGACGGCTAAAGCGGTCGCAGTGAGTTGAAAACATCAATCTACCCCACCATATTATGGCGACTGCAACCGACCGTCGAGCTAGCCATTTATCATCCTATATGCGTGTATATATATATATATATATCATATATATATATATATATATATATATATATATATATATATATATATATATATATATATATATATAAGGTTTTTCTGCTATATAATCACACAGTCTCTCTCTACATGAATTATCTACCCATACTATTTATATGTTAACATATTATGTATTAATATGTTTAGTTTAATATATTTGTAGTTTAACAAAATTTATCCCAAAACTTTGTTTGATATTTTTATCATAAGTATAAGCTTAATATAAAAACAAATCCAATTGTAAATAAAAAATTTATCATCATTAAAAAAATAATAATATGCAATTTTGTCGGTAGAATAATTCAACCGAATATGTATATAATGAAAACTTAATTTTTAAGGTGGGTTGAGTTAAATACAATATTTAAAAAATAAATAAATAAAAAACTCAAGTTATCATATTAGCTTGTTAGGGATAAAAAAATATTAAAAAAAATAAATTAAAATTAATTTATGCACTCCATTTTTATAAGAATTTATAAAAATTAGAATGTTTAATTTAATTTTAAATTATGAATTTAATTAATTTATTTTAAAACTTGTTTTAAAGTTTATCTACCCATTATATGTTTCTCTTTTAGAAATTTGTACTTCTAAAATTTCAAATTTAATTATGTTTTTAACTTCAGAAATTTAAGTTTGAGTAAATTTTTAATTTTGTAATTTTTAAAATAATTAATTTTCAAGTTTAAAAAATAAATATGAATCCCTTAAATTAATTATCAAGAAACTAAAACTAATTTAAAAATAAACATTTTATTTTGTCAGATATTTAAAAACTAAGATATATTTTATTCCAGAAACTAAATTGACTTTTTTAATGATGAAATTAAAACCGGATTCACCAGAAGTAAAGACGTAATGGAGTTGAAATTCTTTTAACGATGAAAATCTTATCATTTGACCACGCTTTGAATTTGATAGAGACTGGAAATAAATGTGTGACTGAGTAGAAAGAAAAAATGATTACGAAAAGATTGATAAATTAAGTAAAGAGAGATGAAGTTGACGTACGTACCGTAGAAAGGAAGAAGATGATTGGCAATGAAGTTTTCATTGTAGCGAAGACTGCGAGCGGAAGCGGTGTGATCAGCATACACAATGATTCGGCTTCCAAATGGAGAATCGAACTCTGCACCGTTACCTATTATCTGATACCTTACCCAACGCACTTTTCCTTCAACGGATTCGTTACACGGTACACCCTTCTCCACCACTTTCTTAAAGGAGGACTCTGATTGAAATTCTGATTCTGATTTTGTTTCTTCTCTGCTTGAAGCACTTACCTTGTTATTATTGCGTTTCTCTGATTTAACAATGTGACGTGGTTTACGGAAGTAATGATATGTAAAAAGAGGTGCAGCTTGGATCCTCTCCAGATGCATTCCCGCTGGCCAACATCCAACCCACATCTTTCACTGTTTTTCACTTGATCTCCAAGCACCTTCGATGTGCATATGAATGATGAATCTTGATTATTCACACAACTATTTGTCGTGATTATACAACTAGAGAGGAGAGAAAAAATATTGATAATATGGATGGTTGATGCTTTGGATAAGCTTGATAAATATTTATTTCTATTAGGAAGAGGAGTTAGAAGATGAATGATTTAAGAGAAGGCACCAAACTAATTCCCATATTTATATTGTTTTAAGATTAGGTCATGTTACTTTCAAAAGTCTTATATTAATTAGGAGTTAAACTAAAAAATATTTTATAAATATTAAAAAAAAATTAATAGATTGAGACATAATAAAAATGGGATGAAAACATTCATCTTAGAAGTTATAGTATCTTATATATAGTAATTGAACTTAGTTAAATTATTTTAATAGATTTGAAACGTAATAAAGTCTTTGAACAAAATAAATTAAAGGAATTACTTTAATATGTTCAAAAGAATTATATTATTTGAAGCAATGTCCTTTAAGACATTTCCCTCTTCTGATAATGATACAATTTTTGTTTATATTTAGTGGAATTCAAAATTAAGTAAGAACCTTCCAAGCGATAATTTAAAAAATTATTATATGATTGGATGTAGAAAATCGGAGCTTTCGATTAAACTAAGGAAAAAGAAAATAGTTGACATCCATTTTAATAAACATCCTTCAAACAACTTTGTTTAATAATCTAATTTACATTTTATAAATAATAAATAAAAATTTAATAAAATATTAAATAATATTATTATATTAGTATAACTAAGTTGATGGATGAATACTGGAATTGTGAATCAAATATTTTTTTAGACTAAAATAAATTTATACCGGTCAATACACTTTAATATTGATTTATAATATTTATTGTTTTTCTTTTCACTGGACATTTCTTTTATATATATATATATATATATATATATATATATATATATATATATATATATATATTTTTAAATGGTGTATTTAATGATAAATGTGGATGTCAAAATAGTTTTGACGTGTCCAAAAATGAATGCTAGGGATAGCAGTCGCCCACGTGCTATTTTAATATTCTTTCTAAATTTTGTAATTTATATATATATTTCTTAAATAGCAGGAAAAAAAAATTTGCATGACCAAAATAGTGAATTACCATCCTTTGATGAGGTCACTTGCTCTCATGCATGCTTTGAAATTTGTGATGCTTCTCAACTCAAAGCATCAAAGTGTTAGAATGGTTCATTTGTGATGTTTCAAAACAACGAAGAAAAGAAAAACTATTATTTAAAGAGCCTTAATCACATGATTAACAGAAAATACTTGATAGAAGTTCATTTATGGCCAAGAGGTAACATTTAAACCTCAGAATTCATGGCGGCGTTAGGATAACATTGCTTCAAATGATGAAGTATTTTAAGTTTTTTATTGGATATATATATATATATATTTTTTTTGAGAAAATCCAATAAAGTTAATATTTTTTTAATTTTGGAAGAATTAATGTTTCACGTTATGTTGCTCATTATAGTTCATTATTTTATGGCTTAAATTCTTTTCGGACGCTAATCACTTCTTTTTTTGAGATATCTATGTATTAATGGCATATCAGAAAAACAGATAATATACCTAACTTTCCAGGATGTATATTAATTTTCTGATGCGATTCCGCTTGAACGGTGTGGCAATCAATCACATGATACAAAAAGATGGTTGAGATTGTGATTTATTAATATTGATAATTTAAGTCTAAGTTAAAATTTTATATTTGATAAAAATTAAAAGTTTAATAACTTAGAAAGAATTTCTTGATTCATGTCTTATGAATCTTAAATTTTTTGGATTCCTAACAATTATATCCTTAGCATAAAAAAAGTCTATAAGAAAATATTTATCAAGAAAAGGAAATGGCGTCCAACATAGCACCAACGTTCATACCTCTCACTCTCCACCATTTAACGATCTCACGTAGCATTCAAATAGGGGTGAAGGTTATTGGAAGGTCCAAAACAAATAAATTTTGTTGTTATTATATACATATTATTATGACATGTTTCCAAAAAATTATCGTTGAACCTTGTGATATTTTATTATGTTAATATTATTAAAAAAATTATTTTATTTTAATATTTATATCGTGCTTTCTTAAAAAACTGTCCAACTCCGTTCCTACCTTCAAATATATAATTTAAATATACAATTAAAAGAAGTAATGATACTACTAAAAATAACTTCTAAAAGTTGTTTAAGAGTTTCACTTTACTCATTATTAGTTTTGTTATTTCATTTTCTTTTATGTATTCTTTTTCACCTTTTTATGTTTAAGTTGTTACTTTTCATTATTTTTTAGGAATTTAATAACGGTGAAATATATATATATATATATATATATATATATATATATATTTAGGAGAACCATTCAATATTAATAAAATTATTAATTAATAATGGAAATACTCTGTTAAAGTTACTTTTTGCGTATGTGTCTTTCATACTATATTTTATAGGGTTAAAAGTATACAGAGTATATATTTCTTATATTGATATTAGGGATACAAGTGATTTGATTGTTATCAAATTTAGTGTAATTTTGTATTCAAACTCAATTAAATTTAGTTAGATTAAGTGAGTTGAGTTTATTACAAGTTAGTTAGAAACGCAACGCAATCATAATTAGATAGAATTTAACCACTAGCTTAAGTTTTTTTGTTTTTAAATAACACCCCTAAAAGAAAATATCTTGAAAAACATTTTTGATAAAATTTAAGAGCTTGTTTATTTGCGATTTTTAAAAACACTTATCAATTTAGAAAAAAAAACTAAAAAAACTTAATTTTGTTATTATTTTTGTGAAATTAATTTTTTTAAATTAAATTAAAATTGATAAAAAATATTTCTTCTTTTATTTTTTGTTTCCATTAATAGAGTATAAATGTTTTTATCAATAATTATATTAAATAGTTTATTTTTATTAGTATAAAATTACAAAAAAAAAACTTTATTATTATTATTATTATTATTTATATCATTATTTTTCTTTTGAAATAGTTAAAATAACAAAGTTATTGAACAATTTAAAAAAAATATGTCTAAAATTATTTTTAAAACTACAAAATTAAACGAAATGGAAAACCCTTAATTGTTATAGACAACTATAACTTAACACGCATAAAAAATTACATGATAAAAACATATTTTATTATAAAATAAAATTATTAGATGATTAATCTTTACCATGTATTTAAGTTAAATTATGTTAATCGAATTTAAAACTCATAGATATATAATCCAATACAGTCTAAATCAATGATAGGTTATTTATTTATTAAGAGAACAAAAATTATCAAAAGTAATTGCAAACTTTCAACGTAGGAACATTACATTAAGAAGAAAAAGAATACCAATAATTAGTATTCTGAAATCTCGTGTGTAACAATTAAAAAACTACGCGTATTAATGGCGTAAGGTTCATATCTTTTTCAACGTGGACATGTCACGTTCATATCTCAGAGTCAATTAATGAAGCATTCGGCAACAGTTTTTTGATACTGCAATACGGCAACGTATAATACAATACGATACTACTATTTAACATCTTCAAGAAACCTAACCCTTGTGCACATGCCATGATTATTGTTTTGTCTCTCAAGCTTTTTTCAAAGTGATTCGCAATTTGCTTTCTTTTTTCTCTCCATTGACTCAAATCGTTGTTCTCCTTTTACACGTATATTTTTTTCACTGTCAGATTTTGTTTGTTAATTACGAATATGAAAATAATGTAAAGAAAGTAAAATCCTTTATAATTCACTGTAAAAATAAACTGTAAGTAATATTATTGATGAAAATAATAAGAACTATTAAATACATATTATTTGAATAAGAATTACTATTAGTTTTCTCATCGAAGACATTTTTTTTTCATCAAATGATAAAAAAGTAACTTCCTTATCAATTCACACCTATAAAGAATTTGTGACGACATTATATCATCATTACCATTTTTTTCTAAAGGTCATGGTCACAGTCATTATTTTTATTATTTAACAATAAGTTTATATGAAACATTAAATTTCAAAGAGAAAAATCGATTAACAACTAGATCGAATCACAATCTTTGTTTGAACTCCTAACTTAAAAAAAATAAAATAAAAACTCAATTTTTTGTAAAAAAAAAAACTATTCAAAAGTTCATATTTATATATAATAAACAAATTGTTTATTGAAGTATTAATGTTCATCTTTGTCGTTGCGAAATTATTTAGGATGTCCTTCAATTTTCACTGTGACTTTTGTTATCGAGGTTATCTTCTTCCATTTGAAATATTTTTCAAACTAAATTTATCAAACAGTTTTTCTTCAACTTATTTAATTTTTTTAAGTTTTTTTAAAAATCTAAAAACAGAACTAAATTAAATAAAATCTTAATAATATGTGTCTATTATAAAAGAAAGAAAATCATTGTGATCTTCTCGACATTGTTTTTAAATAACACTATGATAAGTTTTTAGCACACTTTTATTTATTAATGTCTATAATAGTATAATTATAATTCTTAATTAATCTATTTACTGTGTGTATCTAAAGAGCGTAAACAGTAAAAACACACACACAAATAAATATTTTTTAAATATTTATTTTCTTTGTTTATTAAGTTGTAGAAAAAAGATAAATAATAATATTATGTTTCTTTAATCCATTCATTTTGGATAACAGCAATTATATATTAATCATTATATATAATCATTTATAATCCTCTTATAATAATATAGTAATAAAAATATTATATACAAAATTATTATTATTATTATTATATAAAAATGTAAAATGCTGTATATGAAAAAATATTAAAATATTAGTTGTTTTGGATGAAAAAGAGAATGAAAATCTACTTTAGGACTTTAAAGCAATTTTCTTAACTTTTAAATATTTTTTACTAGCGAAATTTATGTAAACTTATCTATATCCTTTCTTCCTTCTACTTCATGCGCACAATCTAACAAATCAATTTTATAAATAATATATTTTAAAAAATATATAATTATAATTTATATTAATTTATTTATTTATAAAAATTATTTAATTATAATTTATATTAATCCATTTATTAAATAAACCATTGTCTATATATAATTTTTTCTTTATAAGTTTTTTTTTATTTTTCTTCTTTTCTCCATTCACTCCGTATTTCCTCACCTCTCTTATTTTTCTCCCTTCCTCCCACCTATTCTTTTAATTAAATCTACTCTATTCAAATTCAATAAAATTATGTTAATATAAAATTTTTAAAATCAATATTAAAACTAAAAAAATATCAACTAAGTATTTATAATTATGATGGCAATAAATAATTATATTTACTATGATAATAAATAATTTTATTTATGATATTATAAATAAATAATTTTAAAATATTTTATCATAATAAATCAATTATTTTTCTAATTAAACAATATTTAATATTTACCAATTAAATATATTTTTTACTTAATAATTTAATTTAATTATAATTAAATTAAATTGTAAAGATTAGTCATATTAAATAGTTTTAAAAAAATATTTATTTAAAATTATTTTAAAATACATATTTAATTTAAAATTTTTAATATAATATATTAAATTATAATAATTTTAAATAGTTTAAATGTTTTTATTTTAAAATTAATAAACGATTCATTTTATCAAATTTTAATTTAGTATTTTTAATTAAAAGAATGAGATGAGTGATAAAAGAAAAAAAAAGAGGAAGAGAAAAAAATACACATGAGAACAGAGGAAAAAAATAATAAAGAAAAAGTGAAGAAGAAAAGTAAAAAAAAATAAAGAAAAATATTGAAGAAAATAGTTATATTATATAAAAATAAATTGTTTTGTATTATTGAATTTTACATATGAACAATAAATCGGTCCAGATGAATAAATAAATTTATAAAAAAATTATTTAAATTATTTTTTATTTTAAATATATTATTTAAGAAATTAACTATCCCTTTTATAGCTCTTGTTTTCGCCCGCTTCATTTTCAAACCAAAGAAACAACATTAACTGAGGTACTATGTATTGAGGTTAACTGCAATGCGAAAGTTATAAATTGACAACAATTTTTAAACGAAGTCAAAAGTAATGACATTGTTGGATTAGAAACTAGCTTCGACGATAAATGAAATAAATGAGGTACGGGGAAAATATTTTATAAGCCAACAACAACCTATCTCCCTATCTCAATGAAAAAAATGAGTTATGGGAAAAATATTTATAATTTATAAGAAATTTAAATATATTAAAATTTTTTCTATTTTTAATATTTTTTTTAAATAATTTATTTATATAAGATAATTCAAATTTATTGATATTTTTTATTTAAATAAAGTATTTTAATTATTATTAAATATTAAAATTATCATTACAGTTAAAAATAAGGTAATCCACCCTATCCTTATTTATATAAGTTTGAAATCATTATTTATATAAGTTTGAAATCATTATGAGAGACTAATTTAAGTAAAATCAAATTGAGATAGATAAGATTTATATAGTCAAACTCAGTGGCGGATCTTGACCATTGATCTTGGAGGGACCAAATAATATATTATTAATAAATAATAAATAAATATAAAATGAAATGAAATAAGAAGATGAAATGGTGAAAGGATAAAATTGTAAATATATACTTAAATATATTAAATGATCATTAAGTTAGGGGAAACAAAATCATAAATTATATGAGAGTTACAAAGCTGAGGAGGGACGGGGAGGATAAAATTGTAAATATACAAACAAATATATTAAATGTTCATTAAGTTTGGGAAGGCCAAAATCATAAATTATATGAGAGTTACAAAACTTTGGGGGGCTATGGCCCCCCTCAGCTCCCAAGAAGATCCGCCACTGGTCAAACCTAGTCCATATAATTTATATTAAGTTGAAAAGAATAAAACAAATCAAGTTAAGTTGATACATTGAGATGAATTAGGTTGGGTTATGTTAAGATAAATCAAATTTAAACTAAGATGAGTTAAATTATATTGAGTTTATTTAAGTTAAGATGAACTAAATCTAGTCGTAATCTAATAAAACATACCAATACAAGATAAGTTGGAGGATTACACAAAATAAGATGTGTCGGGGGTTTGGAGAAGTCAAATCTAGATAAATTATGTCAAATAAAAAATAGTTAAATTTGGATAATTGAGTTAGGGTGAGTCAAGTCAAGTAAATTTGGATAAAAAATAGTTAAATTTGGATAATTGAGTTGGATAATTGAGTTAGAGTCGAAATATATAGACTGGATTAAACAAATACAAGCAAATCAATAGTGATTAAATTAAAATAATTTAAATATGATAAAAATGTATTAGATAAGTTTGAACTAGGTCACTATGAGTCAAGTCAGGTTAAATCATGTTTATTTATGTCAAGTAAAGTTAACTTATATTAAAATAGGTTGAAATGAGTAAAAAATATTTTAATCCAGATTGATTTTAAAAAGAAATTATGAATATAAGAGACATAAATTAAAGAAAGAAATATAATTTTTTTAATAAAATTTAAAATTTTCTTATTTTAATTAATAAAAAATACCTCATTAATTTTTATAATTTGAATTACTTTTTAGATTATTTATGTAAATAAATAGTTTTTTCATAAGGCATTTAAAATATTTTATTAAAATAAATTACTCATTATAAATTGCTCGCAATTGTAAAAAAAAAAAAGATTACAATATATAACAACGATAGATTCTTCGTTTAATTTCATTGACTTTGTATTAAAGTTATTTTAAAAAACAAAATAAGTGATACAAGTGAATTTTAATTTCTTAAGTTGTATTTAATATTACTTTTTTAAAATTATATTTTCTTCAATTAAATACTATTTCTAATTAACATCTTCTATTTAGCTTATTACTCATCTTATATTATAATGACAAAAAAATTGGATATTCAACTTAAAAAAAAAAAAAAAACTAAAAATGTTTTGACAAAAAGTAGAACAACGACAAAGATTTGTTCCCCTTTGAGTTGAGCAAAATCTATAAGAACCCAATAATTGGTGGTTGAATCTGGATCTTCATGGGTGAATGCACCGTTCATGTGGAATTGAGAGTTTAGATTCTTCTTGGAGTGCCGATATTTTGACAATCGTGTACGTACATCCGAACGACAATTATGTATAAAATAATATTAAATATACAATTGTTGTGTATAAAATAATATTAAATTAAATTATGATTTCATTTTTTTCATCTTTTGTTTTTCTTTTTGCTCTTCACTTTGAATTTCACTTTTCTCTCTCCCGGTGCTCAGAGTGTCGGAAGTTCTCAGTGCATGAACTCCCACAGGGTCGCCCAGCTTCAAAGAATTAGTCGTCGAGCAGCAATATTAGTTCGACGTTGGAGGAAGCTTCGAAGAGTTCTCACTCTGCGGTCGCGTTATCTGCATCGCTTGTCCTACTCTCTATCTTTATTTGAAGGTAAGTTCCTGTTTTCTATGATTTTAGTTGATTTGGGATAATTGTTCATGATTTTGTTTAGACCAACTGATGGTGCTTGGGATTACAAGCAATCCTTTGAGTAGTATCGAACTGTTTCCTTGCCATATGTTGAATTATCTCCCCTCAGATATTTTGATATGATTTTTTTGTTCCACTGCTACATATATGCCTTTCAACGTCGGTTATATAAGGCTTTCAACGTCGGTTATACAACCGACGTTGTATCAGGCGACGTTGAAAGTATACACTTTCAACGTCGGGTATAGATAACCGACGTTGAAAAGTGTATACTCGTCGCTCAAGCGAGTACACTCGTTGCTCAAGCGAAATGGAACCGAGAGTCCCCTTTGTTTGAAGCTTTCGTCGCTTAGCGAGTACACTCGTCGCTCAAGCGAGATGGAACCGAGAGTCCCCTTTGTTTGAAGCTTTCGTCGCTCAGCGAGTACACTCGTCGCTCAAGCGAGTACGTGTTTACTACGTCGGTTATGGTATGAACCGACGTAGAAAGTCTATTTTTTTTAATGGACGCTTTGTTTATACAGGGTACCCAATGTTTGTATATATACATACCGCAAATTTGAATACAACCCAGGCAGACAATGTACAAGATATAAACAATTGAATGTGCATCCAAAAATAAAATTGTATCCAAAATTATAGTGTATCCAACTACTTATCTACCAAATACACTAACTACTAATCTAACTAATAAACTAACTAGTAAAGTAACTAAACTAACTACTAAACTAACTACTAAACTAACTACTAAACTAACTACTAAACTAACTACTAAACTAAGTACTAAATTAATAACTAAAATTGCCTACTTCTAACTTTAACAAACTTATCGGCCCATGTGTTTCTAATATCGTCAATGGTCTCTATGGGCAATGCTTCCCTGTCTGAAAATACACGTTACAAGAAAAAGATAATTTAACAGAGTATCCAATGACACAATACTTGGGTCTTTTATTGAATACTAAATTTAAGCAAACCCGATTCCATGTATCCTCAGGTCTTGCTAACAACAATCGACCACATCCGAGTGCATAACATAATATCCGCACTCATAAGATCCTGGTTGCCTATTACACTACAAAAAATAATATATTAATTTGACATATAAAATGAATGATATAATACATAAATATAAAATGACTTACATTAACAAAAATCCAACTGAGTCGTGCTTTTGCTTGTGTGTACTCCATCAATTGTATTGCAAACCTCAAATGCATCTGCAATACAAGATATAATGAAACAATTAAGTAACAAAACAATTAATAATTGTTTAAATTATTATAAGAATGTGTACCTGTTCTGCAATGTTTTTAAGATCTGCATCGGTTTCTTGCCCAAGTGAGCGTAACCAAGCCGCAACATTCCGCTTTGGGCAAACGACCAACAACCGCAATGATTTCGCGCTACATTACAAAAAGTTAGGATAATACAATACACTATAAAATTTAATGCGAATAATTTCATACGCTTAAATACTTATCGATGGTGGTAAGCACCCAAGTAAACTTTCTTCCTTGACTTCATCATCCATTTTGGATGTATATTTGAACTTCTTCTCTCGTTGCTCGATTTTTGTATGGATCAGGCTCAAAAATCCATACACATCTTGGCTGCGTTGTTCCTCCGACAATTCATTCATCATCCTAAAGTAGCAGTTCAATGTACATTAAATATGACGATCAAATACACTCAATAACATAATTAGTAAATAAAAATAAATACTTACATTGTCCAAAATTGTAATACCTGCTATGTTTAGACAACGATTGCCAACGCTATCTCCACAGACATCGATGTGGTCGATGTAAAGGGAAAGTTCTTATTGTCTACCCCTAACTTATCAACATCCCACTTCACTTGAAAAGATTGAATATACAACTGTGGGACAACGGATAGTAGTTGAAAAATTGGATTTTCTGGGACATCTACTTCCTTACCTTTACTAGAATGGGAAGTAGGAACCGTTTAGGCAACTAGGGTGGCTTAAGACATCACTACATAAAATAACATTGACTTGAGAAATAATAAAAACACGTACTGAGACTACATATGATAATTAACAGAAAGTATATGCAAACCTTTTTCAAAATAGGTGCGATTAGATGTCTAGGCCATGCAATGAAGGTGCCGAGGGCCTGTCCCACTCGTCATCACCACGGCGAGCACGAGTACAAGAGCATAAGCATCTCGAACCTCTTCAATGACCACTTTGGCCAAGTTAGGTGCTAAAGGCACACTATGAATTGTAGAGGCTCCCCTCTTCAATTGAACCAACCGCCACCAATCGTGGTTCGGATCCATCCTCGTCAACATAAAATTCACACCTGACTCGATTACACAAAAATAAGACATTAATTATTTAATATGCACATGAATTTTTGTCATTAAGATATCATCCACACATACCGAGTGGTCGATTGTCTGCAACAACAACAACAACCTCCCGATTAGTAGCAGTGAAGGTCTTGATCAGCCGATTTGGCTCAGCACAAGCTACCCTTAGTGCTAACTCGTGCGGCGAGATGGAGGAGGAACATCCATAGGTGGGTGGGTAGGCTGTGTGACACCTATGGATGCTAGACTTGAACCAAATACACGCATCATCTCCTCCCGAACTCGTGCGGTAATGGCCGGTGTCGGCCGTCGCGTCACTCTTCCAACCATCGCCTGGTCTCGGCCTTTCACTGTTAGACTCTCCTCCAACTCGGCCATCTCCTGCCGGCTCAATGATGTGGTGTGGGTATGGTCCGATGATGGAGCTCCAAAATATGCTCGAATACCCACACCAGCCTCAACGAGCACGAACACGCCTCGGGTGTTCCAGGCGCCCAATAGCAGAGGTTAATATATCTTCACGACCACGGAACGAATGTTCCCCGTGTATACCGTCTCCTCTAAAGAATCTACAATTGAGCATTATATATTGTAAAAAAAAATTGATGAATGACAAAGCATGGTTAATGAGGTTGAAAGAAACTAATTTGACTTACAATCGCTCGCAATCAAGCGGGCCTCCTCGATGTCATTTCACCGGAGGGCTTTTGCCGAGCCCTCTTCCATTTTTCATGACGTTTTGGAGGAGATGGTGGGGAAATTTCTTCCTGGCTTACACCCGAAGAGGCTAACTCGGCTTCTCGGAGTTTAGCCTTCTCCTTCATCATGCGTTGCGTCAACAAATCATACCCCCCACGAGACAGACGGTGGGGGCCACATTCAACTCTCCGAATCTCCTTTCCTTTTATTCGCTTCTCCCGCAACATAATATCATATTACAATGTGCTAAATTAATAAGACAATATGGAAACATACCAAAGTTTTTAAATAGTAACATACCTCCCATTGTGGACCAGTCCTACTCCGACAAACCGCTTCCAAGTTTCCTCATCTATGCCATAACGCCGACAAGGAGTTAATCCTTTGCTAATGGCTTGGTCATTAAAAATCCATTTTGAAGTCAATGTCGACTTGAATTGCCTCCACATTTTGGCAATAGATGACATGACTTTTCTCCTAACTTGTTCGAGTTAACAATATCAAAGTGATTCTGCAAAAACAACAAAATAAATTAGGATAACAAAGTTTAGGATCTAACTTAACTTAACATAATTTAACGAGTTAACAAAACTCACCAAAATATCTTGCCAAATTAAATTTTTGCAAGTCTCCTCCACATAATCCCAAGATGGATGCAAAATAGATAGCTAATTATGAACTTAAAACGTTAGATATCAATCCATTTACATATGTCGACCATATATGCATAACAAGTTAAAAACTCTAAAAAATTACATACCTTTTCTCTAGCAAGAGTACCCAAGTAGGACCTAAATTGAGTGTGATGTGGCCCCGATATTTTGCCGGTCTTTGGATCCACACTCACAACCAACTTATCTCCCGCCATATGACGAACGGTCAACTTTTTCAACCGTGTGGCTTGTCGAGTCCTCTTTAGAGATGGGGGTGGACATGCTGGAGGAGATGGTGGAGGAGATGCCTGGAGGAGATGGTGGAGGAGATGCCATTTGCCCGTTAAAAAAAAAATTTAAGTTAAGTTTTTGCATAAATTGGAATATAAACACAATTTATCACATATTTGAAATATAAACACAATTTATCACATATTTTCAATATAAACACAAATTAGTCATGAACACATAACTTAAATAGTTAAGTTTTCCCATATGCCTTCATCATGATCTTTACGAATAGCATGAACCAAATCTTCTTGCATATCATCAATACTACTAGGCATCCGTGATGGAGTGGGGATGTTAATAATATCATCTAATTCATCATCTTCTTCATGCATAACATCATTCCCTTTTGCTTGGAGTACCACTCGACCATCTGTCATTACATGGATCAGTTACATAGAAAACTTGTTTTGCATGGTACGCCATTATGAATGGTTCCTCCTTATGTCCTATCTTCTTAAGGTCTATCAAAGTGAATCCCATTTCATCGGTTTGAACACCGGTATTAATATCAATCCATTTACATTTGAATATAGGAACTCCGAATTGAATGTAGTCAACCTCCCAAATCTCCTCAATCACTCCAAAGTAACTCATAGACGCCATAATTGGGTTCTTATCCTTTGAACTAGAAAAGTGCATGGATGTCGCCTCAATAGATACTCCACTATTTTGGACTGTACTTTTTTCATCTTGTAACTTTGTGTAGAATGAGTATTTGTTAATGTCATACCTGATCCAAGTCACGACGTTCGTTTAGGACCATGTGCTAGCCATTTCAAAGTATCAGATGCATTGTCCTCGGAAAAGATTTTTGTTTTAAACCAGCTAACAAAAGTATTATTATGTTCATTAACCAACCACCGCTCACTCATTTTGGGGTTGAGGGTCTTCAATATTGATTGATGAGCGAGATATGTAAGGAAGAACTTCATCCGTGTTGTTTAGAATATACAAGTGTGCCCCGGTCAACTCACTAGCATTTTTTGATTGTATTTTGACCCCACGAGTGCCCTTACCATTTATTCTATGATCATGTCGTTGAGTAGGTACACCCACCGCTAGGGCCTTTCCTAAATATTCGAACA